CCTAGGTACATGGTACCCATCCGCCAGTCTAGTAAAAGGTGGTCGTGCCAAGAGAAAGTGGCCGGTTTGGTGATATGGCCGGCTCGGTGATAATCTACGTTATATCAAGAGCTTGACTCTTATTAATTTAGAGAGTAATTTTGACAAGCTGCTTAGAAAGAGTATTACAAGATCTAGGGCAAAGGCTGCTTTGCCAAGACAACACAGACAGCAGAGACTGCTGATGCAGAGGTGTTACCCCTGATGTGGGTATTCACATACAAGTTTAATGAGGATGGCTACCTCTATCAATTCAAGGCACGACTTGTCGTCCGCGGCGATCTACAGCAGCCATACAGAGACACCTACGCTGCTACACTAGCTGCTTAAACGTTTTGAGCACTCATCGCAATAGCTAATCAATTTAGATTAGAGCTACTTTAGTATAATGTACTAAACGCGTTTCTTAACGCTACACTTAATTGAAAGCTCTACGCTTAGACTAGGCTGGCGGATGGGTAGGGTATGCTTTTTTACGTTTTGGCTTATAGCTTCTTAACTAGCAGAGATACGCTTACATAATCTATTATTTGATAGAAGCGCCTAGTATTGCGCCTTCTAATAAAAAAAGAATTAGCTAATTCCGCCTAGTATTAGCTAAGTTATTAACACTACCTAGCAAAGTATACCTATTTATGGGTATGCTTGCTAGGTACCCCCCCTTTTTTAACGTTTTCTAGCCTCTAGCTTGTGCAGTTTAATAGTTATAACAAAACCTTCTACTACAAAAATGTAGAGGTGGTTTTTCTCTTTCTTTTCAGCTCTAGTTCGCTAGAATCCATGTATTATTGATAAGGTTTTGGGGGGTACCCACAAAGGACGTTGGAGTATACCCATTCCGCCAGCCTAGCTTAGACACTAGACAGTTTTAAGAAGGACAGAGAGCTGCTGCAGGTGCTAAGAGCTCTGTACAGATTGAAGGAATTACCACTTCTATAGTACAAGGATCTGAGAGAAACACTAAAGTCTCTAGGTCTAACACCTATACCTAGATTTCTATGCGTCTATGCAAACAGCTAGTTAATCCTGTTTGTTTACGTTAATAATATTATTATAGCTTTCTACCTATCTAACAAACATCTACACTAAGAGTTTAAGAGGAAGCTTAATAAGCACTATAGCCTAAAATACCTTAGAGAACTTAAGTAGTTCTTAGGCATACGTGTTGTTTAAGATCTTAGCGCACGTATAATTTACTTAGTTTAGGACACTTACATTAACAAGGTTGCTGCTAAGTATAACATTATCTCTACTAGCCGCCCCTTAGAGGTGCCTATGCTAGTAAATTACCTAGAACAATCTCTTAAGGAACTAAACAAAGCTTAGAAGAAGACCTACTAAAAGCTTGTAGGCTACCTTGCCTACCTCACGCAGTATACCTGACCTGATCTGGCTTGCGCTCACGTTATCCACGCTTCACATTTGACCAACCCTGGCCAAGCACACGTCGAATCTATTCGAAGGGTGTGGCGTCACATTCTAGAGACAAAGTATTGAGCCCTGCAGGCTCAAGCCACTGACGAGGCAGAGATACAAGAGCACCTCACTTCGCCACAGGACTATCGCGATCCTATCTTCTTTGGAGCATCTGATGCCTCCTTTGCTGACGACGTTGAGACGCGCCAAAGCTCTTAAGGATACGTATTTTAGCTGTTTAGCATAACTGTTAACTAGAAGTTAACACTTTAACGCACTGTCACAAAATTAACAATAGAAGCAGAGCTGCTTGCTCTCTTACTTGCTAGATTAGAGATAGAGGAGTAGTGCTGCTTGTTCAAAGAACTGTCTTTAAAGCTTAACTAGACGCCTATTATTTAGTGCAACAACTAACAGACTGTGGGTATAGTTACAAAGGAGCAGGACAAGCTTAGTACTAAGCTTAAACATGTTAATATTTATTAGAACTAGATCCGCCAGGAGGTTAAGCAGAATTAACTCTACATCTACTAGAAGCCTACAAGCTAGATGCCTGCTGACGGCATGACGAAGATTCTTTATTGTTAGAAGCACATTAAATTTATACAGCAACTACAGCTTATAGACGTTCGCTCAAAGGTTTGTAAGATAGAGAATAATAGCTAAGGGGTTTATCCTTCTGTTGCAAAGTAACTACAGGATAAGGGGGTGTGTAACAGTTAAGAGGAGAAGCAGATCACGTGTTGTTGGCGGTGGTCTGGTGTTACTTCCTCATGTTGTTGAGCACCTCTTACCTTGGCTGTGTTACAAAGACGTCATCAAAACAAACCCCGCAGCGAGCCTTGGAGAACATAGATACAACGACAACAACAACACAGAACACAAGACACTCATTTAAATTATATACATTTGCTCTTCATACCGCAACACTAAATCTTATAGACCCTTGAAGTCAGCATGATTATCTGGCCCCTTACGCTGCACGATTGGTAATCCTGTCCGACAGCGCTTTATCTGTAACAGTAACGCATTCCTTAAAGCTGTGTGTTCCTGTTAGTCTGTCGGTCTTTTAAGTATCTGTCCTTATGCCACATTCCTTCCTTGTTTGTTGTGATAGAAAGAACGCGGATACTACAAACGGGGTCATCTTTCAACACAGTATGGCATCACTCCAGCTTCTACAAATGCTGAGCGCATGTAGATACTTTTCGTCCACCCTTTTGCACCCTACACAGCCAGTAAATCAAGTCAACGTCTATGACATCCGACTCTCCAACAATGACCAGAAAAAAGGCATTGGATGTCGCCGACGTTGCTGAGCTTGACAATGAGAAACGAGTTCGCATTCTTGGCATTATCGACAACATTCGCGAGCTGGGAGTGAACGAGGACGTTTCCTTACCACAGGTATGCGCTCATCTGACGCTGTTGGAAAGCACTAATCATGTTCGCAGCTTGTCGTTGTTGGAGATCAGTCAAGTGGGAAGTCGTCGCTCTTGGAAGGACTTACTGGACTCTCATTTCCAATTGCTAGTGATCTCTGTACGCGTTTCGCGACGCAAATTGTCCTCCGGCGCGCACCAGCCAGCGAAGCGGAAGTGAGGGTAACGATCATTCCTGGTGCAAGTGCTCAGGCGGACCAAGATACCAAGGATCGACTGACTCGGTTTGAACGAAGGCTTTCGACAGAGGAATTCGACGGTGAGGTATTTCAGAAAGTTTTTGACGAGGTGAGTTTCGATGGGTAGTGAAGCGGTTCGGCGCTCAAGAACTTCAGGCTGCAGAGTGTATGGGCATACCAGGGCCGAGCACCAAAGATCTCGAAGACCTCAAGAAGCGATTTTCCGATGATGTCTTGAAAATCGAACTGTCTGGGCCTGAGCATCATCACCTCAGTGTCGTCGATGTCCCAGGGCTGTTTCACAGTAAGTGAAAAAAACTATCAAGAATGTGATGCATCCTCGCTAACAGTCCAGACCCTACGAAATACCAGACTGAGGAGGACCGAGGTATTATTCGCAAACTCATCGAGGGTTACATCGTAGACAAAAGGACGATTATTCTGTAGACATCCTCGATCTTGCAATGCTTCACGATCTAATATCATCTCAGGGCGGTCATGGACGCTCGCAACAATCTTGCCAATCAAGAAGTGTAAGTAGTGACATGCCTACCCACCGGAGACACGATGATGCTCACAAACACTCAGGTTTTCTATGGCTCGTGCCGCCGATCCTGCAGGCAAACGCACGGTTGGCATTATCACCAAATGCGATGCTTTACAGCCCGGTGACGAGCAAGGTGTATGTGCTCACAACAGATCACGCCAGTTGAGCTAATAAAGCATAGGTTCTTCGCATTGCCCAAAACGAAGTTGAAAGACTAACCCACGGTTGGTTCGCTGTCAAAAATCGGTCAACGCAGGAGATCATGGACGGAGTGACGATTGAGGATCGTCACAGGCGCGAGGAGCGTTTCTTCAAAACTGTCGCCCCTTGGACAAGTCTGAGGAAGGACCGCATCGGAATACGCGCCCTGAAAGCATTTCTCGGGAATCTTCTCTACGAACACATCAGCAATGAGTTTCCAGGAGTCGTCAGGGATATCGAGGGGCTTTTATTGGAGACTCAGAAAGAGCTGGAATTGCTTGGACCATCTCGTCAATCAAGCGCAGACCAGCGGCGTTTTCTGACACGTGTCGCAAACGTGTACCAGCAAGAAGTCACGCGTGCTTTGAATGGAAACTACGACCCGGACCTTGTCTCTGATAGTCCCCTCAAGCTTCGTATGCATATACGGAAGCTCAATGATGAATTCGCATCGCTTATGGCACGCAAAGGGCATTCCAGAGTCTTCCTCACAGTGGAGGGGAAAGTCGACCAAGAATATGCCCGTGCTGCCCGTCCTGGGGCTGGCAGTACTAGTATACTCGAGTGGATTCGAGAGATCTATCGCGATTCTCGAGGAGCGGAATTGCCTGGAACAGTGAATCCGAATGTTTTGGAGAATATGTTCCGACAACAATCAAAGTCCTGGAAAACAATCGCACAAGCCTACTTACAGCAAGCCAAAGCGGTTGTGCTTGCGTTCAACACAACTGTGTTCGAACAAATGATCTCTGATGAAGATTTGAGGGCTAAACTTAAATCAAGGCTAGCCGAGAGAGAGAAGATGACCTACACTAGTATTAACGAACAATTGTTCATAATCTTGAAGGATGAAAGAGGTGGGATCCTGCAGACTGTCAACCACTACTTTGCCGAAACAATGTCTGCCATTCGTCAGGAACGGGTTGTCGCAAGGTTGAAAGCCACAGGATTCCAAGACGGCTGCGGGTTTGACATGGAAAGGGTGGTGGAAAGCGTGCATCTCAGCAATGAGGATCAAGCCGTCAACGATATCCACGATATCCTCAAAGCCTACTATAAAGTAGCGCTGAAGCGCTTCACTGATAACGTAGTACTCCAGGTCACCGAACGATATTTGCTGGGTCCGAGTGGTCCCGTAAAGGCTCTGTCGCCTGAGCTGGTCGGTGATCTCGATGAAGAGATGTTGATGGAGGTTGCCGGCGAGAATTTCGCAACTTCGAGTGCTAGGAACGAACTAATCTCTAAGTGCGAGCGTTTCCAAAAAGCATTGGATATCACAAAGCAAGCAAGGTTGTAGTCGGTCGATGATGGAAGGGCTGGATTGTCGTTGTCTGGATGCGATTCAGTACCCTTTTCTCCTAAAGTAAGATCTCTTTTGTATCAAGGCGATTCAACATCGTCACAATTTCACTCATTCATAGTCGCTTTCGAAAAATGCAACAATCTCTACCCTCCCCCGTCGACACATTTTGGTTCTAATAATAGCGAGCAGGCGCAGCGTGCGTGAATAGAAGCTTCCAGAAGCATGCGCCACAGCTTGATCGATTTCAGCATAACGCAGGTGTACAATGTAGGCCGCTAAACATACAAAACGTGCTTTCTCAACGGGCGAACACGTGTTATTTCCGTGCTAGAATCTGCCTGTCCCCGCGGATAAACCCGGACAAGGCCTTGCAGGTCGCTGCACGGGTTCTCGATTTGGTAACATCTTTTTGATATATTGGTGCATTTCCTCAAGTATCCGAGAGAGCGATTGTCAACGTTGCGGATGAGAATGTAGGGGTGCGTTGTGGTTGTAGCGTCCATCGCTACCTGCAGATCGCTGAAACGATGATCAACACAGCTGTAATTTTGCTTTTTGGTCTTTTGGACAGATCCTAGTACTTGACAGATATATCGATAGGCTAGCGTCAGGGTCAGACAACAGCGGGGTGCTTGGTGTTGACGCTTTAGATTTTTCGTGGTTCTAAGCGGCGGGATGTTCGACCTGCTGGGAGGGAGGTTACTGCACAGTTGCTATTAATTCTGAATTGTTGGTGTTTGCCATACAAACTGTCCGTGCGCAGGAAGACCCCGCAAGTCACGGGGTATAGCCAGCCTTTTGCAAACAATAATGACAAAACTAGAAATGAAGTTGGGAGCTGTTGTATAAACAAAGTTGTCTCACAGCGTCCTAGGGGTCCTACCGCTTTAAAATGCACGGCAGGGGTTCTAACACATTCCTAGGTAGAGGTGTGTGCTTGCAGCGAATCTGTGCAATTCAATCGACCGTGGAGTGGATCAAGAGTTCAAGAGTTGTTCTGACGTTATTCGTGGTAAATTTGGTGCTCAAGCCAATCCTCGTATCCACCGCCCAAATACTTCACGTTTCTCCTTTGCGATCTTCCAACTTGTATCGCGTATCCGTGATAGTGTCTCGACTTCATCAAGCTAGCTGTAGCCATCCATTTTTCCTTGACTCTTTTCCAGGCTTGACGAACCGTCGCATTGTTTTACTCTTACATCCTCATCCAGTTGTGCTCCCATCGAATCCCTCCTGGCTGGCTGTTTGATCGACCGAACTTCGACTGACTGAGAGAAAGGTTTCGGGATCTCCACAGTGAAATCCGTGCCACTGTTTTGCTGTCGCGGTTGCACGATGCGCAGCACCGGCAGAGTCCGGGGGAGAATGCGGATTTGTCTAGAGCTTCCATGTCAGCGGCGGCTTCACAAACAAGTCGTTCGCCAGAAACCCCGAGACACAAAGCTTGGCCCAGCCTCTTCTATAGCCTTCACCGTGGCTCCAGCCTTTCCAGATGTACTGAGTGTTCGTCTTTAAGACAGCGCCGTCATCAACGGGAAGAGTTTCGGTGTACATGACTTTGCCGATGGGGGGTTGTAAAGCCAGCTTATCGGTGCGCGAGCGGTCCATGGCGAGCTCCAAGGGCAGGAGATCGGAGTGGTAGTTGACAGTACCAGTGTTCTTGGTGATGACATAGTGCTGGTAGACGGCGATGGCGGAGTCATTGGGCCATTTAGGGTCAGGCTTGCGCGCAACCTCTGGGTCGAACTTGTAGATGATAATGTCGCCGCGACCGTCTATGTAACGATGAAATTCGACCGGGGCCATGGTAGCGATGGTGTAGTAAGCGAGTAGTTGTCGAAGACGTGGAGGACTGCGAGTTGCACGTGGCGTGGGTCAGCCTGGCTGTTTTTCTAGAGTGGTAAAATGGGCAGGCAGTTTCATGCTCGAGTGAAAGAGCGCGAGTAGGACACCGTGCGCACATATTGTCTTCACTTTGGAAAGGCATAGAACGATATCGTAATCTCTCTTGCATCATTTCCAAGGCCGCGACCTTGCTGTGAGTCGAAGGTAGTGGTGATCATATTGTGTGGAGTGCGTCGCTGTTGCCTGCTGTCAGCGTAGAAGTGGCAGGTGGCTTCGACTTTGAACAAACAGACCCGGGTCACTCGACCTGGGTCACTCGACGTCCCTCCAGCACATCCAACGCACAGTCGCTCTTTTATGACCACCCATCTTTATCAATCACTTGTTCAGCACCATCGTTCACCATGGAGACACCTGCCAATATGGTTATCCTTGAACCAGTCCAGCGCATGATACTCGAGCACATTGGTTACAACCAGCTTCGAGCCCATAAGAGCATCGTCAATCACTCGGCCGCGCTCGGCCACAGCTAGGTACTGCGGAATGAGCAGGCGTTTCAGAATGTGGAATCCGACCTGTTCGCAGTGGCGCCTTCGCCCGAGGAGAGCTTATGGAGCCAGCACATGATGTGCAATTCTCGTGAAACGCAACGTCGCCTCCAAGTACGGGACGCCAAGTTCAACAGCGAGCGATTGAGGCGTGAGAGTTTGCGGTTTCTCCTCGCTGTGGCAGGGTCACAGTTCAAGAAGGCGGAGAATGTTGGATGCGAGGAGTCGGGCTTGTTTGCGCCGATGCCAGATTTCGAACTTGATAGCTGGCCACATCGCATGATGATGCGCTTTCTCGAGGTGCTTCAGCTGAAGCCGTCTGTCCAGACACCCAAGACGCCTCGTTACGTGAGCACGCTCCGCCGTACTCTCCCGTCCAGACGACCGCATCCTCCGGTCTGTAAAATGCCAAGACCGGCGCAGGGTGGGTTCATCGAAAACCTGGAGGAGAACGGGAGGTATCACGACATGCTTGACAATGACCGGGTGAAAGGCGTGGCCCGCAGGAAGAAGAGCATCGACGCTTTGGCTACGGAGGCAATGATGGAATCGCACGGCAGAGATGAGGAGGCGAGCACAGGCAGAGATGAGGAAGACTCGAGAGACGGTGCTGCCACTAGGGAGTGCAGCAGATGGGACGTTTTCAAAAGTGCCATTAAAGGTATACTCTGTACGGCGCCCATTCCTCCCCAGCCAAAGCAGCGGCTCAGCAAGCCTCAGCTGGAGGATGCTGGAGAGCGAGAGCAGCTACTGAAGAGCGAAAGCAGCTACTGGAGAAGAGAGAAGAATAGCTGAACATGGAGATGGGCGACATTATTATTGGCAGCTGTTGGAGTGAAGCCTGAGGAATGAGTTGTGTACGCTAGCCTGATGCAGTATGACGTGCCTGCACTGTGCAGGCACAGGGCTGTGGCGCGGGCTGCGCGGCTCACGGAAGTTGGGTGCCGGGTGGCCATGATTTCGGATGCTGACAGGGCTGTGCATGCATGCTGGGTGCGGCCATTTGAGTAATTAGTGAAGGCGGTCCGTAGTAGAACCCCGCGAACTACGGACTGCGAAGTGCGAACTGAAAGCAGCAGCGCGCCTCCCTGGACCTCCCTCGAGCTCCCTCGACAGCGTGCCCATAGTCGACACAACTGCGGCCACCCACACAGCTATCCGAGCGGTCCGCGCCGTCATCCCCGTTAACGCATCCACGCCAACAATTATTATTCCACCGCCTGCCTGCCTGTCTGCCTGCCTCGATGCGCGTGACCTAGCTCTGTCCACGTCCCCCCGACTATGTCCAGCAGTCCGCCCCTCGCACACGCCCAGCACGTCGCGTGCGCCCGCATACGATAGCCAGCCGCGGGCTGAGCGGCCCCCCGGAGCACCAATGGCGTTGCCGACGCTGCAGTTCGTGGCGGGGCTGCTGCTGCTGCTGTATCTGCTGAGCTTCGTGCTGTTCGCCTTCATCCGCGTCGTCACGGGCGTCTCGATCCAGCGGCTGGGCTACGCAGGCCTGCGCCGCATTGCCTTCACGCCCAAAGACGGCCTGCGCATCGAGATCCGCGGCCTGCGCTTCTCCCTCCACCGCCCAACCTTCGCCCAGCCGACGTGGCTCAGCATCGTGCTGACGGAGCTGACCGTCACCGTCGACCTGAAGGCGCTGGGCGAGCGGCCGCGCAAGAAGACGGGCTGGTCCGCCTGGGCCCACGGCGCGGGACAACAGCACAGCAGCGGCACGGAAACGCCCGAGCTGCCCGTCGAAGATGCCGCCGCCGACGACAGCGAGGGGCACCGGCGCAGTCTGACGTGGAAGCGGCTGACAGAGGCGAAGGAGCGCATCAAGCGCCTGCACCGCAACATTGGCTACATCTGCATGGCCGACCTGCTGGCACACTCCACGACGCTCGTGGTCCCTGATGTCGGCTCGATGCAGGTCGGCAGTCTGTCGCTCGCGGTCGACACGCGGCGCAAGACGGTCGACCGCAGCCGCCTGTTCAACCACCACAAGCTCCCGTCCAGTCAGGAGCAGCGCCCTGCCGAGTGGCACGTGACCCTGCGCAGCGTGCTGTTCACGCCCGAGGGCGGCGAGGCGACCGAGGTGCTCGACCACTGCACCCTCAACATCCACGGCTTCCTCAAGAAGGAGCTCGAGGGCCTGCGCGACGCCTCCATTGCTCTCAAGCTGGGGCGTCTGAGCATCCCCTACGACGACGTTAAGCTGTGCGTCGAGCGCGCCAAGAAGTGCAAGCCAGCGCCGACCCAGAAGCAAAGGGACGTTGATGCAAGACACCCGGACGTCACACTCGCCGACGTCGTGGAAGAGCTGGACCACCCGGAGAGTCGCGAAGAGAGCATCGTGCAGACCGTATCCGACTCGAGAGAGTTCGCCAGCTCCATCCTGCGCGGTATTCACGAGTTCCAGTTCGCCATCAGCTTCGTGGGTCTTACCAAGCAGATCAGGGCGAGTCGCAAAAGCGAGCCGGAAGTCTACCTCAACGTGGCCATGAAGGAAGTCGGTATGGACCTGCTGCGACTAGACCCACGCAGTCCCGCGCATCTCATGTACTTCTCGCCGAACGATATAGCACATCAAGCCCTGCTCGCTGCCATCTCCATCTCGGTCGGCATCGATGAGGGCTCCGGCCGCCCAGAACGCCTGCTCTATGTGCCCATGGCCACGACCACGCTGAACACAACACTCCCTTCCAAAACCATTCAGTTCTCGAGCGACAAGGACAGCGCCGAGCGCAACACCAACATTCTTTACGCAAATCTTGTCGTCACCTCTCCGTCGCTGGATCTCGACCCCAAGCACCTACCATTACTATTGTCTATATTCAACAGCTACGAGTCGCGTCAGAAGCCCCAGAAGACGCGCAACAGCAAGCGATACCTCATACGGCGGTTGCTGCCCAAATCCAACATCAAGATTTCCATCCATGAGCCTGTCATAAGAGTGACATTGCCTCCCATGGACCCCGAGCGCAGAGGAACAGATGAATTCGACCTGCTCATCTCAGCCTCCTCGTCTTTGTCCCTCGACGTGGAGTCGTCGCATGCCGCAGACGGCGAGCTGCACTATGCCCTGCTCTCCACCTTCCGCATGAACGCACAGCAGCTGTACTACCAGACTGCTTCAATCGAGAAGCATAGCTTGCTTCTGACTGACTACCTCGAGTTCAAAATGCAGCTGAGCGCGTCACCAGACGTCACGGTCGAGCTGCGGGGTATGGCGCAGACGTTTTCATTCTACCTTGTTCGGCCGGAGATCAGCGAGGGCTTGCGACAGATCGTTACGCACTTGCAGAAAGACAGGCGCAGGAAGCGAGGTGTCCCTAAGAAGGGTCGCATGAACTTCCTGCGCAAGCTGCCACCATGGCTTGCATATGTACATCTTCAAGGCTCAGACTTCAACATCGAAGTCGCCGGGGTTGACGAGGGCGTATCAAAGCACAGTCGTGGAGCAGCGGTGCACCTCGAATCATGGACGGCCGAGTATAAGCACAGCCGGGACGATGAGAGCGAACTTAAGCCGGTTCGTCGCCGCGCACCCAGCAGGACAATAAACAGGGACGAACATCTCATCCGTCCTTCCTCGTCTCCATCGTCCAAGACGCCTGGGAAGCCTTCGGGTAACCCCACCGATGGTAGGCGACTTGCTCTCCACTTCGCCGGTCTCGAAGGTTTCGTCATTGAAGCCGAGGATCAGTGGGAGCAAGACCCATCCCTGTCACTGCCACGCATGGAAGTCGCCTTCAGCACAGCGTCCGACAAGCAGGGGCCCATCTTCCATGTACACTCGTTCTCTCAGCGTTTGTACCTGCGATACTCTCTGTACCGCCACTTCGCCATGGGCATGGCCATGCAGGTCATACGGCGATCGTTCATAGTGCCGCAAGAGCCGGTACCGTTCGACGAAGCCATGTCACCCATGTCGCCAGTGCTATCACCTCAGCATTTGTCAGTTCCGTCAATGGATGGCGACATGTTTGACCCAACAAGAAGCGGCCTGAGTCCTGAGATCGTCACTATCGACTTCAAGGCGCAGTTTATCCAGATCAAAGCCGACATGCCTTCAGACCCGCCGCTAATGTTGCACATATACGGAATTGATGCCGGGAAGCATAGGTGGCAGCCGCCGTTCCTCCGGGCGCGACTGGTTAGGCTCTACGCCGAAAACCCCAGTGTCAAGCGCGTGTGGAGTCGCATAGTCAGCATTAAGTCGTTGCGCTTGGACTACAGGCAGACGAAGCGCAGATACGGGCATACAGTTACTGACGACAAGTCCTTCGACATCGCGACTGAGGCTATCCGTATCGCTGTGCCGCATCAGTTGGTCGTTCACAAGATATTCGACAACATCACGAACATCACCAAGGTCGCCACGCAGATGCATCATCGCTTCAAGACTGGCACGAACGAATACGTTCTCGACAAGGAGCCAGAAGGCCCCAAGCATGTACCAAAGATCTCACTGCGCAGTAGGGCTGTGCTGTTTGAACTCGAGGACAGCTCTTTCGAATGGAAGCTCGGCACCATCTACCGAATCGGCCTCATGGAGCAGAAGCAACGCCTTGCCCGTGAGCAAGCATTCGAGCTGAAGGTAAAAAAACTGCAGCAAGAAGACGAGTTGCGCAGTAGTGGTTCACGTCATCGCGCCAGGTCTGCGCACAATGGGCACCACGGCCATCGCGGCCGCAATAAGTCCAAGACCAGAGAGCATGGACGGGGCAGGTTCCACCGGCGGACCAAGAGTGCAGGTTCGAATAGCCAGGACTCTCTCGATGGAGATCGGCCAATGCGCTATAACAAAGACGGCTTCAGCGGCCTTAGTGGGTCCAGTCAGACAACTGTCGAGGTTGCGCGGGAGAAGCTCAAGGTTCTTAATGCGCAGACTTGGAGGAAGCGTATTGATCACGTACTTGCGACGCAGCATCGCTCGATACACGACATTCGTTCTATGTTCTGGGGTCTCGATGAGCTACCAGATGATGTCGAGCAAAAGGAAACGATCCTGACGATTCCGCAACGACCAGCGCTCATGGCGTTCGCCATCAGCGATCTGGACATCACGATTGACAAGCCATCTTTCCCGATGTCAGAGTACCCGAAGTTCCTCCAGCGTGTGGGCAAGGGCATGCCGACCGATATGCAGTACTCGCTGCTCATACCTATGCATGTGCAGATCAACGCTGGTGAGGCTAAGCTGCACCTTCGAGACTACCCTCTGCCACTCGTACATATTCCTTCGATTGGCAACGTCGGCTCTTCGCGGCTGCCAAGTCTGTCGCTGAAGACCGACTTTGTCATTGCAGAAGAATTCAGAGATATTGAATCGTCGCGCGTCAGCCGAGTCGTAGTCGTACCCCAGGAGGAAACCCTGTCAGGAGAGATGTCTGGCGGTTTCGCAGTTGATGTGCGTCGAACAGTCGCCCCAGTCAAGACATACTCGGACATGAATGTCGACATCAACTCGGCGTACCCGACGCGCATCACATGGGGCACATCGTACCAGCCTGCGATTCAAGACATGATGCAGATCATCGAAAATTTTACCAAGCCTGCTGTAGATCCGTCGGAACGTGTTGGCTTTTGGGACAAGATCAGGCTAACTTTCCACTCGAGGATCAACATCTCGTGGAAGGGAGATGGAGATGTACATCTCATCCTCAAGGGATCTCGAGACCCGTACATGGTGACCGGGCACGGCGCTGGGTTCGTCATGTGCTGGCAGAACGATGTCAGACTCACGCTTGCAGAAGACGAGGATCCGCGCAACTTCATGGTCGTCAAGAGCGGAAGTTATGTCCTTGCCATTCCAGATCTTGGGCATTATGCTCGCCATGAAGGTGACGCGGAAGCCAGTCGTCCAGAGAGCTCGTCCAGCTTGTCTAGTCGTAGACAGCTTGCTGTGTTCAAGAAGACTGTTATGAAGCTCAATGGTAATGTGCGATGGGGTGTTGGTCTAGTGTTCGAGCGGAATCTGGATGGTGGCGGGAGGTCGTTCGACTTCATCCCACACTACCGTGTTGCGCTCAAGAACCCGAAGTATGCGAAGCCATCCAACGGGAAAGTGAGTTTGATTGCAGCCATTCAGGATATCACAGGATTAACAAATAGCAGGAGTACGACGCTTTCCGCGGCTTCCGTAGTCACCATATCCACATGTCAATTGCAATCGCAGCACCCTACGATCGAGAGTGGTCTGTCACAAACCAAGATGCCTCGAAGACATACAACAGCGTTCACCTCACGCCTCGTTTCTTCACACATTTCTACAATTGGTGGTCCATGTTCTCTGGCGCTATGTCGCTGCCTGTCCGTCAAGGCAAGCTCTGGCCTGGTGTGGAGAAGTCAAGCAAGAAGTTCGGCAGGCATCTCGCAACGATCAAGTATAATCTGCTACTTTCGCCTTTGTATATGAGCCACATCTATAAGCATAAGGATGCTGAAGACTACGGCTCGGGCGTTGTATCTGCCACTGGACTGAAGGCGCGTGTCGACAGCTTCATGCTCGACCTGCACCAGCGCCGTGAAGAGTTCCGCACCGTGGTTCAAGCGCCAAAGGACAAGGAAGACAGTAAGCAGAACCAGACTACTGGTATGCGCATCAACCAGGTGCAACTGGATCTCATCAAGACCGATGTTCGAGCTGTGTCGGCAAGCATCGCTGGTACTGACTCGGACGATGTCGAAAACGCAACAACTGAAGAAGCCGCGAGCTTCAACCAAGAGTATCTCAGTGCAGATCTGTCGAAATTCACGATTCCGGACAACGATTGGGGCTGGGTCGATATGGACGACTTCATCGAGCTCGGCTGGATCCTGCCTTCAGATCGTCATCCTGAGACGCAAATCCTGCCTCTCGCATTTGCACCTCACTTCACCTACTTCCGTCAGACAGATCACGCCGACAATATCTCCGGCGACGTTCATAGGACTAGTGCGTTTGGCAGTGAGCCTACACATCACTGTGTCATGTCTGCCCGCAACGACCCGCGACGCATTCAGTGTGGGCTCATCGAGCAGCGCATTGAGCGCATCAAAAAGCAGATCGAGCACAACCACCGCGCGATTGGAGAACAAGAAGTCAAGGTCGTGCGCGAGGTTGACGAGAATCAGAAAGAGGCCGAGCGTCGCCTCAACACGTTCAAGAGTCACGCACTCTTCCTGCAACGGAAGCTGGAATTTCTAACATCCATGCACGAGAGTCTGCTTGACCGACTCGCGGCCACTGAAGCAAACGCAGTGCCCAAAGGCGAGCCTGACACCGATGACGAGTTTTACGATGCTAATGGCGAGGATCCCACGAGTGAAACCAACACCAAGAGCATGGACTCGACACCGAACATCGATTACATCAGTGACTTCAACAACCGTTTCATCATCCACAATATCCATCTCAAATGGGGCAATTCATTGCGAAATATCATCCTGCGCTATATTCACCAAGTCAGCCAGCGCAGAGGTTTCGTGTACTACATGTCCCGGAGAGCAGTCAAGTTCATCCTCGATGTTGTGGAAGAGCAAAACAAGTCTCGTGGGCCATCCACTTCCTTCGAGTACGAAAGCCCAGATATGGATCCGACAACGCCCAAGGCGCAAAATGATCAGGGTATGAGCATCGACGAGACCATTCAGCAGCTTCTCGCAGACGGCAAGAACTTTGTCGACGCTGATGAGACCGAGAAGGGCGACAAGAACAAGGAGGCGCAAGACAAGCAAGACTCGGCTGAGAAAGATGTCAACACCGATTACGTGCCGCAGAACGCGTACATCGTCCGCCTCATCGCGCCTCAGATCCAGCTGCAGAGCGAACGCAACACCAAGGCAGCCGTGCTCGTGACAGCCAAGGGCATGCAGCTCAAGGTCCTGCAGATCATGGACAAAGACCGAGTCATGGACGAAGTCTCCGGCTTGGTCCAACGCCGCTTCACCGCAGCCATGGACAGTCTGCAGATCTTCGTCACTAACGCTAAGATCTTTAGTGGCATGGAAGACATCCACATGTACTCCGGAAGCACCTACGGAACTCCTGCAGGCTCGGCATGGCCCCCTTGGGTGCCTTTCGAAGTTATGTTCGAGTTTCATACCAATCCTTATGGCTTCCAGAGAGTGGTGCAGAGAACGAGTGCCAGTATGCGTTATGACAAGTACAACACGCTGCGCCTCAAGTACAATGATGACATATCTGGCGACTCTGCGTCATCGAAGAGCGCGCAGAATATGGAGAGCAGGATTGATCATCTCTGGGTCGACTTCCCTCACGTTCGAGCGTTGTGCGATTCGCGACAGTACTATGCCATGTATGTCATTGTACTGGATCTGCTGCTGTACCGCGAACCGCTGGAGAAGACGCGCAACGAGCGCCTTGAGAAGATCATGTTGGCTTCTGACTTCAGCGATCTTACTGGAGCACCTGGCTTGGTCATTGGCCTGCAGGAGCGCATCCGTCAGCTTGAAGAGATCAAGACTGTCTTCCAGGTCAATGAAAAGTACCTCGACAAGCAAGGATGGGAAGACCGTGTTGAGGTAGAGAAGGACCTAGCGGTCTACGAGGACGAACTGTTCTTCGTCATGAAGGCTATCACGACTGCACAGCGCAAGCAAGACGATCGCGCACAAGCCAAGCAGTCGACTGGCCTGCTTCGGTGGTACATCTCGGCATCTGAGATTGTCTGGCACTTGCTGCGCGATGGACAGGAGTCGCTTGCAGAGTTCCAGTTGAAGAATGCGCTGTATGACCGCACAGACAATAATGACGGGTCCAACTTCAACTCACTTGAGATTGAGGAAGCACGGGGTCTGAATCTGCTTCCCAATGCGCTGTACCCGGAGATGATCCTGCCGTACCTTGAGAACAACAAACAGCTGCCTGAGAATGCTAAGTGCTTGAAGGTGCAGTTTGTTATGCTCGAGGCTATCGCTGGTATCCCGGTCATGGAGCACTTTGAAGTTATGCTGTATCCGCTCAAGGTCCAGCTGGAGTGGGAGATCGGCAAGAAGCTGTTCGAATATATCTTCCCCGCTATCAAGGACAAGGAAAACGGAAACGCTTCTTCGCCATTCCTGATCAAGCACGCGCTTCCTTCTCAGGATGACGACGATGACGAGATCAGCGGCAGCATGACATCGAGCGTCAGCACCAGCCTGAGTAACTCCATGTCGCAGGACGAGGCAGCCACTGCGCTGCAGTCGCGATTGACCCCGACTCTGAAGCTGCCAGATCCACAGAGCAAGTCTCTGGACAAGGTCAAGAGCAGTCCACAGAAGAGGCCTGGTTTGAGCAGCTTCCGATCGCTATTCCGCGACGACAACGCATCACGCAGCGGCACTGAACTGCGTCGCACCCTTCACCCGAACTCTGCCGCAACACCATCAGGATCCTCGCTCAACATTCACGGCAGGCCCGGCTCAGTGCGTTCCAACGTCTCATCCATGACGGCCAACGAGTCAGAGCGCGGCGCCAAAAAATTCACCCTCTACCGCACGGGCACGAGCATAAATCTGACAGACAAGCGCGGCGACAAGAAAGAGAAGAAAGAGCGGCATGACGACCTCACGCAAATGATGAATCGCGCAAGCAACTACATGACGCTTGCCTACGTCCGTATCCCCAGCATGACGCTCTGCCTGTCCTACAAAGGCAAGGGCAGCCGCAACTTCGAAGACGTGCACGACCTCGTGTTCAAAATGCCGACGCTCGAGTACCGCAACAAAACATGGTCGAACCTCGATCTCGCGCTCCAGCTCAAGAAAGACGTCATTCGTGCGCTTATCAGCCATGCTGGGGCGATCGTGGGCAACAAGTTCAGCCATCATCGCCCTAGCAAAACGCAGCAAAGTCGTCTACGTCAAATCGCCAACTCAAGCGCCATGCTCAATGCGTCCCCCGACCCCTCCTCCGACAGCGCCTCAATGCGCGACCACTCCCCCGCCAGTTCCACCGACGGTGTTCGCCGATCCTTCACATCCGGGCGTCAAGGATCTTATGTGTCTACGGTCAGCGAAGAATCATCCCTGCGCCCTGGTACATCGGCAGACGGGCGGTCAACACACGGCTCTATCCTTGGCGGCCTGCGGCACCACCACCACCACGACCACAGCCACGGTCTGGGCATCGAGGACGGCCGAGCGTTCGCCGACGAGCTCAGCAGAGTCGACAACACGGAGCCGGGACACGCGAACATCATTCATAGTCTGAGTAAACACATCACCACCATCACCCCGTTTGCGAACCACCGCGGGCGCGATCGTGCAAATAGCGTTGGCAATGGGAGTTTTCCGTTCAGCAGGAATGGCAGTGTGGTTGAGGAGGACGAGGGACGGCCGAAGACCAGTTATGCCGAGGAGGGGGAGGGGATGAACAAGAAGCAGAAAGCATTAGCGGTGGGGATGAAGTTGTTGGGACGCACCAAGACGGAGAGATTCGATGGGTAGTCGGACACCACCTTTGCGCGGAAGAAAGAAGAGAAGAGGAAGCTTCGTAGCGTAGACTAGGAGCATCTCGTTTGTTTCATTGCCGGCGCGAAGCATCGTGGGCGTTGTGGCCGCCTGCAGCGTTTTCTTTTCTTGTATATGGCCTTTCGCTGCGGGTTTTGTACCATATTGGACGGCGACTTGTCGTTGTTGGCGTCCGGAGCGCGCGGGAAGCATAGAAGCTCTGTCAATCAATGCAAAGTGTTAATTTTCTCCCGTCTTTGTGCGCATCCTTGGGCTCCCGTGGATTGGTGGCGCGCGTTTACAGCACCACACGATTACTCCTCGCCAGCACTTCTGGTGTTGGTCCACTCCCAGGCTGAGAGGGCTGTGATTGTAAACGCCACGATGGGTGTCGTACAGACATGACTAGCAGAGAAACAGTCATCATGTTCAGACAGCCGAGGCGACGGAGTGTCATATTCAAGAAGACTAAGACAAGCACCGTGGACTCTAAGAGGCTGGACACCTCTGAGAATGAGGCAGATGCCAAATATTGGGGAAAAAATCCAGGGGGAAGTCGTGATTGCTTGTGCGAGGTATCCGGTGGCTTGCGTTGAGGGGTGTCAGAAGAGAGGTGCTGGCTGGAAGGCAGCACTTTAAACGGGGCGTACTACGGATAGTAGCCGCAGCGTAGTATGGCTCACATAAGCAGTCAGTAAGTAGTGAGTAGAAGAGTAAGCCGTACCGGAGCCCTGGTGATCCTAGCAGTTGCGACTAGGGGCAGTGTTTTCTGCAAGTAATGCCACACGTCTTCGTCGTCGTGGTGCACGCAGAAGCTGTGCGAGGGCTATAGCCATCAATTCTACTAAGGCAGGGACATGATAATTGGGAGGACGTATCTTCGGTTCAGAATACTTGGCATTATTCGCCTTAGTTGGCACGATGAAAGTGGGCAAAATGTCGGGATGAGAAGCGCAATGGGGATGGAAACTTCATGTTTCGTCAGAGCTTCAAGCATAACTATTCCATGAGCCGCCGGTAGCGGGTTCACTCACTAGGTTACGGCTGGAGGCCGGCTACACAGAGTGTGGCACTGGAGCCGAGACGGAAGACTAAAGCCGTCGTTGGACTATGAGATGGGGCGAAGTCGGGGCTAGAGTAGTTGAAGAAGTCATGTATCGGTCTGTCGATCAAGTCGATAAATAGGCACCTAGATTCCAGGTGCAGTTCTGGCGAGATTAGGAGTGTATCACACTGCACATTCCATTGACTTCAGATCAAGGACGCCACTGCTAGCAATACCCTCTGGTGCTCTTGGTTTTATCCATCTGTACTTCCCCTCATTGGACATAACTTATCGTTCTGTACATGCAGCAAGCAGCTCAGCAGCACGTTTGATCAGGTCATTCGCTAGTATTTTGTGCAGCTCACTTAGTGCCTTGTTCTTCATCAAAGTAGGCGTCGTTTTCATCAACACGGTAGCTCCCTTGTCTGTGCCTGCTGCACTGATACCCGCAATCCAGTGCAGTTTCACGAAGTTGGCTCCGACGTGTTGGCGAAACTCGAGGATACGAATACAAATCCGTCTTTTGTCAGAGCAGAGGGCTTTCGCAGGGTCTGAATGTGAGATGTCAGTTGCCGAAGGTGCGGAAAGAGTGAGGGGAAAGCTTGCATTTGACCTTGCGAACATCTGTAAGAACGCCGTGGAGCAGGGCGGACAGAACGATTGTTGAAGCCCGTCCACATATGCAGACGTGAGTGTAATGGGGCAAGACTTCGTGGTATCCCGAAGTACGTAGGTAGGCGTTGTAACGGACTAGCGCGAGACCAGTGACGATAAGAACGGCGGTGCCAAACCTGCGCCAAAAGCTGCGGTGCACCATTGTAGTAAGTGGAAATTGCAATGAAGAGCGGATGCTCATCACGGTGTCTGGTGTATGACACCTGTGCAGGACGCTAATCTGACTTGCTTTCACTTGCACACAGTGACACCACACTCATCCTTAAGTGACGCTAGATTGGCTAGCGGCGACGCTGAAGTGTTGATCTCCTATTTCCACTCAATTTACCCGTCTTCATTCAACATTAACAAATGCAAACGTAGAGCCAAGTAGTCCTACATAACGCCACCAAAACGCAACGCCGAGGCAGCGATGGGCGACTCTGAAGTAAAAGCTACAGCTACCAGTCTCTACTGGTCTTACGCTCACCCGTATTCCGCAGACTCTCGTACCTCGTGAACGACAATATGAGCCTTCGCTGCGCCTTTGGAGAAGAACGAGCCTCCCATTTTCAGCCTACCGCGAGAGCTACGTGACATTGAGGCTCTGGAGAAACAAGGATCACGCATTAGTAGACTTCTCATTGGCAACAGTATCGAGAGGATGACATCCTTGAAGCAGGACTGGGCTCAGTACAGCACAGTATTGATCGCGAAGCCCGCGAAGGTCATTGCTTACTAGGAGTACTCGAATTCGCGCTGAGTTCGAGTGGCGCGGTAGACCTGTGGTAAGGAGCCTCAAACATGGTATATCATGCTCAACAGCTCTGCGCTCCCACTGAAGAGCAGCTAGTCGATTAAAGCTACGCGGCAGGCATCTCACCTTATCTTTGTTCGCGGCGTTGGGTCAGCTCGGCGCTAGGTGTAGCTGCGTCTGCTCCTTCGTACTAACCTCCACATTGTTCCACGCTGCTGACGGACAACAACGCACAACGACGCCCATGCTCGCTTCACAGAAGCAACTGAATGAAAAAATGGTTGATGTGGCTCCAAATCTTCCGATGGCTTCCCACGGGCTGCTGAGGCCACTGCGTCAGGCCCAATCCTCGACGGCGTGAGTGATTGGCTCTAGTCATAGTGAGTATTGCTGATCTAGGGAAACGTGTTGTGAAAAATCGTATTTGCACGATCTTCGATGCTAGCCTGCCGTGCTAGAGCTCGATGTATGCGGCAAATAAACGCAGCAACCCTCGTCAGTGCTGAGCGCCGCGACGACCAAGGTGAAGCAGGCACGGAATATTTCCTCCGGTCCTTCGCCATATAATTCGATTCCAGGAAGCTAGAAGCTAAGGCGTCCACGGCATGCAATAGGATCAAGGATTTCGCGTATAGTTGGAAGACGAGTGGCCTTACGGCCTATGTAATCGCTGGGGCAATGTAAACGTTAATAAGCTGCGATCTGGAATTGTGCTCATGAGCGCGTTTGCCGCAGAGGCATCGCCAATTTGCAAATTACTCAATCCAGATGGTACGGAGACTTCCACCGGTGTCTTCTATCACTAGAGACAATACCGTGGATATGGTCATGCGACGGTACCATATCATACCCGAGTGGCAGTAACAATCTGCTGGCAATACGTTACTGAACGGTGGTGAACCGCTTCATCGGTGAGAGGGTTCTCCGGATGCCGATAAAAGAGAAAGGCCCTTGTGGGGAGCGGCATCGGAGGCAGTCAAGGATCTAAGAAGTGAGTCGACTCCACAGTGTTAGGATCAGAGTGGTGACATAAGACGGAAGGAGATGTCTGTCCGCGTAGTGCGAAGAGCGGCGTTCAAGGAATCCGAGCGCCGCGCGCGGGGCAGCGGCGGGGAACTTCGGGAATGTCCACCACTCCGGATATCATGAACTTCTTCTGCAACTTGTCTGCTTCTTTCGTCCCCAATTTCTGAATCCCTTGTCACCTTTTCTTGTTTGCGGATTAAAATCAGGTGTGGCTCTATCTTCCCAGATCTTCAACACGGGATCCCTGATCGAATCATCACAGCTCGAAGCTCACGTCGGACTCAAACAACTTCTCCGGACCTCGACCTCATCAAAATGTCGAGCGACTCGATACCGTCCACGCAAACTGCCGCTTGGATCGACGAAGCAGGCCCAGACTGCGTCCTTCAGATCCGCAAAGACGTTCAGGTCAAACAGCCCGGCAAAAATGAGGTCCTCGTTAAGATCGAATGCTCCGGCATCTGCCACTCGGACTGTCATGCACTGCGGGTCAAGGGCAAGTTTGAGCAAGTTCCTGGTCATGAAGGTGTTGGGAAGGTGGTGAAGTTGGGCTCAGGAGCCTCTGAAAATTTGATGGGCAAGAGAGTGGGCGTGAAGTGGCTTTGGAGCGCATGCAAAGAGTGTGGTAGTTGCAAGACTGGCAAGGCCAACCATTGCGCAAAACAGGTGAACTCCAGCCGTAACACCTGGGGCACTTTGCAGCAATATGCCGTTGCACACGCAGATTTCGTAACCCCCATTCCGGACGGCGTGCCAAGCGAGGTCGCTGCGCCGCTGCTGTGCGCCGGATTGAGTTTGGCAGGCGCAGTCTCAAAGCTTGCGCCTGACGTTATGCCGGGTGATTACGTTGCTATTGTCGGCGCTGGAGGCGGCCTCGGACATATTGGTGTGCAGATTGCCAGTCTAAAGGGCTACAAGGTTATTGGCATCGACAGTGGTGCAGACAAAGAGCAGCTATGCAAAGAGATGGGTGCAGTCGCTTTCGTCGACTTTGCCAAGCAGGATGTCGTTCAGGCTGTCAAAGACTTGACAGACGGAGAAGGTGCGCACGGCGTTATTTGCGTTGCTGGCAGCGAGAGGGCGTACGGGCAGGCACCGGCGCTGGCGAGGAACTGTGGTGTCTTTGTGTGCGTTGGTCTGCCGCCGGACACGTATATGTTCCCCATGTCGCCGATCGACATTGCGAACAGAGGGTTGACCATCAAAGGGTCTTCGACTGGAACTGCCAAGCAGATGGAAGAGCTGCTTCAGCTGACCCTTGAAGGCAAAATCACACCGAAGATCGAAATTTATGACTTCGAGGACTCGCCAAAGATCATGCAAGAGCTGATGCGCTACGAAGTGACTGGGCGCAAAGTTGTTCGCGTGTCACAATCAGGTCTCAGCTGAGAGAGGGAAACAGGGAAGCAGAGAAACAGGTTGGATCGCAGTGCATTCGCATGGAGTTGAGGGAATATTGTCGGAGTTGTGCATCGCGTTACATGTTGGAGGCCTTTAAGGTAGCCGAAACAGCCGGCAATGGGACCTGCTCCCTCGGATAAATAGGAGGTATTCTGGGACTTTTGGCTAGGCATCATTCCTGGCTGGAAAAATCCACAAGGGCTACAACGATTCTACCAGCGAAGCCACGCAACAGCAAGGACAGGTTCAATTCGATGTGCAAGGAGATGTGGACGCTTGATTCGCACATAGCCTGGGAATCCATTTGTCACATTCAGACCCTCGACTGCCTGTTTGATGGAAACAGAGCCTCCCATCATGCGCTATTCAGCGTCTTGCTGACGTACTCAAGGGTCTTGGTACCCAAGCGTGTCAGCAAACTTCGCTAATATGTATAAACGAAGGATCAGCATTTGGAAAAACTGTCACATTCCAATTTCAGTTTCCCGACAAAGTGAAAATGGCGCCGAGCGACTTGTATAGAGCACGACCTTAATCCGAGTATCAAAAAACACATACATTTCCAACCTTCATGGCCTATGGCGAAACTGAGGTTGAACATTCCGCAGCTATCATCCTCCATGGGTGTCGCACAAGTTCCACCTCACCCTCCCCTAGAGTACCTCAATTTCGATCTCATCCTCTCCTTCTGGATTTTCGAAGCCGTTCCAATACATCTCAAAGATCTCTCTGCTGATGTCCAATGCAGAGTCGGCAGTCTTCTCAGCAGCGTTTCGAGCACAGATCCTTGTCCAGAGAATTTCTTTGTCCCTAGCTCGCAGAAACACGAAGACTATTCTACCCCCACCATCTTCAGCTATCTTGCGCCACTCATTCCTATCTTCCTTGGCATAACATGAGCGCTCGAACGCGATATCCTTGCCCTCAGCCAGAAGCTTCCGGAATGTGCCCAAGTAGACCGCATTTGCTTCACTCATGTATTGGTCATACAGAGACGATGAGGCCGGATAGTCGATGCCATAGATGCCATGGGCTTTGTAGATGATATCGTCGATAGATATCCTCGTGAACTGGGGGTGGTATTTGAGGACCGACTTTACGAGTGTGGTTTTACCGGCACCTGCACTCGTCAGCCTACGCTAGTGAGCATTAACTCATTAAGACAGCATGCCTGCTAGACCGCATGTCATGAGTACCACCGGACGTGGGTCCGAAGGTGTACGCTGCAGGTGGGGAATTAGTACTTCTGGCACTGGCACTCCGGGGTCTGCCATTGTCGTTATTGATGCTCTTTTATGTCTCCTTTGTATGGCAGGTTGCCTAACGTAATGTGTAACGGTTGAGAGGAGAAGCAGATCACGTGTTGTTGGTGGTGGTCTGGTGCTACTTCCTCATGTTGTTGAGCACCTCTTACCTCAGCTGCATCACAAAGACGTCATCAAAACAGACCCTGCAGCGAGCCTTGGAGAGCAAAGACACAAGCAACACGTAAACACAGAACAACACAATACACTCGTTATATATATTTGCTCTTGATATCGCAACATAATGGCTTGCAGTGTCAATGTTAGTGGGCTGACTCACTCGCGGTCCCTGATATAAGATGTGTCACAGAGCATCGGTCGGTGCTCTGACTTGGCAGCCACCAGTCAGCCGGTCGTACCGCAATGGAGCAATTTTCATGCGCCGCAAACGGTTGGGGAGAGCGAAGCCGTATCTGACATTATCGGTAACGGTCAAGCATCCTGCGCCTTACTCGGGCACAACCTACCACAACAAATCTATATTCTGTGCGGAAGCCCGTCTCATAAATTGACGTCTACGGCAGCTTTCGAATGATGCAGTTGACTAAGACTACGCACCACTAGGCTGCGACACGGTCGGTGCTGATAGCGTACGGTCAGGCGGTCCGCGGCAAGCATCCACATCTTTGCTCAGCCTCCCGCTATTTCTCTCCTCTAGCCATGGCTTGCATTTTGAGTCGTCTCTGGGTCAGTGGCAGGGCCAGTGACATGGCTTGGGAGCGCATGCAGGAGTTTGCTGCCGCTCAGCCTCGCTCCTGCGCTCAAGCAACGACAACGTACTTTGGGCATGAAGACGCTTGGATATGGCGGTGGAAGGCTTTACTTGATACACAGCCTTTTCTTTCCTACTAAAAGAATTCCAAATTCTTCTACAGCATTACGGATACGTATTTTAGACACAGTGAACAATGTCCAACCTGCGCAACCTCCTAGCCCTAAGTACGCGCACCTTCGAGTCTACTTTCAGTCCAACTCCCTTCACGCGGCCCTCAAAGACAGTGCGCACACCATCCAGCACGCGAGTCTTCGTGACAACCTGGTCGGTCGCGCCATCACCTCAGTGATCCTCAGTCGCCGCCTGCCGCTCGGCTGCAAACAGGCGGTCGTCCACCTGCATCGTCCAATTTAAGGCAAGATCGGCGCGAGAGCGCTCGACGATCTTGAGCTCTTTGTCTTTCATACCGGCGATGGTGGACGTCGTGTTGGATGAACGTCAATGTTGGTTTCTGCGGGACTGTGGACTGTGAACTGTGAGCCACGGAACTCTATACAGGTCTGCGAAACATATTTAAGTAATTTTAGTGATCCCAAACCGGTGCGCAGACTGTCAATTTGCGTGCGTGGCTGTTGGTGAGGCTAGGAACTTGCAGGGTGGTGTGAGGAGATGTGGCCGAATTTTGTATAATGAAGAAAAGTCAAATGTGGATGTAGCACAGCCAATCAAGGCATGTCTAGGGCGCTACAACGACACAGTGAAGGAAGTGAAGGTGTCTATTTGAACACATCGTGGAAGGTAGCTGTCCCGGGAGAGACTGGGAGCAAGCTGCGCGTCGCCGAGTTGGCTTGATGCTGCCAATACCGGTATGGACCGTGTCATCTTGTCGATATTCACACGAGGCCATATGTGCATAAGTGGGCATATCGAGGTTATTTGACCGACTGACAAGTGTGAGGTGGGACCAGTAGAGGGGACTATCAGATTTGCCAGCTGTTGTGCGGCTCTGAGAATGTGGGCATTCGAAACTTGAACATGAAGAGCAAAAGAGCGCCTTTTGGCGGTAAACAAGACAGATCTGCATATAGCCACCTCCACCTGCGACCATCTTGACTATGACCACCACAACACGCCCAGACGTTAGATCGAGGCCGCGATTGCATCCTTCACGCAACGAGAGTGATTGGTTCTTTGGTCGTCCCGTCGGCAGTCCGTGATCTTAAATGGGCTGGCGATCTGTCAGCCGATCTCAATCGCGACTCTCCGCACTGGGAATGCTCGCTTGTGAAAGGCTCCTGGACATTCTCTCTCATTCTGCAGCAACACTAACACCAGTCACGAAACCAGGACTGTGGCTCGGGTCGGACACATCAAGAATATTGAAGAACAACGGAAGTAGCTGCAGCAAGAGCGATTCCCTTTCCCGAGCGTCTCAAGAGCGGTCGAAGAAGAACGATACTGATCAGGGATGAGATGATGGTGTGGGGTCGCGGATAGTGCTAAGCCTCATTCAATGAGCTTAGCGCTCTTGGCGATCACGAAAGGCACGCGTCGCATTTGCACGCAGACAATGCAACATCCAGATTGTTTGTGGGTCTACTCTGCCGTCCTGCATATTGACGACCCGGACCTGTTAATGTGAACCTGCCCGATTTTACGGATGACCGCGGAACTGGGGAAGCCGTAGCGTCCCGCATTCACACTAAATCCACGATGACGATCGTCGTTCTAGGTTGAGCGATTTTATCATTCATCACCTACACCTCTACCTATACATCATCTTCGTCGTGTTGCCCCGCGCAAGAGCTGGACTCTGGTATAGCACCGAGCGGCTATTGTTACTCCATACTTATTGCGTCAGTCTTCACGTGCGACAAACACCGATCACCATGGTCGACGCCACCCCAAAGAAGAGCGGCTTCCGGGCAATGTTCGGGATGCGCCCCAGTACACCGAAAGAGCCAGGGATACGGAAGAAGCTATCTAAGAAGAGCTCACGAATGGAACTCACAGCGAAGCCGGGAGCCGATGATGCAGCAGATCGCCGACGTCAGGACTCCGGCAGCTTCTCTAGCCAATACAGCGGAGAGCGAGCAAGACAATATGGGACCCTGCCAACGTATGCAGATGTCACAGGGTATACTCCACCCCTCTTTCGAGATGACCCATACACAGCGCTTCGTTCAGAATCCAATGTCGTCCCCCAGTACCTGCAATCAGATGCCGTCTACCGTCGCAATTCAGGAGGACTGCAACAGTCCGCCGCTCCGTTCTACCAAGCTACCACTGCCAATTCTGCTAGATCCGGATCTCTGCCTCAAATCTATCACCCACACACCGAGAACAAGTATCAGCAACCAGCATCATCAAGATTTCCACCATCGAAACTGAGCAAGGCCCATCGAGCACCGGCAACAGTACGACAAAATGATGTCCTCGATAAGGACACTGGCGAACGCAAGGACCTCACAGACATGATGCATGCTTTCACATACAACGAGGCGCTTGACTCGGTTGATGAAGTGAGCCACGCGCCGGAAGAGGTCTACTACGACCCAGACAAGCCAGATGGTACAGCCACGTTGAGTGCCGTGTCTCCAGAGATCTGGCTGCACATAGCAGAGTACATATCAGCACTGGATGTTGCACATCTTTCATCGACCTGCCGCACGATGTTTACTCGTTTGGGTCGCCAGCCCTATAAATTATTGTTGGACCCCGAAAATCGCCCGCACCGTCTCGACTTTTTGCTTGCAATGGATCACAAATTGCCTCGACATCTTTTCTGCTTCCCATGCGCTCAGTGGCATTTCCGAATACAACCAGGCTTCGAGACGCTCAAACCGCACAATGTCCTCAACCCACTCTTCGAGTGTCCGAATTTTACTAACAATCTTCTCCCGCCCCCAAGGATCCGTATCAGCGAAGGTCGCACGTTACCATTTGCTTTTGTGCAGCTAGCAAGGCGACACTGGGCATTTGGACCTGAGTATGGAATCTCCCACGAGTCCCTTGGACGCCGCTGGAAGGACCCTCACTCGCCATGGTTGCACGAGAGCAAGTATCATGTTACCGACAGGGGGCACGTCCTGATGCGCATCAAGTCACAATCTTATGTCGAGGGCGGGATGACGATGGCGGGGAAGCGCATGTTGATCTTCAGCCGAGAAGACTACACACCGTATTTCAGTGTGTGTAGCCACTGGAAGAACGGTGTTCTGACCTCGGTACCCAAGTGCGCACTCGATCACATTCCGGTCCCAGAAGTGAACATGGTCAACGGGATCAAGGACCGTCTGGCTCCCAAGAAGGCTGTCGGCAATGTGCCTACCTGTCAGAAGTGTAGGCCCATGCGTCGCTGCCCGGAGTGCCCCACAGAGTATTTATTCGAGCTCAAGATGGTGGAAGACAGGACAGTGAAGAGCAATGGAGCAGAGCGATTCAAACAAGCTCTTGTCGTCACGAGGTGGAGTGATCTCGGGCCTGGACGAAGCCCCGTTGACAGGGAGTGGGCAGCTATCATTGGCGAGAACGAAGAATACGACAGCTTCCAAGAGATTGGTAGGAGAGCGATCAGCGGTGTTTTCGAGAGTGCATTTACCGACACAACGCCTGGCCAGAGGGTTGTAACAATGAACCCGCAGAAGGTCAAAGCGAACGAGATCGCCGGCGACTGGTACTAGACCGTCGAGCTGGCACTTCAAAATGATGCCCTGGAAGGTGCCTCAAGAGGCACATAGTAATATCAACGAGTTCTTCGTTGCCGCGCACTTAGACCTCAACAGTGCACGCACGCCCACGTGATCACCTGATAGCACCACGCTTCTTGGCTTTTCACAGATAATCGCCTGTCACGGAACGATGCCGCAACCATTGATGCGGATCCTTCCTACTGATACTCCTACCTACGTCCGGTAGCGGTGATTACCATGGAAATCTTTTATCGGTCCGACACCGCTAAGGTCTGTGTTGCCAAGATCTTGGGTCGAGCCAAGATCAGATTAGATGGAATCGATAAAAATTCTTCGTTCAATGCGTCGTCACCACGTCCGAGATCCTTTACTACGTTTGTGGAGCTCCGGTTAACGTTATGGCTTAGTGCGCACTAGAAACCGCGGAAGTGTCTGTCAATTTGGGAGGAACGGGTGATGCGGCTCTGCTCTTGCCGAAACTGCACTTCGACAGCGTGTACGAAGCTCACCTGAGCCTAGTACATGTAAAAGCCACGCGCGAGATGTGGATTCTACACCGCGCAGTCGGATGTTGATGGACCAGGGTTGATCAAGTGGGCATATCTGTGCTCAAGGAACACGAACTCGACTCGATGGCGCCTACACATAAGATAGAACTGCGTCCCTCATCTTATCTGATCTCAAGCTTTACCCTCCTTCAATTCATCCACATCCTGTTATCTCCAATCAACCTCAATATGCGCTTTTCTATGGAGCGTGGCCGTGAAAATGGCTCGGTTGAGAGCCAGCAGCAAGCTTCGACACCAGCTGAGAAGGATCCAGGTGCCGTCGTTGCCAGTAGCGGCTCATCAGTTCGGAGCGAAGGTGGCCGTAGCACACTCGTTCCACTCAAGATGAAGCTTATCTCAATTCTGCTCGTCTCTGCCATTGGCTTCGGTTCCCACTGGAGCAGCGGCGTGACTGGTGCGATGAAGAGCACGCTGAAAAAGGTACGCGACCACGATGCTGCCATTTCACCGACCGCAGCTAACAAAGTAGCAACTGCACATCAACAACGCACAGTATGCGGTGCTCGATGCGTCTGAGGATTTCATGAAGACAGCCTTGATCTTGATCAGTGGACTCGTCACTGACAGAATTGGTGGTGCCAGTGCTATGCTCTGGGGCAACGCAATCTTCAGCGTCGGCGCTATCTTCGTTGCAGCAGCCACCACCGTGCGCTCGTACAAGTTCATGATCTTCGGAGTTGTTGTTCAGGCCTTCGGCGACATTGCTACCCAAGTCGCTCAGTACAAGGTTTTTAGCTCCTGGTTTGCACCTTCGGACGGCTTCGCGTCAACTCTGGCCTTGGAACTCGGTATCGGTAAAATTGGGTCTTTCGTAGGCAAAGCCACCGCCAACATTATTGCGAAGAACACCGGTGACTTCAGCTGGGTGTATTGGACTGCTGTGTTCATGAACATCTTCACTAACATTGTCACGCTGGTGTTCTGGTTTTTTACCAAGTGGTGCAACAAGACCTACTCTGGCATGCGCGATCCAGCGACGGGAGAGAGACTCACGGAAAACAACAAGAAATTTGAGTTCAAGAAGATGCTGCAGCTGCCATGGACGTTCTGGGCTGTTATTTGCTTTTCGCTCTTCCAGACCAGCACAGCCGGCATCTATAATCAGAACGCCACTGAATTGGCCGAACAGCGCTTCGACATCGACGCAGTCACTGCGGGCTGGTACTCAGCTATGTCGCAGTACCTGGGCTTCTTCCTCATTCCGCTCATCGGCATATTCATCGATCTTCTCGGCAATCGGATATCGCTCATGGTCGTCTGCGCATGCGGTATGCTGCTGTCCATGTGCTTGACTGCCTGGGGTCCAACGATTGGCGGCACAGCTGCCTCCTTCGGTATCTATGCGGTCGCAACGTCATTCGGTCCTACCGTCATCATTGACTCCATCCGTACTACCATGTGGTATCAAGAAGTCTTCGGCTCCGGCTACGCGGTCAAGATCGCCGTTAACAACAGCATGACCATCTTCGTGCGCATTATCACAGGTGTCATTCAGGACCGCGACAACAACTCCTACGACAACGTTGTCAAGGGCTACGTTTTCCTCTCTGCAGGCTCTGTTGTTATTGGCTGCACATTGCTGGCGGCTAGCTACTGGACAGTCGATCTGAAGATACTGCAGTGGACGAAGAAGCAGCGTATGGCGAATGGCGAGACTATCAATGACAGGAGGAGGATGTTTGAGAAAGGTGAGGTGGGCGTTAGAAACAGGAAGATCAGTATGACTTTGTTCATTGCTCTCATTGTATTCATCTTGGGCGCCTGGGCAGCGTACTTCTGGGGCGTGGCCACTGGCCACAACAAATGAGCGAGGAAGCTTCTATCCGCCACCATAGTCTGCATATGATCCATCGTTCAAAGTACACCCTCCGTCTTCAGTTCCGCCAGTCTTCATCCCCGTCAATGATCTTTATGTTTGTCATAAGCTTGAAGGTACTTAAACCTCTGTACTCTCCTCACTCTTGCCCGTAAATTTCCCTTCGACCCCGTACTCGCTTGCGAATGGTGTGAGCACCTGCGTCGCTGCGTTCAGCTCAATATTCCATGCATTGTCGCGAGTAGCGACAAGGTCGGCCCCGACAAGCCGAGAGAGAATTGACTCGGTGGAGGCCCTCGTAGACAACTTGTTCAGGATAGGCGCAATACCGCTGCGCTTGGTGTCTCAGTCCATTTTGGGGCGACAGGCCATGCATGTATCCGCAGATGCCTGCAAGGTCTGGTGATCTGAGAGGATGTACTCGAATCCGCACATGGCTGTGGGGATAATTTCGGTGATTCTGTATGTGACGTGCGTGAAGGCAAAATTATATAAGCAGGCAATGACGACCATAGGTTTACTTGATCAGATGAAAGCGTCCGTACCACTAACTGTAGTAGGCACTGCCACAAAAAAATATGGTGCGATTTCGATGAGCTCGATCAGCAATTTTGCCGAGCAGTCGTTGCGGGTGTAGCGTTGGTGTGGATCGCTTCAACAAGAGTATGTAGCTTCTTTGCGCCTATGCCGACTGCCTGTAAGGCGAATCGAATGATTTTGGTCTTGGGTGATGTCTATGACATAGACGAGACGGCTGTAGTCATAGATGAGTTGTACGGTAATAGTCTGTATGGCGCCCGCTGTGACGGGATCGTTTGCGTCCGTGAACAGGCTGTCGACAATGCCTTGTGTACCGTCCTTGAAAGCGCACAGAAAGATGTCAATGAGGTCGTGCTGGCCGAAGGCAGAGGAAGGTGTTGTCGTCGATGCGCTGATGCGACTACAGCAGGTCGCGGTGGTTGGTTTAGTAGCATGCGCTCAAAGAAAGACGAAATGACCATGCGCTGATCGATGAAGGGTTTGTTTGTAAGGTAGTGTTATACAATCCTGTGGGCGCCCTTCTTTGCGCTGCGTGGCACCATTGTTTCAGAACTTCCATGTTCAAGTAGTTTTATACAAGTATACATTTACCACCACCACCACCATCTTCTGCTCGCACCGAGCCTATTCCACTTCCATGTCGAGTTGCGGTGAATCATGTAGTCCTTGCTTTGGATGCTCTTGTAGATACCCCAGAAGCCGCCAAGCGGCCAGACATTCTTCAGCCGCATACCCCAGTCATTCTGTGCCATGGCGGTGTATTTCTGAATATCCACGTGAACCTTGTCGTGCACGCCAGGCAGACCACCAGCGTTATACTTTGTTCGCAGGTTCTCGTGCCACTGGCGATCGAACTGCGACCAGAACTCGTCCTTGCTGTAGTATGTGTGCGCATAGAGCCACTTCATGCCGCCCATATCTCGCAAGGTCTTCTCAAGTGCGCGATTCTTGGTGAGGTACTCCTGAGGCTCTTGGGGTCCAAAGCCCCACAGACCGATGTTGAGCATTTGTGTGTCCTCCAAGTCGCCCTTGGTATGTGGGTGCATCGTCGGCTGCTCGCTCTGCTTCAGCGGGCAAAGCCAGATGGGCCAGATGTTAAACTCCTTCTCCGTGTAATCGATAAACTTCTCTGCGTTGGGGTAGGGGAGGGCCATGTCTTGTACGATGTAACGCGTGGCGATACCACTGGCATGCAAAGCGCGGTACAGCATGCGTGTGTGCAAGAAATCGTCCAGGAACCAGCGGGTGAACTTGTTGAACGGAAACTTCATGTAGTTGAAGGCAGACCGTCCAACCCAGAAGCCACCACGATCGTAGCGAAACATGTACTCAGCTAGGGGAATGTACTCGACCACAGGCTCGTTCGATGTGCGTGTCGCCTCTTCGACGTGTAGATAGAACCAGGGATCCAAAGAGTGGGAGAAGGATCGTGGTTTCATGTTGGGAGGGAGGTGGTTTGTCATCTCTCCAATCACAATGGCACCGTGATCTTTCGAGAATAGAATGCCGTCCACATAGTCATTCTTCTCGCCTCTCTCGCCTTCCGTGTGCTCACGGACCTCCTTGACAGCTTGTGCTATGCTCCTGGTGGGGTAATAGGTTGTCTTCACGTACTTCTTTGCCTCAATGAGTCGGAGATTGACAAGTGTGGTGACTCCCAGTGTACCAACTGCACCAGCAGCTCCGCGAAAGAGATCTGCATTCTCCCTCTCAGATGCTTTGACAATTTCACCGTCTGCCATCACCATCTCAACTTCGTTGATCGTCCTGTCGAAGAAGCCAAACTTGAAACTACTGCTCTCACCAGCAGTTCCTGCATATCCTCCACCCACAGTGATGCCAGGAAATTCCATGACCACCGGCGGTACCAACCCGTGTGGCAAAGTGGCTTCTACGAGCCTATCCATGGGCACATTGGGCTCGACAAGAGCCGTACGACTCTGCTTGTCTACTTTGACGACATTTCTGAGGCTACTGATGTCGACGACGCGCTTCTTGAGATTTGGGCGCGTGGAGTTGGTGGATCCATGTGATATCCTGAAGGGCTCCTTGCGTGTGAAGTAGTCTTTCACCTTGGAGGCTACTTGCGAAACAATACGCTGATGGCGATCCATCACGGAAAGGAAACGAAATGAAGGACTCCTGCAAATGCAATGCGCTCTATTGATACATGATGCTACAGAATCGTGATGTTGCGAAGAAGATCCGTCGTTCGCCGCCGAAAAGCTCAGACGGTTCTAGTCCCCAATGAGCATTAGCTTCGATGTGGCCGCTCTGATTTCGAGACCCTCATTTCGTTGCGATAAGGCCATATGGCTCGTTCTTGCAGGTCAGGCATCGAAGGATCGTTATCTCCTTGGAAGCTCTCGACGCTGAACAGTTATAACGAGAGCACGTCGACCGTGGGCTGCAAAGTTGGGACCTGAATCAGATGGACCCTGAAAGCCGGGCGCATCACCCCCCCTTCGCTTCGCGCCTCCATGTGAGAGGTTCATGCACTCCGCAAAAGTTTCAGAGACGCCACCCGAACGAAGTCGGGGCTAGCTTTAGATGTTCACGGTCAAGTGTGCCTCGTATGTCACAGCCTGGGAGCGGATGTTGCACCGAGACAGTGGGGCTCGTGTGCGGGGCGGTTGTCAGGCCTACAGTCTTGCCTGGCGATCCTTGGGGACGCGCTTCACAAGTACATAAGTGCCACGCATCTGCCGTTCCTTTTCGCGAAGTTTCCACTCTTCGGCCTTCCCTCAGTATGGTAATACGGACGTTTGCAGTTCTGATTGGAGCTGCTGCTGCTCTGCAGCCTTTACCGCCGGTGCAATGGACGAACACGAATTCTTTATCGAATGGTTTTAGCGGGATAGCGGCTCGCAATTCATCGAAGATAATCTACATCCAGGACTCATTCGCAGATACTTCAGATACGGAAGGTCTCACCCTCATTCCACCGACTGCATTCCAATTTGCGGAAACATTCCGTCGTGATATCTCGAACTGGACTACCGCCAACTGGACGCTCCAAAGAGTCGCCCAATTTCCAGACAACGCTTTTGGGATTCTCCTGGGACCCTTCAGAGGATCCGATGATGAGGTCACATATGAGAATGGAGCCACGACTGAGGAGGGATACGAAATCGAGATCACCAACCGTACTGTTTACATTGGTGGAAAGGGCGCCCGTGGCATGTTTTGGGGTACGAGAACGCTCCTGCAGCAAGCACTGATCGCCAATGGATCTTCCTTGCCAGTAGGTCGCACAATCGACGCGCCCGCGTATGCAACACGCGGCTATATGCTTGATGCCGGTCGCAAATGGTACACGCCGGAATTTCTGAAAGAGCTGTGCACGTATGCGTCCTTCTTCAAGATCTCGGAGTTCCACTACCACAGCAGCGATAACGCACCTTTGAACAGAGGCCATAACGAGACATGGAACAAGGTGTTTTCACACTTTTCGCTGTACCCAGAGGAGAACACTGAGCTCCAGGGTATCATCGAGCGCAAGAACGAAACGCTTTCAAGAGCACAATTTGACGACTTTCAGAATCACTGCGCACAACGAGGTGTGACGGTCATTCCAGAAATTGAGGCCCCAGGGCATGCTCTTGCCATCACAAAATGGAAACCGGAGCTGGCGCTCACAAAGAAGGATTTGCTGAACCTCACCCACCCTGACGCCATCCCAACAGTCAAGGCCATCTGGAGCGAGTTTCTGCCATGGTTCAAGACAAAGGAGGTGCATATTGGTGCTGATGAGTATGATTCTGAGCTTGCGGATGATTATATCAAATTCGTCAACGAGATGTCTGAGTTTGTAAACTCAACAGCTAGCAAGCGCATTAGGATTTGGGGGACTCATGAGCCATCAGTAGACCTCACAATTTCCAAAGATATCACCATTCAGCATTGGCAGTACGGGCAATCCGACCCTGTGCAGTTGCAGAACGACGACTACAGTCTCATCAACTCGAACGACTGGTGGGCATACATGAGCCTGAAGAACGACCACACGCCTATCCTACCTGCGCCATACCCGCAGTTCTACAACACCAGCAGGACATTGAATTTTGCAGATGTGCCAGGTTGGCAGTGGGATCCATCACTCTTCAACCAAGTGAACACAACCAAGCAGCTTGAACCTGGCGCTAGTGGCAATAAGGGCGCCATTCTCGCGGCCTGGAATGATAACGGACCCGATGCCACCACACAGCTCGAGGCATACTACGCTATGCGCGAAGGTATTCCAGTGATGGCCGCGCGCGCATGGTCCGGCAGACGCGGCGTGAACATTACGACCGAGAACACCAACGTCGCGATCCGTTTCCTGGCGGCCAATGCTCCGGGACAAAACCTGGACAGACGACCTGCGTCGCTGCGTCAAGCTGCGCAGACCAACAGGCCAGTCCTCTCCTGGAATTCACGAGATGGCCAGATGGCTCAGACGTTTGGCAAGGGCTCCTTCGGTCCGCCATACACCCTGAGCCTGAATGTGTCATCGTCCTTTGCCATCAAGGGTCCTGACACGTCTCTAGCTATCAGTAAGGTCATCACCAACGCTACCACAAACTCCACCACCCAGACCCTCGTCTTCACAACCGCAGACGGATTCCCGTACCCCCTTCGCAACGTCTCCTATGACGATTACGATCCTGACCACCCAGGACGTATCTGGGCAAACGAATCAGCATCGACCCACGAGCCCGTCCCCATCACGCTCCCCATACGCCTGCGTATCGAGACGGATATCTACAACGGCAGCCGGGTGTGGGTGAATGAGAAGTTCGCCGGTCGCTTCGAAGTGTTCGTATTTGGCGGTCGCAACACAGTCTTCAGCTGGAGCCAGATGGCGCTCGTTGCGCCGCTAGACAGCATCGATGGAGGAGTTGACAGTTTGAAGCTGGAAAACGGAATAGGGATGTACAATGTCACGGCTGGCAATGGGAGCTATGGGCCTTCATCCCCGGAGCAAAATGCTGCGAGGGGGAAGGGGCTTAGCAGTACGTTGCAGCTGCTTGTTGGGCTTGTTATGATATGGATATTTGTATAGTATGATACCATGCACTATTAAGGGTAGCGTTCGCATATTGCATTATTCTATCGCATACAATCTTCCTTATGATAACATCCCGATGACTGTCGTTGTATGATTTTGCACTTGGCCGCTTTCCGTCCTATATGATCTTCTTATCAGCACGTGGGTTACTCCATGGACACGCTTCCGAGCCTAGTTGTAAAGATCCTCTTCCGCGCCGGCGTTACCACTGCCTTTTGTCCGTCCCATCACAAATATTCCGTCCTGCCAGACTCGCAGAGTACATTATTCCTCGATGTCATTGAAGCCAACTTCATTTCCATGCACTCGCTTCTTGTGAGTCCTTGTGGACGCGGACATATTGAGGAGAACAGAATTAGACGGCGGGCGTATTGAAGGGTTGTGAGGATGTGTGGAAGCGTGTATCACACCGTGACTGAGGTTATAGTTTTGGTGGAGACCGAGCCTACAAAGAGGCTAATCATGGTATGGCCGGGGATACGACTTCCATCGTACCTCATTCTTTGGGAATGTTCTATTTACCTGTATGTAAGATGGAACATCTTGCCTGTCTACATCCCCAGGATCTGTTTCCTACCGTCTCTCTGATTTGCGTACAGATTGCTCCCTGCTTGCAAAGGTCTCACTGGCTGTTGCCGGGGAAAGTGGCGCATTTATCGAACTCGCCGGAAACAAACTTTCTCACACGAGGCTTACGCTCGCAAGGCAGCTCTAAGTGCTTCTTCTCCAAGCAAAAGGCTTCCTCTGTGCTGATCTGAGGCTTGATGGGCGTAGTCACTTAGTTACCGTCGAGCTGCTTCTCGCGTGCATGGCCCCGAAGGGGGTCAGTAGCTTGCAGGCGCCTGATATTGATCATGTTGAGTAGTTAGAGATCAGATGATAACAATTTGTGAAAGTCTGTGATGGTGTTGAAGAGGTGTCTGTCAAGGCTGAGTTGACTCTTATTTCGAATTAGCTGGACGCAACGGTCACGTCGGAGGGTCAATTACTGAGACACTCGATTCGCATTATGTCTGGCATCATCCCGACTGTAAATATGTGCACAAAACAACGTTGCATTCGTTTCTGCGAAGATGTGAGACCAAAACATCGCATCTTTTAGCACTCTGTCTCTAAGAGATATGCTTGTACGGAACCGGATCTCCCAAGTGTCAGAATCCTTGCGCTGTTCGGACCTGAGAAAGGTAATATACAGCTGCAAATGTGCAAACCAGGTATCTTCGTCAAGGTCGCCGAACGAACCACCGTAAATGATGTATGTGGGTTCCGATTCTGTCGCACGGCCTGAAGCCTTAACCTACAGTCCAGTCTTCTCCTCCAGTAAATTTTTGGATGGGCAGTAAGCGGTCATTTCCTTGCGGTTGTGAGGAGTCACATTCTGCCGAGGAGTGCCGGACATGTCGCTCCTCGTTCTACTCTTTGGTGTCATCAACCTTCTCCTCAAGAGCTCGTGGTCCCTGAACTTGGACTGTTTCTGACTTCTTGCCGGCGATGATTGTATCCCTACAGGTATTGGCTTCACCTACTTCGCGGATGGTCTGGGCTCGGACTTCGAGCTGCTCATAGAGCTCAGCAATCTTGGCATCGCGCTTGCTGGCGTGGGCATCTCCGTTCGCTCGGCTGTCGACCATATTTGTTTCTGGGAAAGACTCGTTGGGTTGACGGTTGGATAGATGTTGGTTGCGGTTTGATCTATTTAATATTCGTAAGAGATTGATCTGAGCTGTAGATTTTAGTAGAAGTGAATGCTCAGGCGAAGCACAGAGAAAGTCAAAGACATCAATGGTCATGCTTCGACAGCCGCCCATGCCATATTCTCAACCTGCCTTCAAAGGCACATCTGGAAAGCTTCATACAGACCATCACCAAAGTGACTCCTTCTACGACCGGCCTGAAGTCAGGACGTCAATGGCCCCCCAGATCCCACATGTTTGGAGAGAGATGTTAACGCGTGAGCCGAAGCCCATCAGCAGTGATGTGGCCTTCCAACCGTTCAGCACTCCACTCGAATAAAGATTCGCACAGGAGCCAAATTGTAACCACCTCAAGGCGCCAATAATTGTAGTGGTTCGCTTTCTTAACGCACTCTCTAGGCGTGGACTGCGCTACTAGGCGTGGCCCTTTGGTGACATGGTCTGTTCTTCGATGGCGGTCGGTAAATGTGCAAAGGTCGTGACAAGGAGGGAAAGAAGAGTGGAGGGAAGGACAGGTATTGTAGCCATAAATATCACACTAATAATCGCGAATGTGGCAGCGGAGGCAAGTGATGAGGCCGTGTTCGGGTACTGGCTCCGGTCTAGTACATGTCAACACCATGTAGGTCTCGATACGAGGGCGCCTGTGCTTCCCTTCTGCCGGCAGGCATATCTGGTTTCGTCGCGAGAGCCTGAAACTCTCGTCCACCGGTTGCTCGGGAGGCCCGTCAACCTCGAACTCTTCTTCTCGGATTATGCTTTGCGCCACTGCAGCACGTGCCTAATCTACTGTATCCCGAGCGTGTTCCTGCAGCAAGCTTGCACGCTCTGGTGCCGGTTATGGTCTGGTACGTCGATGTTGAATTTGATTGGATCAAACGAAAATGCTGCGTTGCATAACTTACAGCCTCCAGACGCGCAAACGCCATATCCAAGCCCGAGAAGATGAGCTCAGTGCAGTCAAGCTCGAGCCGGTCTACTTTGTATTCCGTTAATGTGCTCTGATTGTGGCCGTCTTCATCCGGCCCTCCTGTTCCCTTACTTTTAGTCGCGCATCAGCTACTTCGGCAACAAGCTTGTCGTTCGCCCTTTCGAGTACGCGTGCTTTGGACACGGACTAGATGGCTCTTACACTGAGCCTCTGATTCTCGCTCGGCACATTGGCAATCGCGCGCGACGGCGTATCGTGCTTTTCGCGCGGCATGGCTTCGGTGTCTACAGTATGGAGACGGTTGTTGACTCTAGAGAGGCGCACGCTATTTGCATGGGTCCAATTTTCCTTCTACTTTACGTGACAAAAAAATTCACCTCTTCCTTTCCTTCCCAGATCTTGATCTCGATTGCAGAACTTCAAGAAGACGGACTTCGGCAATATACCCATCGGTCCGCGCGATCAGCGAGCAAAACGCATCGCAGTCCTCTGCAGACTAGCAGACGTGTCAAGGCGCTGAACGCTTCAGTATGCATGCATTGCCCTTAGATGATACAGATTCGTCTCTTCTCCGCCTCTTCTATCTCCTCACATACGAAAATTTGGCCCATACCAATTCGCTGATAGCTGTTCCCATCTTCCGCTCTCTGCACGATAAACACCACATAGCTCTCCTTGAAGGGCTCGCACTTAATGACAGTCTTGGCTTCGTTATCTAGGGTTCTTCCTCATGAGCAGGGCCTCTACGTCCTGTTGCTGAGTCTCATCGTCTTCGAATTTTTTGCCCTCGTCCAGAGCTACCCAGCCGAACCACTTCTGATCTTCACTTAAGTCGAACATGGGTGGACTCTTCTCCGCTGTTGAAATAGACGTATACGCTCTGGTGATTTGGGTGAGCTCCCATTGGTGTGCTGTGGTTAACTTACTGAGTCCTAACAAGACGGTCTGGACTTCTAAGACTAGCATCCCACCAGTAGTGACGTCGATAATCTCGGTTTTGCGGGTAGTACCGATCTCCACGGGCTTCTCTCCAACAAACGCGAAGTACACTCTTCCGTCCATGCTCGCCCAGCTCCAGCTCGGCGCTCGATTTGCCACCCTTTCTCGTCGTTCACTCATGGACTCATATGGAGCAGTCCGCCATGAAAGACCAAGATCCAGTGAGGTCTTCCACAAGCCGAAGAGATACTAATCCCGAGTCAGGTCAGTGACATAACTAGGAAGACCTTCCAAGGCCGGCAATTTGTCAGACTCGAATGTCAATTTCCGCTTGGTATAGTCTTCCAAGATCAGCAACCAGGTGCGTGTTAAGACTGAAGCTACAAGCTGCTTCAGCAAAGCATCATTCCTTCCGCGAAAGCCTAAGAGCATCCACTACAAGACATGGATATCTAAGCTTCCTTCACCAAGTTTGTCGCTAGGTCGTCGCGTCTCGTACTCGTAACGCTCTTTACACTCAAAATAACCTGATAACAGTCGAAATGCAACGTGCGGCGTGCTAGCTGCTTCTCTTGTAAGATCCACGCTCGCGAATCTAGCGTGGTTTGGCGGACTTATTGTTAGAAGTTCGAAGTCCGGTTGTGGATAGTCCAAGTACCGTCTGTACCCGAAGGTGACGTATAGGTGAGTCAAATACTGCAGGCTGTTGGCTCGCGCTTGAAGAACAAGCCACCATCGCTGTTGCTGGAAGCTGCAGCAGAGATGGTGACGTAAGCATCCATGTAAACAGAGGCCATGCGAGACGCCTCTCTCTCCCAGTCAGTATGAGAGTCTTGGAGCGTGCATAGCGAGTCGATCCGCAGATATCGCAAGCCCAGAGCGCGCGTGACGAGCACTGCGTCCTGGAAGGTCTTAGGCAGATCTTTGAACGGGATTCTAGTTCGATGTCTGTCGTAAGTACCGGTTCCGGTCTTGAAATGCTTCGTCTCGTCCTAGCCGTGGCTCAATGCAATATATCATCTTCTTACCTCTAGATGACGCTGAATCAATAAGCATGACGTGATCTTCGAAGAATTCAACGTCGAAAAGCCTGGTCGGCAATTCGCCGTCCTCTTCGCTGTACCTGGCCCTCAGTCTCGCACCTTCGTCGTCAACCAGTCCAGCGTGCTGAAGTTCCTCATGTGTGTAGCCCATCTGGCACTTCTCGTGTCCATCTACACATGAGGTGATCCAGCTGTTGATCAAACTAAAAGTGCGATCGCTAAGTGAGGATACTGCAAGAGGCAGAGTCGTTACAGCCTCTGCAGAAGCAGAATTTTCATCTGCCTCTACAGCCAACCAAGAAACTGCCGTGTCTTCCGTCAATTGCTGGGTCGCAACGTTCTCTCGCTTGAGCGGGCCACATGTGAAGACGAACTGATGAGCTTTCTGGTCGGCGGCGGCGTGGTATCCATTGGTAGATACGGTCACGGAGGTGTCGTTGACGAGCTGGTATTTGCCTTCAACGTGAGCTCTGTAGTTCTCTGCATTGGTGACACGGCCGTGCCGCTCAAGGCGTTCGCAAATCATGCGACAGAGCTCACATGTTTGCGCCGAGGTGCGAAGCTCGGCGATGCACTGATGAAGCACAAGTTGACAAGTGAAAGGTGTGATCCGAGAGCAGGCTGCGCAGACCGACACGGTCTCGAGTTGTGAAGGTGTCTGTAGATGTACAGGACTCTATCAATCGTATCGGCGTGGGAGTGCGCTGAAAAAGACCTTGTGGTAGGAGTTTGCCTATGTTGCCAGTATCGTGTCGACATTCAGTGTGCCCGCGTATCCCCACGCACCCCACACGTGCAGATTTAGCTATAGACACGACAATGGTGCGCGAGATGCCAGTCGCTCTCCAATCGGTGCGACGGGTTGACGCCACACTGCGCAGCTGTCCGAAACGGTAGACATGCCGAGGTATCCTGGGTCAGCCGAAGCAAAAGCTCGTTCAAGCTCGCTTTCTTTTATTGGTATCCGTCTGGACTTCTTCCAGTTCTGCGAGTCGCTTGTGTACTGTCTTTTGCTTGCGAACGTGCTCGTTGCAAAACAAATGCTTGTACAGCTTGCGTTTCGACTCATAGTCTCGCCAGCAGACCACACATGGCGCCAACTCATCCCCATCATGCAGTTTCTCGTCAAACTGGTGATCCGGTGGGGCGTCAACAACACCTCGAATCCGAAGTGCTGTGTCTTCGAGCGCTGGGCTGAACCCGGACTTATCCTTGGAATCGAGCCCTCGTTTGGCTTTGGCGGGCTGACGATGACCCTTCGTCTGCTTGAGATGCTTCATGAGCTGCTTTTTGGAGGGAAACGACTGACGACAGATCAGTCATGTCGGTGCTGTCTGAACTGTGGCCGGAAACATCTTTAGACCGATAGTAGCCAAATCGTTCTTGACTTGCGCAGCTGTAGGACGATGATCTCGCTCAGGACTAAGCATGTTACTAATGAGACTGAGAAGTTTCAGAGAGTAGTCTCCCGAGATAGCCATGGGTTTCACGTCCTCCAATAAGGTGGGGTCCTCCAGGGTACAGAGGCGATGCAGAATGCAGCCGGACGCATATACGTCTGATTGCTGCGAAAACGCTGCCAGGTATCCCCAAATCTCTGGTGCTTCACAACCAGGCGTGCCTCTTCTTCCAGTGATGCGTGTAGCGGGCGTCTGCACTTAGCTTGCAATACCGAAGTCGGCGACATACAGATCTGGTACATTCGGTTGCGTTACCGGATTCCACGGCTCTCTCAACAGCACATCCATCGGCTTAATGTCTTGATGCAAGATGTTCATACTGTGACATAGCTCTAGAGCCACAGCGATCTGATATCCAATTTCGACAATTTGGCTTTTGGAGAAGCGTTCAGCAGCACCTCGGAGCATCTGAACCTGGCGATCAAGGTCTTTACCCCGGTAATAGCCCATGAAGATGGAGAGGTTATTAGTCTTTCTGTTGAGCTCGAGACCATCATGCAATGCTACAATGTGCGGTGCACCCCTGGGGGCCTTCATGTGGTCGTACTCGTCCAATGCTGCCTCGGCATTCTCCAGACAGACCCTGCTTGCATGTTATCGTCTAACAGAAATCACTTTGTATTCTCGTCAAGTTAGATTTTCAATGGCTCGCACCTGCCCATTTCGAAGAACCTTATAGACTTGGCCAAAGCCCCCGCCCCCTATCCACTTCAGGACTTGGTAGGAGGGTTTATCGCCCTCGACGAGCCACGGCTTCTTCGGCATGGTGATTGTTTTGGAAGAGGATATGCTTGAAAGGGCAACTAACTGGTAAGAGTAAGTATATGGATTGGGGAAGAGAGGATTACTGATTCGGCAACTAGGACGTAACGGGATTGGCGCGCCTAGACTCGGGAGATGGTCCACGAAGGTGGGCTTCGTTCGGGTTCTCCACATGTTCATGACCTCGATGTCTGTGGTTCTGGGTCCTTTCGAAGATTCTCGCCAGAAGACATACGAGCGATTGTTGAATGTTGCACAGAGTTTGTGAAGAGCAAGCGCAGTGCATCAATGTGCCTTGAGGTGTGCCAGTGGCGGTTGTGCTCCAACATCAGAACAAGCAATCACAAAAGTCATCCAGCTATACGACGGAGCACGATGACGAGTAGCGGCAGTGTTGCGCTGTGTAGCGTGCTTTGTAAGTCTGTCAAGGTGGTTAGGGACCGACGCGCGTTCAGCCTCGATGGCAAGTAACGAGGGTACGGCCCGCTGCACAGATGCAGTGCGTGATCCAAACTTTATGGGGGCCATTCACCGTGGCCACAAGGCTGCGCCTACTGTTTAGCTGTTCACGGTACAGCTTGCGAGTGATGCTTCTATGCTGCCATTTGCGAGCGATGATCGACCGAGGACTAATCACGATTCTGCTGCTGAAAGTTCCCTCTTTACCTCGGTCTTCTTGGTGACGGCCTTGGGAAGATAGCCAGACATCCAGAGGCTGTCAACGATGGGACTAGCGTGAAGGCTGACAGGCAGGTGACGTGATGTTCGTCGAGGCTCAGTCCTGAGCAGAGGCCCGGCGCGGATCGTAGCTTTTAAGATTAACAAGCGGTTGCCCTGCTCCACTCATCTCAAGTTCTCAACGACGAGTCGTTGCGCCCACTGCTCACAACAATCACTGCATCAATTCGCATCGCTACACACATTCGCGATACACAATATCCCTACTGCGCCAAATTGTGCATGCTTCCGTCGCTTCCGCATCTGCCTAATAGCTGAATCGCGGCCTTCCGAAACATCCTTTGAAACACTACGACACGCGCGACAGCCATGTCGGGCAACAATTACCAGCAATATGGCGGGAACCCCTACGGCCAGGCGGAGGCAGGCTATGGCGGTACCAGCAATCCATATGGTAACACCGGTTACGGGTCTTCGAACCCATATGGCGGAGGCGTAAGCTGAGCGGATGCGCGCCTACGCGACTGTCACTAACACAGCGATACAGTACGATGAGCAGAACGCTCGCCCAAACCAATTAACACAAGGCGACTCGAACTACTCGCAGCCCTCGCAATACTCGGCGCCCGCGCCGACGCAGACTGTACCGCACACAGACGCTCCTCTGCCTCACGGAAACACAGCTCAGCAGCACTACGGAAGCAATGCGCAGGTCGGTCAGCAGCCGTACGGCCTCGAGCAGCCTGGCACCAAGCCCTTGAGCCAGCAGGACTTCCTTCAGCGCATTGATGGAACCAAGACCCGGATTAGTCAGCTCACGCAAGACATTGGCGCCATCTCGAGCATCCACCAGCGCATGCTCTCGTCGCCTGACAACCGCTCGTCCGCCGAACTGGAGAGCATTGTTGCGCAGACACAGATCAGGAACACCCAGATCAAGGACGAGATTAAGTTCCTCGAGCGCGATGCCGCGCGCGATTCCACCAATACTTTCAAAAAGACCCAAGTCGAGTCGCTTAAGAGGACGTTTAAGAGTCAGCTCGAGGACTTCCAAAGGGAAGAGGCGGACTACTCTAAGAGGTACCGCGAGGCCATTGCCCGTCAGTACAGGGTCATCAACCCTGAGGCTACCGAGGCAGAGGTTCAGGAGGCAGCGAACGCCGACTGGGGTGACGAGGGTATCTTCACACAGGCAGTAAGTATCTCGCCTCCATCAAATCCTGACTCATTGCTGATCATGGCCGCAGCTCAAGAGCAACCGCAGTGGGCAAGCGTCCAGTGTTTTAGGCGCTGTTCGTGCTCGTCACAACGACATCCAGCGCATTGAGAAGACCATGGTCGAGCTAGCCACTTTGTTCCAGCAGCTGAACGAGCAGGTCGTCTACCAGGAGGAGCAGACTGTCCAGGTCGAGAATCAGACCATCCAGGTCAACGAAGACGCTAAGCACGCAAACACACAACTCGACCAAGGCATCAAGTCTGCTAGGCGTGCAAGAAAGCTCAAATGGTGGACACTCTTTGTTGTGGTCCTCATAATCGCCATTATTGCTCTGGCTTTGGGTCTTTACTTTGGTCTCAGGGACAAGAACAAGAACACCACCTAGGGGGGTGAGCTTTCTGTAAACCATCCTATGAATGGGCCCAGTCCGACCGTGCTTAGGCGCTTTGGATACCTCCTGCGCAGGAAAGTCGAGAAGCGTGCTGATCACTCGTCCTGGTCCGCAGCACAGTCCGGTATGATAGTGCCATGTGGTCCGATGTGCAGGTTGGGTCCTGCGCCTTGGTTGCTGCTGGGCGCTTGGGCTGACCCTGCACATAAGATATCTTGATGTGGTTTTATGAGCTATAGACGTGAGGATATAACGTCGTTAATCGTAATGAGAGCTGCAATTAGCAGCTGTGTGTATACTGAGAGTTAGCAGGTAGCGCAAATTCATGATCCACTGATTCAAGATGAAGACCCACGGTGATCCTCATCCCGATGGTGGCTGTGTTGACAACACGAGACACTCGTGCAGATGATGATCGCAGGGAAAACCATCCCCTTCCACGGCTGTCAGACAGCCTCGTAAAGACTGCAACCAATAAACCCAGCGTGCCGATTTCACTAGCAGAGGCTGCATCTGGCGAGGTTTCCGCGCCACTCGTGTCTGCTAGGCCGCTCAACCTGCTGTTAGCTAGCCACCATTATCCCAATTCCACCAGCTGTCGCCGTGTTGTATTGCTCCACGAGTCGGTTGCATGTTGACGATGAGCTCATGATCTAATCCTGGTGTGGCCCACCCAGCACTCCACAGCTGGCAGGGCAGCAGGGAACGGCAGCGGCCTCTTGATACAGATCTTCGTTCATTCGCACAGGAATGACTGCGACGCGCGTTTCAGCAGCTTCTCAGGCAGACAAAAGAAGCACGGTCGCCGAGCGAATCGGTACTCCCGGACACAGACTTGTCTCTGCTTGTCGCTGTCTGGGCGGCTCCTTGGTTGAGCTTTTCAGGGGGCAGGGGCTGGCTGGGCGGAGGCTTCTAAGATTTGGCAGGCACTATCCCTGTCATGTGGGGCACCCCGGCCAATGAGGCACGTTGCGCGCATTCCGCAGACAGCAACCGCCAGGTTACGGTGCAGGGAGCGGGTTCCTCTAATAACCCATCGCCCCAACTGGTTTTGAGTAGCCTTTGACTTCCTAGCCGTCACTGTTCTCGTGCGCGACTTCTACCACTGCACCCTTTTCTAATCGCACTTTCGCCCCGGCGTATCCTCTCGTTTGCAGCTGCCTTTCACCGTCTGTCGCTTTCAGCCTCCCAGTCTTTGTGTACGAAAAGCTCTTCTTTCGCCACGACTTCAACCAACGAACTTATTCCGTCACTCACACAAACGCCATCACAATGAAGAGCATCGCCATTGCTGCCGTTGCCGGCGCCCTCGCCACAACTGTTGCTGGCACTCCTGCCGCTCCCGTCCAGAAACGCGCTGATGTCACATCCATCACCGTCAAGGGCAATGGTGCGTTGCCGAGAACCATTGAGAAATTTATGTGAAGCAACCACTGACAATCAAAAAGCCTTCTGGAAGGGCAGCCAACGTTTCTACATCCGTGGTGTCGACTACCAGCCTGGTAACAGAGAACGATCGCCCTTGTTAGACCTCGAACTGATTTCCCATAGGTGGTGCATCTGATGCAAAGGACCCCATTGCCGATGCTGATGGCTGCAAGCGCGACATCGCCAAGTTCAAGGAGCTTGGTATCAACACCGTCCGTGTCTACACTGTCGACAACACTGCCGAGCACGACACTTGCATGAACGCCCTCGCTGATGCCGGTATCTACCTCGCACTCGATGTCAACACCCCCAAGTACTCGATCAACCGCGCTTCTCCCCAGGTCTCATACAACAAGGTCTACCTCCAGAGCGTTTTCGCGACCGTTGAGAAGTTCGCTGCCTACTCCAACACGCTCCTTTTCTTCTCTGGAAACGAGGTCATCAACGACGACGCCACTACCAACTGCGCCCCTTACGTCAAGGCTGTCACCCGTGACATCAAGTCCTACATGAACGCTCGCAAGCTCCGCAAGGTCCCCGTTGGCTATAGCGCTGCTGACGTCGAGTCCAACCGCTACGAAATGGCCGACTACATGAACTGCGGTGAGGATGCTGTTCGCTCCGACTTCTACGCCTTCAATGACTACTCGTGGTGCGACCCCAACACCTTCACCGGTGCTGGTTGGGACCAGAAGGTCCAGAAGCTCAGCAACTACTCTTTGCCCATCTTCCTGTCGGAGTTCGGTTGCAACACCAACAAGCGTCAGTTCAACGAGGTCAAGTCTATCTACAGCACCGACATGTCTTCTGTCTACTCCGGTGGTCTCGTCTACGAGTACTCTCAGGAGGACTCCAACTACGGTCTCGTTGAGATCAGCGGCAACAGCGTCACGGAGCTTACAGACTTCACCACTCTGAAGAATGCCTACGCCAACGCCACTGACCCCTCCGGTGACGGTGGTTACAAGTCCAGCGGTTCTGCCTCCGTGTGCCCTACCGAATCAAAGACCTGGAACGTCACTATCAGTGCTGACCAGCTCCCTGCTTTCCCCAGCGGTGCTAGCGACTACCTCACAAACGGTGCCGGCACTGGCCCTGGCCTCAAGGGCTCCGGTTCCCAGTCCTCCGGTTCCTCATCGACCGACTTGGCCGGCGCCGGTGACGGTGCTGTCACTTCCGGCGCTGCTAGCGGCACCACCGCCACCTCGTCGGCCAGCAAGGGTGCTGCCTCCTCTCTCCGCCCCGGTGAGTTCTCTTATGCTCCCCTCGCCATGGGCGCTGTCGTCCTCGTCTCCTCCCTCTTCGGTGGTCTCCTCGTCCTGTAAGACCAGCAATCAACTGAGCAAGGCCATTCTTCCATATCTTTGCGCTGTATGAGAGCACAGGCAGGATGTAATGCAAAGACCCAGTGCGGGCAATGTTTTACCAATGTTAAACTTTCCTTGGTGTTGTCGGATCGTAATGATAGCCGGCCTGGCGTTTGACTAGATTCGATCACTTGGTCGTTGCATATAAATAGAAATCAGAAAGAAAGTTTGAAAATACTCTATTCGTAATGCTGGCGACATTGAGATGCTTGTGAGACTTGAAGATCGATAGAGGCTGAAGGCAAGGCTGCAATCGATAAGATTTTTGACGGTCTGACGACACCGATCTTTCGGCGTTGTGCCCTTCTCGCGCATCAAAGCGGTCTCCTCCCGACAGTCCCTTCTGCACATACAATCCACCATGCCGCGCGATCCCCTGATCGGTCTGGTGGGCAAGCCGTCGTCTGGGAAGTCGACGACACTGAACAGGTGCGCATTGCCCCTCTCCCGCCACGGATCGCCAGTCTGAGTCCTGCGCAGCTTGACAGACGCAACCTCAAAAGTCGGTCCGTACAACGGTGAACTTTTATGAAAGGCTCGTAGGCTGATCGAAGTGCAGGAAACTTCCCGTAAGTGCTCACCTTACCCTCCTCTCCTCGCACATGACTGGAAAGGGCATATCTCTCGCTTATCCATCTCCAAGATGCGTCCTGACACCCGTCCAGCTTCACGACGATCGATCCACAACGAGCCATTGGCTACCTACAGATTGAATGTCCTTGCGCACGCCTCGGCCTGTCCGACCGCTGTAAACCCAACTATGGCGCCTGTGTCGACGGCCGCCGCTCCGTTCCTATCGAACTCCTCGACGTCGCCGGCCTTGTCCCCGGCGCACACATGGGCAAGGGCCTGGGGAATCGCTTCCTGGACGACCTGCGTCACGCCGACGCGCTCGTCCACGTCGTCGATGTATCAGGAACGACGGATGCTGAAGGCAAGGCGACCCGCGGGTACGACCCAAGCCAAGACATCGTCTGGCTGCGCAGCGAAATCGTGCGCTGGATCCAGGGAAACCTGATGGACAAATGGGGCAGCATCAAGCGGCGGCACATCGCCGTGAAAGCCACACCGATCGAAACCCTGCAAAACCAGTTTTCAGGCTACGGCTCAACAAGCGCAGTCGTAGCGCGCTGTCTCGACAAGCTCGGCCTCCTAAGCGGATCGACCAAGGTGCCCCTCGAGCACTGGGACGACGAGACAATCGAGCGCGTAGTCAACGCCTTCACAGACGAGAAATTCCCCACCGTCATCGCATTGAACAAAATCGACCACACCGACGCAGACAAGAACATCGCCAAGATCGCAAAGACGGCGGATCCGAAGAGCATCGTGCTCTGCAGCGCGATCAGCGAGGTCTTCCTGAGGAAGCTGGCGAAACAGGGATTCGTCAGGTACGTCGAAGGCAGCGAGTTTGTAGACACGCGCGAAGACCTTATCGAGATGGGTGATGCTACAGGCGGCGGACTGAAGGAACTCGACGACAAACTCAAGCAGCGCATCGAAAACCTCAAGGACATGGTCCTGTACCGCTTCGGCAGCACCGGCGTCGTGCAGGTCCTGTCGCGCGCGGCCGAATTGCTGGGGCTCGTGCCTGTGTTCCCTGTGCGGAATATCCAAAGCTTCACGTCCGGGAGCGCGTCGAGCACGGCCGTGTTCAGAGACTGCGTGCTAGTGAAGAAGGGCAGCACGGTCGGCGATGTGTACAGGAAGGTCATGGGAGATGCGCCATTGGCGTACGTAGAGACCGAGGGCGCGAGGAGGGTGGGCGAGGACGACGTGGTGAGCGTGGGGAAGAACGACATCCTCAGCTTCAAGGTCGGGCGGGCGTAGAAACGAGACTGGAGGAGAGGGAGAGATCTCAAAAAGTGCTTGAGCTGCACGGCGTCGCTCCATCTCTATTCAGCTCTAAGCGTGTTGATACAGTGGTGATACGGGCACGTGAATATATCAGCGCTCCAGCACGTATCGGCACATCGTTCAAGAACCCACAACGCGACGACGACGATCCATGCCCGCACGAAACCACATTCAACACCTTCCCATCGCAACACAAAACACACTGCAAGTTCCCACCACAATCTCACTATCTCGCTCGCTATAACCGCACACCAAATACACCATCGCGCCCACACAGCCACCCATCCCTCTCCGCAGCGCAGCCCACACTCCACGCCAAAAAATGGGTCTTGCCGCGACTCGAACGCGGGGCCTCTCGCACGTTTACTCAGGTACCCTAAGCGAGCTATTGCATGTTAGCAGAGTTGCCAGTTGGAGCTGGTGAGCTGAGGTGAGGGGCGGGGGGCTTACAATCATACCACTAGCTGGATTGGAGTCAGGAATGGATTGGTTGCGAGGGTGATGAGTGGGACTTACACCACAAGACCGTCACGTGATTTCGATGGAGCGGTGGTGGGGGATGGGAGATATGTAGGAGTTTAGTCGGGCAGGAGGGAGAGGCGTGGACGGGGGTGTTGGGGGTTGTGTGGAGGATGGGAGGGAGTGCGAGGAAGGGGAAGTGGGTGTTTTCGTGAACGCGAACACGGATATCGACTTCAGCTTCAGCTCCAGCCTCGCTAGACGACACGCACAGCACCACTGCCCACGCGCTCCACCATGCGCACCCAGCGTCTGCGTCTCCACTCGCCCTTGCGACTCGGCCGCCCGCTCTCCCACGCGCGCCTCAGTACCTCCCTCTCCTGCTCGCCGACGTCCCTGCTCTTGCCTTTCCTGTGCGCTTTCGTCCTGTCCCTGTTCCCGTCGTCGAGGACCTCGTAGTGCAAATCCGTCACCCAACGCTCACCCTCGATCTCCACTTCGACGCCCGTGACGCAGCGGTCCTCGACCCACTCGCGGCTCAGCATGTCGAGCGTCCACTTCTTGTCGCTCCAGCGCCATCCGCGGGGCGGTAGGACGTCTTCGAAAAAGGCACTGCCTCGCGGTCTGTCGCCCGATATGCGGGCGGGTGAGAGGGGGGAGTAAGGGGAGTGACTGAAGATGAAGGGTTCGTACTCGCCGCTCTGGTCGTGCAGGGCGCGGTGCTGCAGCTCGAAGATTTCGACTTCGCGCGCTTCGTTGCTGGTTTGCAGCTCGATGTCCTGTTTGCTCGCAGACAGCAGGAGGGAGCGGCCTTCGTGCTCGGCGTCGGCAATGAGCGCCTCGTTTTCCGGTGTCGCGAGGAGGCCTTGCACAGTCGGGTGCCCCATGGCAGTCGCGCCGTAACCGAGCAGGAGGAATATGAAGCGCCAGGGGAGCAGGTGCGAGACCAGGAATAGCGCGCACGAGACAAGGAGAAGTACGATGTAGAGCAGCGAGCTGAGGTTTTCGTTTGAGAAGTTTGTCAGGGGCGTCAGGAATTGGAGCACGGCGTCGTGGCCGCGAGAAAAGTCTTCCATGCAGTTTTGTAGGTCGCGCATGTTGCGGAAGAAGTCTTTGCTGAAGTCGGGGGCGGGCTTGATGGTAGGTGCGTCTGCGAGCGGTGGGCCGCCGATGGGGTACAGGTCCGTTGGGTACGACGTTGGTGGCGGCGGGTGTCGGGTCAGGTAGGCTGGTACCATGATGAAGAAAAGGCAGCATGCTAGAGGGAGGACGGGGAGTAGGTGTGGGTCGATGCAGATGAACGTGTACATGAAGAGGAAGGACAGTGTCTGGGTGGGCTGTCGCCAGGTAAAAAGACGAATGAGCCGGTTTTGAAAGACGAATGCTACACCAATGCGAGAATTGAAGCGCCGGAAGTTCGAAGACATAGTTGGAAGGCTGAAGTTTGGGCGCTCGACATAGCTACGTGATCGGCGGTCCTTGACCTGCGGGCTTGCGTTGTAGCTGTCATCTGGAGGCGATGTCGAAGACGGATCCTCGCTGGGCAAGACCTGAGCGAGAAGCCTGCTCTCTGTAAGTTTTTTTCAAGGAACAAGACTGGCACAGGAGCTTACAGGTTGATCATCCTATCGCCCATCCTCCCTGTCGACTCACGGCTCATGTCGTCCCCAAGCGACTGGAGTTTGTCTTTGAGCTTACTGGCAGACAGTCGATGTGAGCCATGTTCTGGATCTGGCGTTTGCGGTCCTGAGCCATCTGCAGGGTGGATCTGAACCACCGGTATTGGGGTGTCGCTGTTTGCGAGCGAACTTGAGTTGTCCTTGGTCATGGTGGTGGCTTTCCTTGGGTCGAACCAGTGGCTTCCTTGGATGTGGAAGTAGCACAGTTTCGTGGTGTTGGCTGATGCACCCGATCGGTGTATGTCTCAATGCGTCGAGCGCGGGGTGTGGTTGACGACTGGTGTCTAGTCTTGCTGATGGGGCACTTCCTCTTTCATCCAGAAGGCCAGCGTTCACGCAGCTGAGAGGTTGTTGGTCCGAGATGATTGCAGGCGTCTCACTCATGTTCTCAGTCCCGGTGCTCCAGCTCTCTCTCCATCCTGACGTCTGCAGCCTAGTCGATGCGGTCGTGTGAGGTGCAGTGGGCAGCACCGACTATGGATGACGCAGTAGCATGTGAACAGGCATAGCCTTGGCGACGTTCGGCAGCCACGCGCTTGACCCCTGCCAGGTCGCGGGTGACACACGGGAGCAAAGTACCGCCGTTGCTAGATCTCAACGTGCATCTTGCATCCTGCATCGGAGCAATCCTCTGTATGATGAGGAAGGGTAGGGTGGAATGGTTGCCCAGGCAGCGCCAGCCCGCGTACCGGCCACGCATCGGTGGTGCCCAACCCCCCTCAACAGCACGAACAAAGCTGCAGAAAACAAACAGAGGTGCCGATCAGGGTTCAAGGTGCCGTGCACATGCGCAGTGCCGTGCAACCGCCAGGGTCGACCGGAGTCGTGTGTCTTGCCGTCGTGCAGCAGCAGGCTGGCCTAGACGGCCGCGAACGTGACGACCGTGATGCTGCACGCAGAAGACGCTGGACGGCTGTCTGACCTGCTGCCGGCTCGGCAGCCAGCAAGATGGCGCCGTGTGTGGTAGCCAGCGCACACAGGACCCAGAAATGCAGGATGTGGACCATGCACGCGTTCCCCGGGTGAGGGTGTTTTGATACAAATCGATGGCGACCTCTGGCCCATGCGCCGAATGAGAGGGCGGCTTGGGCACAGCAGGGGTCGTGTTAGCGGCTATCGACTCTCTGTACCTTTGGGCAACTTTGGTAGACGAGCACGACGGTCCGCTAGCGACGCGATCCCCTTTTGCAGCACGACTCGCCCTTTTGCAGTGCACACACAGCGGTGCCCTCTGCGACTCGGCCGGCGAGACAGCTCCAGGACGCCCCTTGCCCGCCCCCGAACCCGTCCTCACCGCCGACCGCTGCTCCATCGAAATGTCCACATAGCCTGAGCCGCTCCCCAAGCTCGTCGCTTGGAGACCCGTCTCGCGCAGCCCGCCTACTCGTGCTGGCACTGGCTCCGACTGTGATCCGGTAGCTGCGTGGTGCTGACCATGTCTGCGCAGCCTGTGCGATCGGGGGGGACCGCCATGGACGCCCACCACCCAGGCTCGAACGCGTCCGAGGACTCGAGCGGCTCGACAGGTACCACTGCGCGCATGCTGCATGGGCAATCAAGGTGCTGATACTGCTAGACGACCGCGTGCGCAAGTTCCAGAAGACGGGCGACCACGGCAGCCGGCTGCGCAAGACGAGCGCCTCCAACGCCGTCTCCGCCGCACGGCCCGGTCTGCCCGACCACAAGCCGCTGGGCTCGCAGAGGCGGACGGCAAAAGTGCCTCTGGGGCCTCGGGGCCCGCCGCAGGACTTCCACAAGCACCGGTAGGAGCGACCCTGCTGATGAGCCAATGACTGCAGCATTGGCCGGAAGGTGCTGACCGTGCATAGCGTTGCCAGCGCCACCCTCGAGAGCCGTCCGCACCTGCCTCCCACGAGGGCCGCGCCCACGTCGAACCCCGAGCCGCGTTCCAGCCTCGCCCAGCAGCCACAGCAGCAGCAGCAACAGCAGGCGCAGCAGCAGCAGCAGCAGCAGGCCACCGACGACTCCGCCGAGAGCGGCGCGTACGACTTCCTGCCCGCAGTCAACTTCGACGACTTCGCCAACAGCCTGAGCTACGAGCCCGCCCTGAGCGACTTCCCTGTGCCTGGCAGCTTCAAGAGCACTGCACCGCCGAGCAGCACCACGGTGAACATGCAGCCATTCACCGCGGGCCCGGGCGACTCGCGGCCCGCACGCAGCAACTCGTTCATGCGCCGCTTCAGCCAGTCGAACACGCGCAGGCCAGGCTCCACCAACCTCTCCAAGGCGCCCGCTGCCAACGCTCCCGTGTTTGCGGACAGCACAGCGATGCCACCTCCCACTACCAACATGGCCATTCGAACGCGGCGACAGAGCCACTTCCCAGCGCCCACTGAAACGACCCCCGCAGCACGTGCCCGAAAGAGTGTGGGCCCAGGAATGCTGCCAATGGGCACGTTTGAAGGGCGCAGCGACATGCCACGAATCACCAGCAGCAGCATTGCCCCGAACGGACTCGGGCGTTCGCCGTCCAAGAGCAAGGGCAATCGACGAGAGACGCTGGCCGCAACCTCCAACCCACCGAATGCTACACAACGACTCCCGAGTGCGACACGGACTGCAAAGGCGAAGTCGCTGCAGCCACCGTCGAGACAAACATCTGGCCAGCACCTGTCTGCTCATTCGCTGACACCAGATCAAGGATCTATGCCTGCATGCAACGTTCGCTCGCCGGGCAAGTCGCCTGCGCAGGCTCAGCGTGAGCACACGCCTTCCTCGTCTGCCAGTAAACGGCAGTCTACCGTGTCCCATCACTTTGGCCTAGGAGCGAGGACGATCAGCCCGACTGATGCGCGAAGATTGAAGCGTCTCTCGATGAATCCAAACATGCCCATGCCGGGTGGCCCAGTTGGGCCTCCCACGCCACAGGGCGAGTTCTCCTTTGACGACCGAGCTTTCAGCCAGTCTCCGGGCATTTCGATCCGGAAGAGCGACACACCGTCCTCTGCGCGTGGAACGCCCGAGCAGAACCGCAAATCGTACGCTTCAGGCATCTCTTTGTCCTCAACATCCAGCATCAATTCTTTGAAGGTTGGCGGTTCTTCAATACCACTGCGTACTAACGCTACTTTGCAAAGCTCTAGATTACCCACGGCGAAGCCACGAAACGTTCACAGCTCCGCTGGCGAGGCCCCAGAGGACGTGCCGCCCGTACCTGCCATCCCCAAGGCGTACGAATCACCCAAAGACCCCGATCGCCAGACATTCTCCTTCTCGACTGCTGGGGTGAAGCCAAGCACGCCATCTTCGACGTCAAGCCAACCACCTCCTGCGAACCAGTACATGTATGGGGCACGGGGGGCTGAGCGTGTCAGCAACGGCACGTCACAACTGAACTCCAGCACTGGCTCGATTAGGCATCGACGAGGACTTACAGTTGGTGCCAATGTGGACGCCGATCGAACACCGACGATGCAGCATTCGAGCAAGAAGGATCTACAGCCGATCAGACTGCCACCGCTGAACCTGTTGCCTCTCGACACACCGGTCAGCAACCGCATCTCTTCATTCTCGGCCCCTTCCAGGGAGGCTTACAAGCACAATGTCACGCCACCACCAAAGCGGGGAGCCAAAACACCCAGCACACCCATGACGGCTTCCAAGACAAGCTTCTTTTCTGGGAGCGGCTACAATGGGTACGACTTTGGCAAGCACATCCGCAGCAGCAGCTCTGCGATCAACCTGCGAGGCGGCAGTCAGGAGGTTGCAAAGGATAAGACACATGGTGGACTGTCGGCAATGCCAATCCCAACCTTGAACCCGGGGCGACAGGCCACAACACCCTTCTCTTCAAACTCTCTGCCCAAAGGCAGCGGCGAGTTCACTCGTCTCCAGTCCCGTCCCAGCGGCGAATTTCAGTCCAACGAAAAGGATGTCGAGCTGCAGAGCATGAAGACTGCAGGCCCGCGTCCGCTGAAGAAGAGCAACACTGCGGAATCTACGCAAACATCCAACTCGACGGACCCAGAGACTCCTTCGTCAGCCACGTCAGGACTGAGGCGCAAATTGAGTTTGGGCGGCTGGCGGCGCAGTGGTTCCAAAGCTGCATCGCATCCTTCGCAAAACCAGCAGACTCGCAAGGGCGCTCAGCAGGCCGAGGCGTCTGCTCCGCCACCACCCAAGCATGGCGATATGCCACCACCCCGTTTGCCAGCCTCGGCGACATGGAGCGGTGCTATAAACGCCAGCCCCACCCCGGATGGAAGCGCTCATCGCCCACGGCCGTCGCTTGATTTCGGTCGCCGGAAGCCATCCACAGCCACAATCACTAGCGAGATCGACTCTGATGGAGCAGCAACTCGCAAGGACACAAAGGCTGCTTCCGCACGAACGCCGACAGGGTACAACGCGGCGCCTGCAGGTCAACCCGCTACGAAGCCGAGCTCGTCCATCTTGCCATCTATGCAGAGGATGCTTGGATCTAAGAGTTCGTCCAATGTGCTCAGAGCCCGCAACCTGGATCCAAATCTCGACAGGGATGATCTGATGGCAGAAGAGGAGATGAAGAAGCTTGCTTCGAAACGTAAAGACTTTGAGCATGCGGCGCGCGATGTCGATGCGCTTCGCAAGCGCGCTGCCCCACAAGAACGCGTTACAGCCGCCCAAGCTCTGCAGATGGTCAACTTGAATATATTTGAGAGAGGCGAGATCATCGACTACAAGGAGATCTACTTTTGTGGCACAAAGAACGCGAAGAAGCATGTTGGCGACCTCAATGCACAAACCGCCAATTTCGGATATGACGACGACCGCGGCGACTATAACATAGTCTTCGGCGACCACCTGGCATACCGGTACGAGGTTGTTGATCTACTCGGAAAAGGCAGCTTTGGACAGGTCGTGCGCTGTATCGATCACAAGACAGGAGGACTTGTGGCTATCAAGATCATCCGCAACAAGAAGCGATTCCATCAGCAGGCTCTAATCGAGGTGAACATTTTGCAGAAATTGCGCGAATGGGTAAGTCTTTGGCGAATCATCCAGGTTGTCGTCACTAACATACATGCTAGGATCCTGACAACAAGCACAGCATGATCAACTTCACGCAGAGCTTCTATTTCCGTGGGCATCTATGCATATCTACCGAGCTTTTGGGTATGAACTTGTACGAGTTCATCAAGGCCCACGAATTCAAGGGCTTCTCGACGCGTCTCATCCGCCGCTTCTGCAAACAGATGCTCGGCTCACTGGTCCTCCTCAAGAGCCAACGGGTCATTCACTGCGACTTAAAGCCTGAGAACATTCTACTTGCGCATCCCCTACATTCAGAGATCAAGGTCATCGACTTCGGATCTAGCTGTTTCGAGAACGAAAAGGTGTACACATATATCCAATCGCGTTTCTACCGATCGCCCGAGGTCATCTTAGGCATGAGCTATGGCTTGCCTATCGATATGTGGAGTCTGGGCTGTATCCTCGCAGAGCTACTCACCGGCTACCCCATCTTCCCGGGTGAGAACGAGCAGGAGCAACTTGCATGCATTATGGAGATCTTTGGGCCTCCAGAGAAGCACCTCATCGAAAAGAGCAGCAGGAAGAAGCTCTTCTTTGACTCTTTGGGTAAGCCAAGAGTGACGGTCTCTACAAAAGGCCGTCGTAGGAGGCCGAGCTCCAAGACATTGCAGCAAGCACTGAAATGTGACGACGAAGCCTTCCTGGACTTTGTTGCACGCTGTCTGCGCTGGGACCCTGAGCGCCGCATGCGTCCGGATGAGGCTATGCAGCATGAGTTCATCACCGGGGCTCGCAGGAACGCTGGACGGCGACCTATGGCACCTGCGAGCACCGCATCTCCTGTCAAACGAGCACCGGTCGCTCAGAATCCGCAGGCCCGCGTGCGACCCCTGCCGGAGCCGCCGAAGCACGGCGCCCCTGCCAACAGCAATCAACGAGTGCCCAGTAGTTCTCCAGTAAAGGCGAACGTCCCTCGACGCCACTCAACAGTCAGCGGCCCACCCGGCCCCGGAGGAGCGGGAGTCAAGCGAACGGTGAATGGGGCCCCAGCCCCGACTCCTGCTGCAAGTAACCTTCCACGGGTTGCTCAGCGAAGTGTATCTGGCAAGCCTGACCTTGCCTCAGCGGCGGCCATCGCCAGTCTTGTAAGTTGAAGTTGCTGACATCTGCCATACATCAAGCTGACATCGACGAGCAGAAAACGCGCTAGCCGTTATGAACTCGGAACAGTGCTACACCTATGGCACCGGCCAGCTATGTTAGCATATCATGACGACTTACAACTATTTAATACCGGCTTTGAAGTTGGAGTGAACAGGTGCGCTCTGCACATTGCAGAGCTTGTGTGTATTTTCCCTTCGCAGGCATTCGTTGTAGATGTTTATACCCGGAAAAGCTGTGGCTTTAGGTTCAAGCGCGGAAGAATGAATGACGACTATTGGATAGGCAGGCGTGGTGATGAGGTGACGGCTTAAGGGAACTTACAATCGACATTACGTTGCGACATGTTGCTCGCGTGTCTCCACTCTGCAATCATGTTGCTCGCGTGTCTCCACTCTGCAATCATGTTGCGACGTGTGTGCTTGTGTACCTGATCGGCAGCCCTGTAGGACGCGAGCTTCTAGCGCACGGGTGAATGGCGTGGATGGGGCGAACTGATCCTTCACGAAATGGTGAATTCTTACTTCTGCAGATTATGCAGGAGTTTTGATCTTCGGTTTCGAGCGATGCGCCTGTTCTCGTCGAACAGATAACCTTCCCGCCGTTGTTGGGCACACTGTTTGGCTTCTGTAACCCTTGACAGCCTCTACGCCAAGACGACCTGCAGGTGCGACTTCGCAGCGCTGGACCCTTGCAAGGCGGGAGCCCTACGCAAGGATGCGGCTAGCGCTTTTGTTTCGCCGCAGGCCCGTTAGTCTCCACATGTAGACGTTCGGATCATAGACTGTCTGGTTCTCGCTAGGTAACTCGATTGCTAATTTTGCTCCAGATTTCGGACTTTCTCGCATCACAAATCGAGTGATCTCTGACGCCTTTGCAGCCCTTCGCATCGGTCGATTGTCCGACTGCGATTACACATGTGAAGGGTTTTCTTGTCCATCGGCCGCGGATGGACCTGTAAGAGTGAGAGCGTGCAACAACGCCTTGGACGTGCATTGCCTTTTGCCTTCATGTTTCATGCACGCTTGAGATTTAGGTCGTAAGTGCCTCAACTACTTGTTGCCTCCGGTCTCCTCTACTAGAAGCGGGCTAAGAATACACCTAAAACCGTGGTACCGTCCGCTCCGCTTCAGCAGCTCCCCACACGCCTCAGCACTTTCCCTTCGTCCCGCGCAATGTAATCAGGACGATCCGGTTCTCCTACAGCAACCTCTATTTCCCTTTTACGGAAACACACACATCAGCTTCCACCGATCGCAGTCGGGACTCGCCGCGCGGCCAAGGGCTGCCCTTTCCAAAGACCTCACCGGGATCCAGCTCGACTATCACGCGACTCGTTTGGTAGAAATTGCAGCCTGATTAGCAAAGCAGCGGGCGCTACATCAGGGTACCCGCGCCTATCCGTAGTCTCTACTCTCAAAAATCGCGCCTCTCCTCGATTTTATTCCCACAAGATTCTCCCAGTCTCCACAATGCTACCGCCACTACCCAGGTTGAGCGACTACGACGTCTCTCCACACAATGGTTTTCTGCCTACAGAGATACCACTCGACGTCCTTCCGGATGCGTACTATCAACCATGGGAGACCATCGTGCGCAGCTTCCAAGCATTGATCCTTACTAAGCGATTTCGACGAGTGATCGATGCTCTACCTGTGCTTTCCACCGACCTTCTCCTCACCCAAGCCGAATGGCAGCGAGCGTACTCAGTCCTTGGGTTCTTCGCTCACGCATATGTCTGGGGAGGTGATAGGCCAGCTGACGATGTACCACCATCCATCTCCATCCCCTTCCTGGAAACATGCAGGCATCTTGAGATGCCTGCTGTGGCCACATACGCAGGTGTCTGCTTGTGGAACTGGCGACCCCTCTTCAGCAATGAGCCAGCCGACACCCTAGACAACTTGGCGACACAAATGACCTTCACCGGCTCGCTGGACGAATCATGGTTTTACTTGGTGTCGGTGGCAATCGAAGCACGTGCTGGACCCATAATCCCCATGATGATCGAAGCCATTGCAGCTGCCAGGCATAACGACACTGCTATTGTTGTGGAGTGTCTTCGTACATTTGCCGAAAGACTTGACGAGATTGGCGTTCTGCTGGAGCGCATGTACGAGAGCTGCGACCCCCACGTCTTCTACCATCGTATCCGGCCTTTCCTCGCGGGCAGCAAAAACATGGCTGACGCTGGTCTGCCGAACGGGGTGAGATTTGACGATGGAACCGGACAGCAGCCTTACGTCCAGCTCGGTGGTGGTAGCAACGCACAGAGCTCGGTCATCCAATTCTTCGACATCGTCCTCGGTGTTGAACACCGCCCGACTGGCAACAAGCCAACAGAGGGAGGAGCTGTCGGTTCGCCCAACAACAACTTCATCACCGAGATGCGCAACTACATGCCTGGTCCGCACCGCAGGTTCCTCGAGGCTGTCGAGCGCGTAGCCAACATCCGGGACTTTGTCGAATCGAACCGCAACAACCGCGCTCTGACAATCGCATATGATGCATGCTTGGCCATGCTACGAACGCTTCGTGACAAACACATCCAACTCGTGTCACGCTACATCATCATCAAATCCCGCGAGAGCAAGAACGTGCCGCTCAAACAGGCCATGAACCAGCCTCAGCCTGTAAATCTCGCAAACACTGTGCAGCGCAGTGGCAGCAAGGCGCTTCGCGGCACCGGTGGTACCGCCCTCATTCCCTTCCTCAAGCAGGCTCGCGACGAGACTGGCGAGCCAGCTATCGATGCTTGGGCCCGCCGTTTGCTCGGAAATGGTCCAGGCGACGCTGGCATTGCAAGGCTCGGTAAAGTCAAAGAAGGCTTCGATGGTGCTGTTGAAGTCGTCGGCCTTGCAGGCACCTGGAGTGTCGACGACAGTGAGGGTGGTATCTGTCACTGGTAAGCGATTGACAACGTCTCGCTCCCCTGAGAGTCGCTCATGGGCTCTCCGATCCACCAGAGGATTTATCCTCGCGAAGTTGCATGCCTGCAGGCGTCTATCTGCCCACAGACGTTACTGTACGGGCTGGCTTCTAGGGCATTTGCATTACTTACGATCTCCTTCTGTTGACGCACACTCCTTCATACTTGAGAGGGTATATTTGGTATCATACAAACGCAATATACAGACCCTGTTCCGTGTCTCTGAGACACATATCGAGACGCCTGATATTGATTGCATCATACATGCAGCTAATCGCACACATGCCTCCACATGCTCGGAAACAACCGCGTTGTTGGATAGAGAGATAGCAGACAAGCTCATTTGACGGCGCCACATGCGTCAGATCTTCAGGATTCTGTCTGGTCGCTGCGTGTCGCGTGGCCGTGTGCAGGGCTGATGCTGGGTGTGCAGATCGCGAATGTTCTCGCGTCTGCCCAACGACCATGTGGGGTGTGACGTCACTGAGCGGCGTTCACATGTCGCGATCGCGCAAGCTTGCGACAGAGGGGTCGTAAACAGAGCCTATAAACCACAACAAGACCCTCCTTTTGCTTGCTCATACCAAAAATCAAGTCTCACACCATAATCAAACCCCTCTACCTCTTCACAGCATAAAAATCCCGCGACCATGTCGACCAACAAGGACCAGACTTCCACCGCTCAGTCGTACCTCGACCAAGCCACCGGCGCCATTCAAAGCGCCCTCGGCTCTCTGACAGGCAGTACAGCAGACAAGGTATGTCTCGACTCGCCTCATCAACCCTCCTTTACTCTATCTAACTCCATCAGGCACAAGGCGAAACACGCAAAACCGAAGCCGCCGCCGAAAAGGACCTGTCGCACGCGACCGCCAAAGCCGGCCCCTTCACTACGACCGCCGCGGGCGGCATCGCAAAGGACGACCCCAACCGGAGCGCGGGCAGCTGGAACCAGAACGTGGGCGCGCTGAAGGAGAGCGTGGGCGGGTTTGTCGGCGCAGAGGGGCTGAAGCAGGCGGGCATTCAGCAGAATCAGGAGGGCAAGGCGCAGGAGGCGCAGGGCCAGCTATCTGATCTGGGCAAGGGCGTGCAGGATCGTGTTGGCGGTGCGATTGGAGGCGCCGTTGCGGGGCTCACGGGTAACGACGCGCAGAAGGCTGACGCGCAGAGGCAGCATGACGATGGCAAGGCGCGGCAGAGGGGTGTTGAGGCCGATCTGCAGAAGCAGGCGCCGCAGTAGACGGCTCGTGGAGAAGCGGGCGCGGGCGAGATTATGGATGGTGGACGATGATATACCCTTTTCCTGTGTTATAATTTATTAGACGCTCTCGCTCTGAACGAACAAATCATGAATCGTCAGATATTGCTACGATGCCACTCCATCACATCGCCTGTGTTACCTATCCCATTTGATGCACCCGATATGTGCTCAGCTGGTAGAGGAGTGGCCTTTCGGTCTCGCTCCTAGACGCTGGACGGCCTGCAGTGTGCAAGTCGGCTGTAAAGAGGTCTGGCATTTCTCAATTCTTCAAGGTATTCGATGGTCCGTCCTGCGATGCCTATTTCAAGTCTCGAGAGTGCGATCGAGCGTCAAATGCCTGGAGGAAGGCAGTCCAGAGCGATTCGAGGAGGTCGACGCTTGCTGCTCGACTTGATGCTAGCGATTCTCGTGCTGGGTTTACAGTAGTAAATTCGGATTCACACCTCATCAAGACGCAGATTTGCAACTGCAAGCGAGAGCGGCACTTGGCCCTTGGCTTCTTCTCATCAACGACTGAGACAATATCTACGTCACAAGCACAATCTCAATTGATCTAGCGCTTCAGATGCTTAATGCAAAGGTTGTAGTTAGCAACTAGCTCACACAACCCTCCAGGCGGCTCCTTGCGTGCGAGCGAAGCCTAAACGCGTGACGACAGAATGCTCCGAATTCTCGACAGACCTGCAAATATGCAAAAAAAATGACGGTGAAGTCACGTCTTTCGCGCGCTACACAACGGCTATCACGGCAACCAGCCTCATCTCCACCAGCCGCACAAGGCAACTTTGCCCAGCCACATGCGTCGCCCGAATTAGAAAACCTGCCACAGCGGCTCAACATCAAAGCCCGTGACGATGATGCAAACGCTCCAGGGCTGCCCGACGCGTGTTGCTGTGGCGTCGCTGTGGCGCACGGACTGAGTCGTGTTCTTCAAACACTGCCAAGTGCCGCCGCAGCGTGCAGGAAATGCATCTGCCCCTCTCGCCGTTCGCCAATCCTTGCGTGTGACGCACGCCGCCTGCACCGCAGCGTCTTGGAGGCTGGGTTGGTGTGGCTTCCCAGCGCGAAAACTTGGCTAGAGAGGCAGGTTCGGGATCCAGGCGTGAGCCTGATTTGGGGAAAGTTGTGGCGCTTGCGCCTGTGCGCGCAAGAGGTGACGTAGCTGGCCAGCATGACACTCTCCGCTCCTCTCCGTCACTCCCGCGCCTTCCTGCCATAAATACCTTGCTGAGCCACTCTTCAGTTCAGAACACAAACGCTACCACTCTTCACCGCACGAATATCACACTCCATCAAGGCTCAGACCAATTACAAGCAACAAACAAACAAACAAACTCCAACATGCCTTTCACCGCCTCCGACCTTTGCAAGATTGTCCTTGCCATCTTCCTCCCCCCTCTTGGTGTTTTCCTCGAGCGCGGGTGCAACGCCGACTTCTTCATCAACATCCTCCTGACCATCCTGGGTTACATTCCGGTACGAGCAGTTCCTTTCCGCAAGCTAGACGCGCAATTACTAACCAACACAGGGTATCATCCACGCGTTGTACATTATCTTCAAGTTTTAAACGGCGCCACGGAGCGCCAGACGAGAAGTCAAACCACGTCGACTGCAACACGTCGATACTGTTATCACGATACCCACAACATTTCCTTTATCCCCGTCAGTGCTTTTGTTTGCGTGGCTGGTGCTTGCGAGAAGCCTAGTCTTCGATTGCTGTGAAGCGTGCAGCGAAGTCATTTGCATTGGTGCCTCATGAGGTGTTTGGCAGGATGTCGTCGCCCCTGGGCAGCGGCACTGCGCGCTTGGGTTGCATGAGGATATTGTAGCATCAAGTACCTCCACAATCAATAATTCTACGAGTTATGAAGTCATGTAGCTATTGCCAGTGTTCTTGAACTTCCAACATGCAGCCATGTGATTCTGGGTGTGCTTCTAAAGTATTGACACCACAGTAGGTACATGAAATCATGGTACCCGCGCCCTGTCACGTTTTCTTGCGTGGAAATTAGATTGTGATTGACCCAAGATGGGTGGGTATAATAGTAGATGTCACCAACGAGGAAGATCCCAATGCACCGAATCATACTCGGTCGCGTCGCGCATCAGGCCCTCAAGATTCATCCTCGTCCAGTCGACCGCGAAGCGCTCCAGCGCCGTGGCGGTCCCCTGCCCTGGCTCTGGATGCCAACGCCACAAGTCCACGCAGCACGCTCTTCCTGACGCGGGTAACTTACACGCTGCGTGCTCGGCCTGCCCAAGCCGCCTCTCCAGGCTGACAAAGCGGCCCCACCAGCTCTCCTCGCCCCTGGGCACCCAGTCTCTCAAACGGCTCAAGCCACACGCGGTACATGAACGCTTCGATGAAGAACAGCCACGCGGCGCCGAGAAGCGGAAAGATCACGTAGAGCACTATGGACGCAGCGAGCAGCTCTGCAGCCAGGGGCGTGAATTGCGTGCGGCTGCCGAGCCACGACGACGATGAAGCATAGCATGCATATCACGCCGACGAAGACGGGGATGGGGAGGAGCATCATGATGGCCACGCCGCCTTGGAGGGGCATCATGATGGCCACGCCGCCTTGGAAGGATGGTCCGCGGTTCAGACGGCGCCGGTGGCGGATGAAGTGAGGAACGGGATCTGGGAGGGCGCATTAGCTTTCTTGCGCTTGGCGTGTATCGTAGAATTGGCGTTTCCACGCTTGCAAGACGCGTGCGCAGGGAAGACACGTCGTACTTGATCGCCACATGTGATTTCAAAGGTAGCACTTCGCATGTTGCACGTTGCTCGACCAGGATGAAGGCTCTTTCGATCATGTGCAAAGCGACGGGGCAGCGATACGAAAGTCGGACTACATGGTTTTCCATCTGATGTCTGAGATGGGAGACCGAGGGACAAGGCACCTCTTATCGAGCATGAGGTACGCGTCGTGGGGCTCTCGATGATGAGGTAGTGAGGCCTTTCGCCTTCTGCTTCCCGCCTGTCCTGGACGCCCAAACTGTGTGTCGTCCAGAAGCACACTGCATGTTGCACACTGCATGTTCCGAGGTGGCACGGCATCATGTCTTGTTGCACAATGCTTGGCGCAGTGACTGACGACAAAACAGTGACAACTGGCGACTGGCGACTGGCGACTACTGGCAACTGACGACTGCCTCCTGACGCAGCTGCAGCTTCCAATCGCCCGCAGCCCGCCTCGACCGTCGTCTCGCACCTGCGCCGTCCCGCACACATGGCTTCCACGAAGTCAAATACAACGCCCGCACTCACCGCCCGCCGTCTCTCGAGTCGCGCGACGCCGCGACGCCGCAGCCGCGAACGATGAGTCTCACCTCGGCGCTCGCGAAGCTCGAGCTCCAGATCCTGAGCGACCTCAGCCGCCAGAACGACGAAGTCCTCCACGACGTCGACCATGTCTCGACGCTGCGAGAAGACGGCGTCGGCGGCGCCTTCGAGAAGAGCATGCGCGTCAAGGGCATGATCGACGAGCTCGCCGTGAGGGTGCAGACGGAGCCCAACTGGCGCAGCCTGGCTGCACTCCTTAGGAGCGAGTACCGCCTGTGGAAGCTGAACGTCGACACCCCCATCCGTGTCAACCCGTTCCTGTCGCACTGGGTCGAGGCCATTCTGCGCCTCAACGCAGCCACGCAGGGCTACCGCCCAATCCTCGACAACAAGGGTGCCATCCACGGCGCCATATCCGCCCTCGACATCGCCGCCACACGTCTCGAGATGCTCAAGGAGCTGCTCAAGTACGGGAGCGAGGCGCTCATGACGGCCACGCCACAGTCGCTGTTCACGACGCGCTTCCCGCCCAAGCCCTTCGACATACGCCCCTTCATACGCATGCTCGAAGAAGAAGGCATCTACGAACCCTCGCCCGCCGCCCCACCGCCAAACCTCACCATCGCCTCGAGATTCGCACACACCGACACGCCCTCGCCCAGCGCCAGCTCCATTGACTCCCCCGACATAGCCATGGCGCATCTTCCCATGAAGCTTCCTCTGCCAGCCCCGGGCACCAAGTGGAAGGAATTGATCCTCTTGAACCTAGAGACCCAACCCGCCGTTGCCGTGCACCAGCTCACGCACCTTCCCATCGCCATCGCCGCCCTCGACTTCCTCACCACCCTGATCACTGGCCTGAAGCTCGGCGCATGTAACCTCAATCCGAAGTCGCTCGTCCTTTCCTTCGTCCAGCATGCGCTGCGCATCATCGAACACATTGGCCAGCCCCCAGACCCCACGAGTCCGCCTCCGCCCGAGACCGACATCGGCATGCCCACGTTCTTCGGCTACGGCCGCGACGCGCAGGCTAGGGCCATGCAGCTGCTCTTGCTGTTCGTCAGGAACCTGATGAACAGAGGCTTTGTCGATGTTTATCCCACTGGCGAGTATACGCTGTACTATGATATCCAGGACATCTGCACGCAGTACCTGTGGATCAAGGACGTCAGGGACTTCAAGGCGTGGATCGATGAGGGGAGAACGGTGGGGGATGCATTTTGAGAAAGCTTGGTAGCGCTGGGCTGGCGTGGTGTATGCAAGGAATGAGCCTGTCGTATTAGTACTGGCCGGCATCATCACATCAACACAGCATCGTTCAACTACTGTTGTGTTCAAAGCGTGTTCAAAGCGTGTGCATAAGACAGCAATGGAATGGATCTACATCATTCGTACCAACCGACCTAAACTCCAACGCTTTTCAAGCAGCCTTTCCAATCCATACATGTGTCAACCATCTACTTCGCCTCGGTCTTCTCCTTGCCAAAGCCCAAGCAGGCCCCTGCAGCCTCGAGCTCTCCAAGCACACGATCCTCCAGCTCGTTGCCTTCACCCTTCTTCTTGCCCAGCATCTCCACCTCGCGCTCATCCACAGCGACGATTCGCTCCCTCAGTGCGCTCTTCCTGCTCAGCCAGCTCTCGATGTCTTCCTTGACGTTGTCCTTGTCCCAGTCGAGAAGTGTGATTTCGTTGGCTTGGATGCCGAGCTTCGGTCCTTGTTTGCGTACATCTTCGATGATTGCGGAGAGCAGGGCGAGCGAGTGTGTCTCTGATACGACGGAGAGTGTCATCTTGGTGGCTCCTGTTCGTGCAGAGGGACTTGCGTTGATGGCGCTTGATGCGCGGTTGAGTTGCTCGGGGAACTGGTTGAGGAAGGAGGAGATCTCGGCAGCGATGGGGGCGCCAACAGAGAGGAGCAGATTCAGACATAAAGGTAGGACGCCCTTTGTCCAAATGGAGTGCAGTCGCGCTGGTGTGTCGAAAGGCCCCATGCCGTTGACGCGTCGGTAGTAGTTCATCAAGTTTGCCGTGTTGAGCTGCGAAAGGACGCCTTCGACTGCCATTGTCTCGGCCATGGCTGGGATCGCTGAGAGTGACAGGAGGAAAAGCACGGCAAGCTCGCCGTACACGGGATCTGCAACGCCGTTGTGTGCTACAGTGAAGCGATCGGACCATGAGAAGAGGCTGGTAGCGTAGCGGACAGTGCCGTTGTTCGCAAAGAGCAGGGCAGCTTGGCTCTGCCATTTACTCATCTCAGGAACAGCGATGATACGTTGGAGTATAGCTGTAAGGAGCGCAAAGTCTGAGGGTGTGACAGTAGTTGGATCAGCGTGTAGTTGGTTCGCAAGGCTGCGGAACCCCTTGGCAATCGTGTCAGCGAGGATCTCGAGAAGGAGTGTCGAGCTCGATGTCTCTAGAGTCTTGTGACTGGCAGGCAGGGTGCCGCGAAAACTGGAGCGAAACTCGGCGTCTCCGTTCTGCTCTGCTCCCTCAACGAGATGTGGCTGCAGGGCAAGATACAGGATTCGCAGCTGGGAGCGGTAATAGTAGACCGCATCACTGGAGAAGACAGTATCGAAGTCCGGTGTAGATACTCGCATAGCGTTCCAGACAGGAGCAAGTAATTGTCGTGCCTCAGGCGTGTGAACTTTGGCCTCGACCAGCTGCTTGAGCAGGCCAAAGGACAGATCAGCACGCAAGACGCTGAGCTGACCGAACAGAGCCTCAGGTAGGTTGTTCTCCGCGTTAGCCTTCATCGACCTTCTCACAACACCAACAACGACTTGGACTAGCCGCTCGTCCTTGCCAACAAAATTTCCCAACTCCAACGCTAGGAGCTTCCAGCTTTGCAGGAGCTGCACTTGCGACTCAACCAACCCGAGATTGTAATTGGCTTTCTTCAAGTCATTGACAAAGCCGGTGGCTCCTCGAGGCCCTGCCCATCTGTTGTCGAAGTCAAGCAGCTGCTCGGCAAGCTCGAGGTCGTAGAAGAAGCTTCGGCCGAATGCCTCAGGGTACAAAGCTGTCCTCTTCAAGTTGGCGAGTGTGACACCGGGAAATTGTTGCTCGAGGTTTTGTTTGAGGTTACGATGCAGCGACTCGTTGTAAGCTGGGAGCTCAAGGGCATTGTCCTCGAGGTACGCCAGTGCTGGAACAACATCCTTAAGAGGCGTGATGTCACCAACTTGTCGTGAGCTGTGAAGGTACATTGCCAGTACTTCGCAAGCCAAGGAAGCAAAGCGGTTCTGGTAAGAGCGCTCTAGGATTTCCGCGTTTGACATTGGGTTCTTTAATTGTCTCGTCATCCAAGACAGGAACTCGAGTAGCTTCTGAATGAGATCCTTGTGCTTGCGCAGATCGCCCATCGCCCATGACCAATTGTTCTGGGCAGATGTGATGAACTCAAGCTTAGCCGTGTACAGCGGCCACGAAAAGCTTGAGGTACTGGATGTTGGCAGAACCATGTCAGAGATGGATTGGATAGCCCATGTGAGAAGTGCCTTGTGTCCTGAGACTGGTGTAGATTGGGGCTCTGTTCGTAGAGATTCCTTAGGTGTCTTGCCAGTGAGCAGGTACAGGGAAAACCATCGCTGTTGGCACGTGACTACGGCAGATAGCAGATTCCATACGTCTGTCTGGATGTCGACTATCCTGAGTGGTTCGTCAAGCTCAGACACCACGCTCAGGAAGTTCTTAGCTGTGCGCGTTCCAAGATGGCCCAGTAAAGACGGTGGTTCTTGCTGCTCGGCCGAGCCATTGGAATCTCCTTGCGGCTCAGTGACGCGAACAGCACCCCGGACAAGGGTCTCCAATAATCGCACCACAGGAGACTTCCATCTATCACTACTTGCGTAAAGACGTGCGAGTAAGGGTGTGGCCTTGTACAATTGTTGCTCCAGGTGTGTCCAAGGTCTGTTTAGCAGCAGAGCTACTCGCACAAGAGTACTGGCTAGGAGCAAAGTCGATTCGGTTTGCTGTTTCCACAGTGCTGCGGAGCTGGTGAGCAGCGTCGATCCGTCAGAGCCTGCACCGATTACCAGTGATGCCAGGATGGAGTTAGTCGGCAGATTACTCTCGGACTTGGTCAGGTATAGCTGGGTAATGTATTCTGCGATTGGCGCAATGGACCTTGTGAGTTTGGCTGACAACTGTGGTGCGTCATCCACACCGTGAGCGAGCTTTAGAATCTTAGTGAACACGTTGCAGATGGCAATGTTGACCTCAGGGCGGTGATCTGGTCGTGTGTACTTCCAGCCCAGCGAGCTTTCGTAGATGCTGGCGAGAGTGCGACCGTAGGTAAATAGTATTGTGCTCATGGTCTTGTCGGAAGTGCCGCTTTCTGCAACGTTCGAAGTATTGAAACGGCTGAGAGTTTTGCTTGGGCTTTTGCGAGCAACTGAACGGTCAACGGCATCTGTCACGAGGCTGTCGTACAGTCGTATGCAGCCAATAAGGAAATCGTATCGACCAAATACCATCTCAGTGCCAATCAGGATAGCGGCGAGACTGCCGCCGTTGCCATCTCCCTCAAGCAGCCGGCTTCGAGCCAGGAAAGGCCATACTCTGTTGGGTGCAATGAGGACAAGTGCCTCCAAGAAGTGCGTGCAGTTCACAAGCAGCTCGAGCGAGGCCTCGTTGCCTGGCTCCTGACACAGTCGGAGCAGTTCCTCTTCAAATACAGCTAGGACAATGCTGACAGTATCTTGGCTTCCATCTGTGTTGATGCTCAAGGCTTCCAGCAGCTCGACTGAGCAGACGCCATCCGATGACTGGAGTGAAGAATGCAACAGGTCTGCGAACAAGCCAACTATGTCGACAGCGTTCTCTCGTGTGACAGGTTCTTGGGTGGTATACTCAACTCGACTACTGCCACTGGGGTACGACGAGAGCAGTTGCACCAAGTAGGTCAAGGTCGAGTGCTGGTAATGCCACACCGCTACGTATGGCTGCTCACTATCATCCACGATGATACCTTCAGTACCTACGGGGATGACCATGAGGCCTTCGTTGCGCGGCGTACTGGAAGACGTCAGTAGGCGGCGCTGGCCCTGGAAGTTCGAGATGGACCCAGAGGAGAATAACGGAAGATCTGTGGTGAGTTCGACCCAGTTGGCGTTCTCCTCTTCTCGTGTCAGCGCGTATCCTGCGAAGCCCTCCGGAAGTCGTTGCATTAATTGGTTCGTTTCTGTGAGCCTTTCCACAAAGGTTGGTAGCCCATTCTGGATCGTCTTGTCCCCACGCGTAAGAACACTGAAGAACTTGAGAAATGGTGTCGATTCGTAGGGGTAGCGAAGGCGTGCCTCGTTGAGGAGAAGTGGTCTCAGGATATCTTCGTCTTCCAGGAAGAGGGAAACAACAGGATCGGCGTGGTGGATAGTGCCCTTGCCCGCCCACGCGCGGAAAGACCTGTCGCCACCAAGGATCGAGTATGCGGTGATAATGAGGTCTGAACTGTAGACAACTACGTCACTACCGAGCGCAGCACGAAGGAGTTGCAAGAAAGCCAGTCGCAGCCTGTCTCTCGAAATCTGATCGACCGCTGTCCCGAAGGCTGACAGACCTGTGTCGACCAGAGAGTCGATAATAGTCATTACGCCAGCTGCTGAGCTGGCTTCAGCAAGTTCCAGATACGGGCTTTTGCCGTCAAACAACTCGGAGCCTTCAAGACGACTGATAACCATAGCTGATTCCTCGATTGCAGATGGCTCAGGAGGAGGTCTCCTCGAAGCGTCAGGCGATTCAAGCAACCCCTCGCGCTGCTTCTCTTCGTATTCAGCCCTGCTGGTGAGCTTCCAGGTCAAGATTGCCCAAGCGAACATTGGTGGTGTCGCAGGGCTAGGACCGAGCGCTCGCGCCTCGCCGAAAATGCTGGTGATGTTCTCGACAACACCAGTGTTCAAGATGTATGACGAGGTCTCCCAATTCTTGTACTCATCCGACTGGAGATCATCGACCACGGTATCGATGTTGAGAATGGCCAGAGAGACAAGCGAGGTCAGTAACTGAATGACAGGTACTAGTGGCTCTTGACGCGGTGTGACACTTGGGAATTGTACGAAGAAGCCGCGACTACCGAAGGTGGTGAGCCAATCCTCGATGGTAGCGGCCGGCAAGAAGCCTTTGGTTACTACGTCAGCGTGCACATGCGCCAGGTGCAGCAAATGCAACAACTCGACAGTCTGTGCCACGACCCATTTCTCGGATGCAGCCTCAATGATCGACTCGGTTACGTCCCACGAGTAGCCGCCGTCGAGAGCCTCGCACCTTTTCTTCACAGCCTGCAAGCATTGGTCGAGTGCTGTCGCCGGGCCACTGCTTTGCGCAGCTGCAATCGTCTGGCCAAGCTCTTCGATCCATCCTGCACCGACTGTGTGGTAATCGTTGCCGTAGATTGTCTGGCTGCGCAGCTGCGGTGCCGTGCCCCACGAAATCAGCAGCTGACTGGTTCGGACGATGGAGGCGCAAGTCGAGTGATAGATTTCGACGATGCGTAGTCGGCGCTGGTCCTGGGTGTCGAATTGCGTGAATCTTGCGGCAACCGGTGTCTGCAGGATGGACGAGTTTGGGATGAATGTGGATGCACCTAGGTTCGCGAGGCCAGCAGCATCTTGCACACTCAACGCTTCTTCTTCAGTCAATCCGCTTAGCAGCTGTACAGTTGGCCTGCTCTGCCACTCCTGCGCGACCAGCTGCAGCGCAGCGTACTCTGAGATGTGTGCCTCCTTCGACAACCATAGACTGTCGTCCTTGATCTCGTCTAGGCTGTAGTTCCCATTCTGCGCAGGCGTTACACTGATTGGCACAGTCTTGGATTCAAATTTGGATTTCTCTTGCTGCGAGGGGTCGGCGAAGGGTTTCCAGGGCCGGCTGAGGATTTCGACGTTCTCGTTCGCGGTAAGGAAGTCGCGCAATGCTTCGCTTCTCGACGCGGTTTCGGGCTCGCAAAGGGCGCGGTATGCAATATCCCAAGTCCTGAATACATTAGTCATCGTTGTTGGTGCTGGCGCGACGCTGGCGCGGTGCTGTAAACATACACAAGCTGCTGCTCGCCCTTGACGCACTTGGACAGGTCGAATTCGGTCGGTTGTATGGCAGCCATGATGGCGCTGCGGTGCGCTGGGTGTAGGACAGCTAGCCAAAGGCCATTAAGGCGGGTGGAGTGCGTGGGCGGAGAGGAGCTGAAATGTTTTGGCTGGTGAATGTCGCAGAGCTTCGCGCTCTGATGCGAGTTTGGCGCCACAGCATGCGCCACACTTACTCCCGCCCGCCCTCCGCAATGAGCGCTCAATAAATTAACTGAGTCACTTCACACCCACGCCGCACTGTCCCCTGAACAGCCTCTCCTTGCATGTAATTGGAGTCACACACGTATTCTGGGGCTCCACCTCTCATCTCAAGCTCTTTCACTCTCTCTGAGGAGTCGTTCGGCGATTGCACATCTGAATCTCCCCCGCGGCATCAAGTGAACAGAAACAATTGGAGACTCCGAGTTCAGCAGTACTTCAGACACCAATTGGAACTCGCTCACCTTCGTGCGCCATCATCATGTCTTCTCTCACGCTGATCGATCACTCACCCCGCCATCCGAACCCCTCCCCGCCGATACCGACCGCCTCCAATGTCATTCTGATCGACAACTACGACTCCTTCACCTGGAACGTCTACCAGTACCTCGTTTTCGAAGGCGCGACTGTCTCGGTATACCGCAACGACGAAATCTCCCTTGACGATCTTATCGCAAAGAACCCCACACAACTGGTCGTAAGCCCTGGGCCAGGGCACCCTACTAGAGATGCCGGTATCAGCAACGCCGCAATCATGCACTTCGCCGGGAAGGTTCCCATTTTTGGCGTGTGCATGGGTGAACAGTGTATCTACTACAGCTTCGGCGGCACAGTGGACGTGACTGGACAGATCTTGCATGGCAAGACCTCCCCTCTCACCCACAATGGCAAAGGTGTATACGCTGGTGTCACACAGAAGGTTCCTGTTACAAGATATCACTCGCTCGCTGGCACACACAACACACTGCCAGATTGTCTGGAGGTCACCTCCACGATCCCTGCCAACCCAGAGTCCGATGTCAAGGAGGTCATCATGGGTGTGCGCCACAAGGAGTTCGTCATCGAGGGAGTGCAGTTTCATCCGGAGAGTATTCTGACAGAGGATGGACGCATCATGTTCAGGAACTTCCTCCAAATGCAAGGTGGAACCTGGGCGGAGAACGAGAAGCTGCAGAAGGAGGCACATGCCAAGGTAATTGGTGCTGACACAAACGGTGCTGCGAACGGCACGAAGAAGGATAAGCAAACCTCGATCCTCGAGAAGATCTATGCTCACCGCAAGGCGACTGTCGAGGAGCAGAAGAAGATCCCATCTCAAAGACCCGTCGATCTCCAGGCATCATACGATCTGAACCTTGCACCTCCTCAGATCAACTTCCCGGAGCGCCTGCGACAGTCGCCATACAGACTTTCACTCATGTCTGAGATTAAGCGCGCCTCGCCTTCAAAGGGCATAATCTCACTTTCTACTTGCGCACCTGCTCAGGCGAGAATATACGCCAAGGCTGGTGCTAGCACAATCTCTGTGTTGACTGAGCCTAAGTGGTTCAAGGGTAGCATTGATGACCTTAAGGCTGTCCGCCAAAGCCTCGAGGGCATGCCCAATCGACCTGCGGTCCTTCGCAAGGAGTTTATCTTTGACGAGTATCAGATTCTGGAGGCGAGACTGGCTGGTGCAGATACGGTGCTCCTCATCGTCAAGATGCTTGATCAGGCGCTTCTCGAGAGACTCTACAAGTACTCACAGTCGCTTGGTATGGAGCCTCTAGTTGAGGTGAATAATGTGGAGGAGATGGATATCGCAGTGAAGCTTGGATCCAAGGTCATCGGTGTCAACAACCGCAACCTGACCAACTTCGAGGTCGACATGGAGACTACAAGCCGTCTTATGAGCATGGTTACCAATGACATCATTGTCTGCGCGCTCAGTGGCATCGCTGGACCCAAGGACGTCGAGCCCTACGTAGAGAACGGCGTTGGCGCAGTCTTGGTTGGTGAAGCTCTCATGAGAGCGTCTAACACCGCCGAATTCATTGTGGAGCTTCTCGGTGGCACGACAGCCAAACCCACAAGGACGTCGACCACACCCATGGTCAAGATTTGCGGCACTCGTAGCGCCGAGGCTGCCAAGGCTGCGATTGAGGCGGGTGCTGATCTAATCGGTATGATTCTGGCGATTGGCACAAAGCGTACCGTCTCCGCAGAGACAGCGCTGGCGATCTCAGAGGTTGTGCACAAGACTAAGAAGCCACAAGTGACGAAGTCTGGGTTGGGTGCAGTCGCTAAATCTGCTACTGACTACTTCGACCACGCTGCACAACGTCTCGTATCTGTCAACGACCGAGCTCTTCTTGTTGGTGTGTTCCGCAATCAGTCGTTGGAGTATGTTCTTGAGCAGCAACGACTGCTGAACCTCGACATCGTTCAACTCCATGGTCAGGAGCCGGTCGAGTGGGCGAAGCTCATTCCAGTCCCGGTAATCAAGGCATTTAACCCTCACGACCACGGGATTGGAGGTCGCGGTCACCACGCCCTGCCTCTTCTTGACGCAGGCTCAGGTGGGTCCGGCAAACAGCTCGATCTGTCGGACGTGAAGAGCGTTCTCGCAAAGGACGAGGGTGTAAAGATCATCTTTGCGGGTGGTCTGAACGCCGACAATGTGCAATCCATGCTCGGCGGTCTCGACGAGTACAGAGACCGTGTTAAGGCGGTAGATGTCAGCAGCGGTGTTGAAGGAGACGATGGGCAGCAGAGCTTGGACAAGATCAGAGCCTTCATCAAGGCAGCAAAGAGCTAGGCAGTAGGATAGACGTTCAAATCACAGGCAGGCACAGTACCCTACTGGTGCAGAAGCAGCTGCGTTATATCTGGCTCGGCTCCACCTTCATCACATCATGTTCACAAAGCTGAAAAGATCCTTTGACGTCATGCAACAGACTTCTAAGAGGGTACAATATGCGACGCGGGGAAGCCGACTATGGAATACGTTGTTGACGCGAGCGGTGGCGGTCGCTGTCCGCTCTCTCACCTGTCATCGCGTTTGCTGCGATATCCACAACTATCTTACCTCAAGGCTGGCGTGCTACCAAAAGGTAAAGCATACTGACGCCTACAGATTCCGCACCATCATATAAGCTGGTCGCCCACATTCATGACAGCTTCCAGAGGTCCATCACTCCTTCACCAAGTCTGCTTTGACTACGACAACGATCTCAACCTGTCTACTCTCAACCTCGTTACCAAACACCGCCGCCAGGGGCAATCCAACGCCACCCACCATGGGCACCCTCAAGAACCTTGTGATAGCGGTGACCGGCACTTTTGAACACGATGTTACCAAGATCAAGAAGTGGATCGACGCCAACGGGGGTCGCTTTTCCCCCACTGTACATAGAGGTGTCACACACCTCATCACTGGCAAGGATGCCTGGAAGCAAGCGTGGGACACAGTTCAGGCAGCCAACAAGCTCAGAGTCTTCGTTGTCACATTTGAGTGGCTTGAAGACAGTCTGCACAGGAGGAGGGCGCTTGCCGAGACACAATACACATGGGAACACATCGCGCGGCAGAAGAAGAGGGACAGGCAGATGACCAAGCTGGGTCCGCGGATGAGCACTAAACAGTTCAACGATGGGTGCGAAGAGATAAAGAAGACCATGGGCTTAGGTACGTCCAAATCCCGTCGGCCTCGTGTAGTTGCTCGCAAGCCCAAGAAGCCAACGAGCATCTTGACTGCGGACATGCATGTGTCCTTCTTGTCTGCTGCAGATGATCTGACGCGGAGAAGGGAGGAGCGGGAGGCAGCTAAGGCAAAAAAGAAGGCTGAGGAGGAAGCGGCGACGAAGGTCGAGAACGCTAGGGATAATTGGAGTACATCCATCGCCCCTTTCATAGCAGTCCTCCACTTCAATCGTCGACAACGTCTCCTCTCCCGCATCCGCAAACTTTCACGCACTTCGCACGACGTCTTTCCTGCATGCTTCTCCTGCTCCTGGTGTCCAAGCTAAGATACCTGCTCTGAAAGATCTCTACCACTACTACCTCGACACGACCGGCTTCGAGTACAAGATTGTTCTCACCCGCTGTAACCTCCGCGCGAATGAAATCACCAGATACCGGCTGAGGATCCTCGAGAGCCACACCAAGCCACACGTATACTGTACCTTCATCGAGTATTTCCCACCAAGCGTTGGCAACACCGCCGGATCTGGTGAAGCATGTATCCAGGCTCTTCTCGACTTCGACAAAACTTTCCACGAGAGCGCTGCGCCAGGCGTAGACATCGATGTGTCCATTGACGATGACAAAGACAAGGCCAACGCATCAACGACTTTATCCCTCCCAACACAAGGCATCCACACGCACCCCGAAGCGGACCGCCTACGAGCTCTCCTCGCGCCACCTTCAGCCGCACCTACTCTCCCTCCCGCCACTCGAGCGTACAAATCCCTCATCGTCCCGATGTCCTCCGACTTCGCAACAGCCTGGCGCGCCTTCCGTCACGCCTTCCGCGACCTAACCCTCCTCTCATGCGAAGAACGCTTCGACCTCTCCAAAACTCTCTACAAGACCCGCGCCGCCCACTTCAGCATCGAACCCTTTGTCTACGTGCGCCCCAAGCACGGCCTGCCCCTCGGCCAGCGCACGCAGCAAATCGGCCTCTTCCAGAACCAGACCCTCACCCCCTTAGCCCAAGACGGCTCCATCCCGTCCGCGACAACAGACGAGATGCACACACGCAGCGCAAATGACGATGCATACGCGTACAATACCTTCAACCTCCCCGCGCTGCAGATACCGCTCGGCCCCGGCGTAATCGGACAAGCGGTATCGCGGGATCTCAAGTCTGCACGCGAAGCCGCCGTAGCGGCTCGGAAGCTCGCCGACGAAGCGGAGGATGCGCGGCTGTGGAACCTAGGACTCGTGCGGAAGGCGGGCGGGAAGAAGCCGAACTACTCGCGTCCGCTGTTCAATAGCGTCAACGGGCGGCCCACGACGGATGCGTGGGGGCGGGCCAAACGGGGCGAGGGCGGTGCAGAGGTGGGTGGGAGCGGATTGCTGGGTGGGGGTGTGGTGAAGAGGGGTCGGTATTCGCAGAAGCCATGGCCTTATGAGACGGGGCAGCTTTTTCGGCATGTTGGAGTCTGGGGGGAGCGGCATGTCTGTATCTACAGATCTTGAGCATCTAAGAGGCGGCGTACCTCGGGGAATATTCTGGTCGGGTTCGACATTGAAGTCTTGGAAGTATAATCACCTTCTTCGGTCACAGCACGAAAAACTAAACATCATCCATCTCATTCATTGCCTTTCCTCCAAATCATGTGCATTTCAATCGTGGTCATCACACGTCAGTCAAACCGTGCCCAATCTGTGCCCAACCCTCGCGCAACCACGCAGCACAACATCCGGGCTCAGACAGTAGCATAGCTACAACATCTCAGCGACCCTCCGCACCGTGAGAACCCGGCCGTAGCATCGCCAACGCCTACTCTGCGACAACGACCATGTCATCGTCCTCGGAGTCGGTCGGCGTCACACCGCCAGCCAGATCAACGTAGCTACTGCACTCCGCATCAGAGTCGTACCCGTCATCTGTCTCAGTCGCGTATCCATACTGGAACTCCATGTAATCACGAGGTGCCTTAACCTGCTCTGCGCGCATCGTCTTACGCTCTCGCTGGAGGTCCTCGGCGATGGGCGTGAGAGGGGAGATGAAGCGTGCGGCGATCTTGGATGCTGGTTTGGCGGCGTGACGCGTCTTTGGCTTTGAAGCCGGGCGCTTTGCAGGCGTCGGCTCTGGAACATCAACACCCTGAGCAATGAGGTACAGCTCCTTCACAGCCACAACAACGTCGTGCACAGACTGGTCTGCAGTGCCTACGGGATGCGGGTCGATGAAAGCGGCGAAGTGGATGGAGTGGAAGACGCAAAACCCAAGACCGAAGGGGAGCAGAAGGCGATCGAACTCAGGAACGATGTACTCGAGCTGAAAGCTCAGGAGTGCGTACAGGGCTGTGTTGATGATGAGGCCGACGGCGTGCCTTTCATCGTGCTGAAAATGAGCGACGGCGTGGCAGACGCGCTTCCAGGCACACCCGTTCTTCTCGGCGATAGCCGGCTTGGGGCCGGGTGATTGAGGGCGACGCAGATTGATCATAGTCGCAAACAGGTAACACAAAACGAGCAGGGGCTGTAAGATGGCTAGCGGTGTGCGGAGGTAGTCAATGCGATGGGACATGGTCCCGAGCTTCCAGGACCACTTCTCAACCTCCTTGCGAGCGTCGGTAACGGCGTCCTTGAGTGTCTTGCTGGTCTTGTCTGGTGTGATCGGTCCTGAATGAAACAAACGGCAGCGGGTCTGATCTTGGCACTCCAGACTGAATCCATAAGGCATATCTGGCACCACACGAAGATGTTTGTGCTTGTTGTTGGCGGAATCCACCAAGAAGGGCTTTGCAGCAAGCTGGGAGTTGTTGGGCTGCAACTTGCCCTGCAACAGCGCAAACCTGGATCGGACTAGCTTCAGCATTTTCTCGATGGTTTGGCGGATATGTTCCGCCTGCCGACGCAGCTTGCTCGCCCTCAGGCTGTGTACTTGTGGTGTGTAGAGGAGCCGACGGCAGTTGCTTGTCACCCAGTCCGCTGTCTGGTTACGGACGTGAGGGCAGGATGTGAAGTCGAGACCGCGGAAAACGTAGTTAGCCTTGTTCAGACCACGAACAAGACATTCCTCGTAGCCGGTCTCCATGTAGCGTCGGTCCAGAATGGTGTCGTGCAGGTTGATGAGCTGAATATCGAGGAGGTAATCGACGGCCAAGGCTTGATGCGTGTTCTCCAGGTGGACTTTAGCGTGCTGGAGGCGAGGTTCGGTATAGCCTTGGATGGCACGCAGACCGATGTTAACGCCCATGAGGTGGAACAACAGGTAGGAGATACAGGCAATGAGGGTCAAGAGGCGAGATCGCGAGCGTTGAGCCTTGACACGGATCGTCTTCGACTTTGGAGTCTCACTGCTCCTGTGGGTCGACACTGGGAGCTCCACGTTGCGTTTGGGTGTAATACCTTGTGGATCAGTCACGTCTGGGACGACCTGGTCGTCTGAGCTGGAAGCCAGCGCGGCAGTCTGGTCTTGAGCGCTGGGTATAGGAGCCGGGAGATCTTCAGCTGTGCTAGCATAAGCGTCGGTCTTGTCGACTGGAGAGTCTTGAAGAAGTGTATCCATGGTGTTTAGGTATTGCGCCATCTCAGGTATCGTGCTGGTTAATTGTGGCGTTGAGCGCGAGCGCTGCTTGTGCCAAAGCATGCTGAGAGACGGTCGTGTCGTTCTTAAAGTTGAACAGTGTAGATGGAAGGATTTGTTGAGTGTGTTCGCAACAGATTAAGAAATGGCGGTTGGGAGAGTGGGAAAGGGTCTTCGCTACCGTGGGTGGAGGACCATTTCACAGCGCATGCTCCAGTCTACGCACGCTCGAGCGAAGTAAAGTGAAAGCTGATGTTGTCTGCACTCTCCACTTCTCCGCATGATCCGGGCAAGGCGCAGGTGTGGTGCGCCTGCCCGTGACCGTTTGCTGTTACCTTACGAATCGCGAGAGCGATACCTACATCTGAAACATGACACGTGTAAATCCAGAAGTGGGACTTCTCGATGCAGGAATACTGCTCACCGGTCACAATTCGACCTCAATCTCAAGTCTTGCTCCGAGATGAGCGCTGGCGAGGGGCTTGCCCGATGTCCTCGATGTCGCCAATCGCCACATCCACAGCCTCAGCTTTGACCTCACCAGCCTCAGCTTTGACCTCACCAACCTCAGCAACAACCAACTCTTCCTTAACGACCTTCTCTCCATCGGGATCAGCCTTAACAACAGTCTCCTTTTTAACCCTCTTCTTCATCCCCACAACCGCACTCGGACAAAGTCCCCTCGCACTCAACTTGCAATCCCCACACTTCCTGCCCACGGGCAAACAAATAGTCTGCCCAAACCCCACCAGCAGGTTGTTAATGTCATGCCACCTTTCCCTCGGCAGCCAGCTCTCCAGCGCCGCCCGCGTCTGCTCGGGATTCTGTGTCTTGTGCCAGCCCCACAGATTCGTTATGCGGTGAACATGCACGTCGACACCGATGCCCTCATCTTTCCCCCAGGCAGCGCTCATGGTGAGGTAGGCCATCTTGGGGCCGACGCCCGGCAGCGAGACAAGGCCTTCTATTGTGTCGGGGATCTCGGAGTTGAAGTTTGAGCGGAGGAGCTCGGCGGTTTGCTTTATGTATTTTGTCTTCAGGTTGTGGAAGCCGACTTTGTTGATCATGCTGTTCAGCTCAGCGGGCTCGAGGGCCAGGACTGATTCGAGGTTGAAGCCCTGGGCGTGTTAGCATTGCGCCGAGTGAGCGTGAGAGGTGCCGTAACTTACGCCGGGCATTCGTTCCTGCATGCCGCGCATGGCGACGGCTGTGACGGTGTCTTTTGTCTGGCTGCTCAGCATAAGCGCGACGAGTGTTTGGAAGCGCTGGTCGCGTGGAGTCCGTTGCTTGTCTGCCAGGCTTTCGCAGCCCATTGTGTCTACCGGGGCGAGGTTCTCGTTGCGCATCTCGCGCGTCAGAGCATAAATCTCCTCCCAGTTGGGCGGCGGCTCCATCTTCACGCTTCCACCTGCGCCATTTATTTTTTTCGCGGGCGCCCGACGCGGCTTCTTTGGCTTCGCTTCCTTCTTGGGCGATGTGATGCTTGTCAAAGAGACCTCGTTGGTCTCGTACTTGACTTTGACAGGCGTCCCACGTGTTGTCTTCCTTCTCTTCGGCTGAGGCGTTGCGAATTCGCCATCTGAACCAGCGTCGGTCGGTACAGAGCTCAGTTCCGAGTCTGAAGGCTCGTGGACGGGTGTATTCGCGCCGGAGCGGGTCTGACGTAGCGTTCGGCTTGCGGCGAGGATGCGCGATGTGTCGCGCGATATGCGAGAGGTGCGCATTTTGTCGATGGAGGCCAATTGATGTTACAATAAGAAACCCAGGTGCCTTTGACTCTTCTTGGATCGGGGGTAGACACGCAGGAGCCCCGACGCGTAGTGTGGACAGTAATACTTCGTAGACACCGTTGGCGTCATTCGTCGAGGTGCTGTCAGCCAATTAGAACGCAAGGAGGCCGACACGAAGACACGTAATCGTCAGTAACCCGTGAAGGTTCGTGCCGCACACGTCAAGCAGGTTCAGTAAGCGTTGGATGGTTTCATGGAGTTTACGGCAAGCCAATGTGTGGACCGAGGATACCAGACAGTAAGATGAATCAATGAGATGTTTAGATAGTAATAGTATGGGTATTATCCAGGCGACGCTCGTCAAAGCAAACATGCAGTCCAAACCCACGTGGACGACCATAGACGTCAGGCTGCGACAGCTCCACCCCTCATCTATCAGGAAGGACATACCGCCTCTCAACACTCATCTCCCTGTCAGCCTCGTCCTCCCCCTCGAACCTGAGACGAACCAGGTTCTCCTTCGCGTCGAAACTCGCATCCTTTTCGTCCTTCTCTTTCTTCACGCGCTCGGCAACCCAGCTTGCCACCACCTCGGCCTTGTAGAACGTAGTTGTGCCCGGGTAAAGCGCCAGTACACCCCTTTTCTTTGGCAGGTCAGATAGCGTAGTGTTAGCAGAAGGCGAAGGGATGGGCACGAGATGGGCGACCGAGGCACGGTATGGCTGGTTTGGTGTCGGTGGGTCTGGATCTGCATCGATGATTTCGTAGCGGCGTTGTTTTCCGTCGCCGATGACGCTGGTGACACGGCAGAGTATTCCTTCGCCCTCTTGGTTCGCTCGCTGCTTGCTGTTGCGGTAAAGGACCTCGGTGTTCGGGGAGAGACGGCGGGGTGGCTGGTCTGCTGGGTGTCAGTCGTGAGGTTGAGTTGGTGATGGGCTGAGACTAAGCGGGGAGACAGGATGCGAGACCAAGAGACAAGATGAGCCGGGAGACATGCCTCTAAGATAGACTATCTCACTAGGCTAAGAGCTAGGAGTGTGTCTAACAGAGATATGCTGAACGCCAATGTGGGTATCGTCGCCGTCTATTGAACGCCGGAACATAACAGAGAATCTGGCCTGCTTGCTCATCGAGCAGAGCCCTTCTTCGAGGAACTGGAAAAAGATCTGGGGATGGAGGAGCGACCCTTCTTACCCTTACCATTGTCGTCGTCCTCGGCCTTCACGCTTCCTTCGCGCCCGGCAGGCACCGATCCTGCCCTGCTGCTGGTTGATTTGGCAATGAGCTTATCCTTCTGGCTGATGACAACCTTTGGGCTGGGACCAGGGCTATCAGCCGCGATGCTGTCACGATCGTCGAGGTTTTCGGTGACTTTGCGTTTCCCTTGTCGATCGCGCGATTTCCCAACGCTAGTTGCGCGTGACGCAGATGTTGGCGTGTCATCTGAGCTTCTGAGTGCTGAGAGGATACCGAGCTGCGTGGAGATGTCGTTGCCGCCGTCCTCTGACTTGAGAAGGCCTACAATCTCGTTGTCCAGTTTGATGATGTCTCGTAGGTTGGTCTCAAGCTCTTCATCCACTCTGTCTGATGGTAGGGCTCCCCGTGCTGCTTGATATTAGTGAGGGCGGACGTGGAAGCTTGGAACCACACAGACCTAATCGGGCGTTCTGCTGTGCTTCCAGGTCCAGGATCTTCTTACGCACACCCTCTGCTTGCGCCTGTGAGGTTATCAGATCTGAAGTGTGCAGACTACTTGACAACCTCCTCGGTTGCGTTTGAAGGCCAAGCATGGAGGTATTCACATACCATGAGCTGATCGATGTTCCGCCCCTCGGACTTGATCCCATTCCAGATGGACCTCTCCTCATCGTACTCGTCTTTCATCTGCCCAGCACGGGGCCTGCTGCGTGCTGCCATCTTCGAGCCTCAATACGTCCCAAGCTCTTACTGCCGACCCGGCACGCGCGACTGACCTACCTCCGAGCTTGATCGCCAACGCGCATCTGGCTGTGCTGAGACGTGAAGGGTGCCAAAGTAGCAATCAATGGTGCAGGTGGTTCAGAGGTTCGCGAATGCAGGGTACAAAGGCACTAGGCAATCGGAACAGGGTTAGTGGTTGGAGCGGGGGGTAGCTTAACTCGACCTACCGCTGATCTGGTGATGAGCGAGGCGGGAGTGGGTCCTCCGTTGGTAGTGGGGGCGGCATAGATGACAACTCCCTTGGAGCTCTGACGTTGCGGCCACCTCATCACCACAGAACGCCGAGCCAAAATGCGTGTACCTCTGATCCGACTGCAGTGCGGTATGCAGATTGTTTTGAGACTCACGTGTCTAAATACGTACTGACTACCTCCAGGCGTCAACAGCTACGACTGGGGTGCGCTGCCCCACACTTGATGTCTACAGCAACATGCTGAAGCTCTCCAGGCAAGGTCGGCAAGGACTCTGCAGCCGCCAAATTCCACGCTGCGACAGCCGCAGAAGACTTTTCAATTCAGGAGGACAAGCCTTATGCTGAGGTGCATCCACTTTCTGCCATGGAGCAAGACAAGCCCTAACGCTTCCCAGCTATGGATGGGCACACACCCTTCGCTGCCCTCAAAAGACCTCGAAACCCAGCGTTCCCTGCTCGAGCTCGTCCAGGAGAACCAAGCGCTGCTCTCCGCCGACATCGCCGAGCGCTACGAGAACAAGCTCCCCTTCCTGTTCAAGGTCCTGTCGATTGGCAAGGCCTTGAGCATCCAGGCCCACCCGAACAAAAGCCTTGCCGAGCAGCTGCACAAAAAGGACCCCAAGAACTATCCTGGTCAGTCGTGCGACCGCTCCAAACGATATTGGGACTGACGTGCTGCGAAAGATGACAACCACAAGCCCGAGATGACCATCGCGGTCACGCCCTTTGACGGCCTCTGCGGTTTCCGACCCCTCGACGAGATTGCGCACTTCTTCCAGACCATACCCTCGCTGCGCAAGCTGGTCGGCGAGGACGAGGCCAAGAGCTTCGAGGACACAGTCAAGGGCAAGGAGACATCGGACAAGGCGGAGGATGTCAAGGCCAACAAGAAGGCCCTGCAGTCGGCCTTCACCAAGGTCATGAACACAGACAAGGACGCCCTGGCCTCGGCCGCGAAGGAGCTGCTCTCCGCGGCCCGATCCGAAGGCTCGTCTTTCGCGGGCAACGGTGGGCCCTCCAACTCCGGCACGCAGCTCGCCGACCTGGTCGTCCGCCTCGATGCGCAGTTCCCCGGCGACATTGGGCTCTTCGTGCAGTTCTTCCTGAACTACGTGCAGCTCGAGGTCGGTGAGGCCATGTTCCTCAAGGCCGACGACATCCACGCCTACCTCTCGGGCGACATCATCGAGTGCATGGCGTCGTCGGACAACGTAGTGCGCGCCGGCTTCACGCCCAAGTTCAAGGACGTTGACACCCTGACGGCCATGCTGACGTACTCGTACGCACCCATCAGCGAGCAGAAGATGAGCCCCAAGGACTACGCGTACGCCAAGCTGAATACGACGGCCTACTCGTCCAACTCGTCCAACACCCTGTACGACCCGCCGATCCCCGAGTTCGCTGTCGTCCGGACGGCGCTGAACAAGAGCGGCGCCAAGACGACGTTCGACCCCATCGACGGTCCCAGCATCATACTGTGCACCAAGGGCACGGGCACGATTAGCGTGGGGCCCAAGAAGGAGGAGCTGAAGGAGGGCTACGTCTATTTCGTTGGCGCGACCGCCGAGGTCGTCATCGAGAGCGCGACCGATGCTGGCAACGAGGAAGGCCTAGTCACATTCAAGGCCTTCTGCCAGCTCGACGAGGAGGCGAAGCAGAAGCTGTAGAGCTTGATATAGATGCCATTCCAAGCTGCGAACGTGTCGACAGCATGCCCTTCCAAACGCCGCGCTATGCAATATCGTATCCCGTGCCATCTCACACTTGCCTCCCCGCTACTCGGCCCTCTCCTCGTCACTGCTGTCCGCCCTCTCCTCCCACCCCGCCAGCTGTCTCAGCACACGATTCTCCTCCTTCAACGCCCGAATCTCGCCAACCATGCCCTCCTCGCCCTGCCTCTGCACCTTCAGCGCCGCCCGCGCATACTCGGCAACCCGCCCCAGGCCCGCCTGCCACTCAACGTGCTCGAGGCGCAGCTGCATGGACGTGTTGCGCTCGTGGTCGAGCAGGGCGTGGTAGTGCTTGTGCAGCGCGAGGATCGAGGACGTGTGCGTGTAGGCGTAGGGTCTGAGTTTGTCGAGGAGGAGCGTGAGTGCGTTTTCGTAGTCCGTGACGAGGGCTGTGAGGGCATGCGTGTGCGCGGCCGCGGCGTCCGTGTGCGCTTCCAGCGTCGCGACGCGGGCCTGCAGCGCCGCGCGCTCGGCCATGCTCGCTGCTGCTGTCACTCGCGTTAGCATTCCATGTCACGCCCGCGGGACGAGTGACGTACAGCTCTCTGCACCCCCCGCGCTGCCGCTGGCGCTGTCGTCGACGAGCCGGCCCTGCAGCGCCGCGACGCCGCCAAGCACGCTCTGCGTCTGCGCCTTGTTCTCCTCGAGCTGCTGCGCGAGCTGCTGCACGACGGCCCAAAGGTGGTTCATGTCCGTCTGCTGGCCGCCGCTGGGCAGGCCGTTGACCATGGGGATGCCGTTCTGCTGCGCCGCGCCGTTGAGCCCCGCCTGTGAGGGTGACGCTACGGGCGGCGCGCGCGGCATGCCGTTGGGAGTGCTGCTGTCGAGAAACGAGTAGTTATTCATTGTTATTGTGACGGGGGACGCGGGACGCGGGTCGTGGGCGCCGCGGCGCGGTGGAGAGATGATCTACGGGCACCGCGGGAGTGAGCAGTCGCCGCAGTCGCCCAGGGTGTACGGCTTATGGATAGCTCGACTCCCCAACGCGGCAGGTCCACATCAAAAGCATCGATTCCAGTCCACGTAATAATCTAAGCCAGGGCGTGCGTGTCGTCGTGAAGGGCGCGGTTCGCTTGACTCCACATGTAGGTATTCTGCACGTGCCCTGCGACAAGCTCACTGAACCTGCCTGAAGCCGTAGCTTTGAAGCAAAGTGTTGAACATAGTCGACGTATGTACATGTCAGGGCGCATCGCCATCTGCTTCGATAATTGGATCGCCATCTGCGTCGATAGTTCAATATGTGCTGAATTTAAGACGTCGCCTCAGCCCGTCCGTCACGTGACGACGCCTTCACTTTGGCCTCCCGCCCATCAGCCACGTGAAGCCCCACGTCCAACACAGCCCATTCCAACATCCCCAAGGCGAGCACCCACCGTCGTCGTGGCTAACTCGCGCCTTCTTGGGTCGGGTGTTGATGGGCTTGCCGGCTTTGTATCGGGCCATTGGGACGGGTCCTGACATTGCAAACGCCACTTTCTTCTTCCCTCTGCTGCTCGACGTCTCGACATCCTCTGCATTGTCATCTTGACCATCGTTGTTGCGGAGGCTCCCATCAGAGTGAGCGCTCAGCGCTGGAGATTCTGAGACCACTGTATCTTGTTCTTGAAAGCCACTGACACCGGACGACCACCGTCGGACCCTTTCCCGCCAGTCATCGTTCACAGCCCTCTGCTCTGGTGCCATTGGGCCCTGCACCTCTGCCTGCCGCTGTGCATCGTCTGTTGGTACCCTAATCGCATCGGCCACGTCTACGGCAGCTTCTCGCTTCTGTCGCTCGCGATCTAGGATGTCGGCGATCTCGTGGTCCAGATACAGCTTGAACTTTTCGTTCGGCAGATTTGGGGGCAATGAGAGCCTTATGCTCGCTGTGACGAGATCCCTATTCAAACGGTAAATCCCTTGCTCATCTGAGTGCGGTTCCTAACGCGACTTTTGTCTGGTGACGCTCTCGGTCTCGGCGAATCCGTACGGACCGAGCTCAGATTTTGACCGAGGACGAGAGGTGGACTGTGAACGGCGTCTCGACGGGTGTTGCCTCTTAGTTTTCATGGTCTCCATTGACGCATTGGACGAGGACGAGTCTGAATCGTTGCTGACCCTGGTCATCGGGAGAGCCTTGCGGATGTCATCGAGAGGCACGCCGGACGTCTTGGAGGAGCTGGGAGTGCCAGAGGTGATCTGCTCTGGGACAACGGTCCTACTAAGTTGACTGGAGCTTCGACTGCGCTGTTCTTTGTGCATTATGCGTGCCCTGAATAGACGCTTTCGGCTCGCCAAGTAGACCTTGCGGTCAAAGATTACGAGAGCGGCAGGGACGCTGATCGTATGATGTACTCGGGGTCTACGCAACCCTACAGGGCGTCCGGTACCGATCCCATACGGCGAGGCACCGGTTCGTCTTGAGTGCTCTCTTCGCCTGACCGCAGTCGTCGCTCCCGATGGCAATCTGAATGTGGTTGTGGGGTTCGCCATCGGCGATGTGTTGCGAGCGGCTGACGATCGTTAGCGGGGGTCTTCAGTGGTTTTATTGTATACGTACGACGCATGACTACTAGAAGCGATTGTGAGCCACAAGGGTAGCAATAGTTGGCGATATTGGATGTAGCGATAGTTCGTGTCGTGGAGTCCTGGGCCGGTCGAACTAAAAACGAGTGCACACCAACGCGTGACTGCCTTTGAGCCAGCGCTGCAGTCATTGATGGCTGCCCCTTCCCAGATTCTCTCCGAGCGGAAGCACACCGCTACGCCGCGGTAAGCATAGTCCTTGCCCAGCCTGATCACCACCCTGCAAGAACAGCATCAAGTTTCTTCCTCCCCTGCGTCTGTAAGTCCAACATATCAATATCTCCTTCCTCCTCAGCAGTCGCCGGGACCTGCACATCGCCAAACCTCTCGCCCACCCTGCCCGCAACACGTATAGCCAGGGTCCTCGTCTTGGCCAGCTCCGGCGCAAGCGGCGCATCTCTCCATACGAGGTTCGGCTGGATGTTCTCCTTGGGTTTGCGGTACGGTTCGAGAAGCGTAAGCAGCGTGCCGTATGTGGCGACTTTCGCCTGCAGCGCGAGGCGCTGGGCGGAGAGGTCTTGTAGGCGTGCGAGCGCGGCGGTGTAGTCGTCTTGGGAGACGTCAGAGGCCGTGCGGTCCGCGGATGTGTCCCAGAGGATGGGCAATTTGGCGATGTTGGCGTCGAGGGTGAGGTTGTCGTTGCGGCAGAGTGTGTCGGCGTCTTCTTGTTGCGCTTCATCTTCGTCCTCGTCAATGTCCCGCGCGCCGGACTCCCAGTACAGGTCGTCGATCTGTGTGACGATGTGGTCCATCATTTGCCGGCTGTATACCTTGCGCGAATGCTGCTTGAGGTCGCGGTTGACCTTGTCGAGGGCGCCTTTGACTACGCTGAGCGCAATGCCTCCATCATCTGCTATCGTCTTAAGGCGTTGTGAGGGTACGATTGCGCGCGAGAGGTGGTGTTTCTTTGCTTGCAGGAAGAACCGCTTCTGCTCTACAACGGTTCCCTGCTTCGACATGGCTGCAATCACTCGTTTGATCAAGTTCTGGAAGCTACGTTGGTGTTTGGTGCTAAGTTTGGGCCGATGCGTCGGACGCGTTGTGGGGAAGTTAGCGTGACGCGTCAAGCATGTGACTGGAACTCTGGCGTCTAACGAGGACGTGTTGAGGCGAAAGTAAAAGCTTGATATCGTAGTCGGTGTCTATTGAATGTATTGATCTTCGATTTTCACAGGGTGGGCTACGTAGTAATGGCTATACTGTGCATCCCATTATAAATAGAAAGTCAACAAACGCTTTGTGTGCCATGCAAGCCGCGCACGCTATGCAAGAGATGCCCATGCTGATGAAAGCACTCGCTAATAAATCAAAAAGAAAGCCTTTCACTCTCTACACCTCCATGTTCTCAAAGGGATCGCGATCCGGCGGTAGTCCCCTATACATGACCTTGCCACGCCCATCAAGTCGGGCGTTGACACTTGTAATCCAGATCCAATTACTGAACGCACTAGTGCGCTGGATTTCGTCCTTAGAGATGCCCAGCTCGTCATGCGGAATCCACACAGCAGGCTGAATGGTTCGTGTCGCAGGGTGCTGGAAGCTACGCTTAATGAGCTTCTGGCGAGCTTCTGGCTCGATGTCTTGCAGCTCATCGTCGATATTATCAAACAGATTGGCTGCCGGAAGAACCTGCGACTCAATGTCACGCACAGGTCGTGAAATACCGTCTGTGACATCGTCCAGGCCGCGCTTGAGGGTGTCGGCGAAGGCATCGATGGGATCTTTACGCTTGTGCTTCTTAGGCGTTGTGCGCGAGTGGGAATGCGAGCGACTATCGTTGACGGATACGCATGATTTGTTAGCCCACTTTTTGCGGGACCGTTCAGGGCTGTCGAAGGTCCTAAGCTCGAAAGCTTCGTTGCCATTGCCAGACGGTGTCCGCTGCGCATCCAAACGGTCCATCGCTTCCATGTGCGCACGTTCGCGCTGCTCTGCGTTCTTAGCGGCAGCTTCCTCTCCAACAAGCGACTGATGTTCTGCGTCGTCGTCCTTAGTCCATCGAGCGGCCTGGATACGCTGGAACTCCTGGTCTCGCTCTACGGCCTCGTCCTCAAAGGTAATCGGAAGGTAGGTAAACAGCGGGCTAAAGGCTCGGTTGAGCACGAACTGGAAGAGTACAGTGAAGATCAGAGTGATGATCATAATGATTGCGTGTGGTAGACAACTCGAGTCGTTTTGCAGGAAGAATAGACCGATGAGACAGAGCTCCATAAAGTAGATGCCCGTGAAGAGCTGGTTGACGGCCTTTGGGAAGATCAATCCGTTCGTTTCGGCCTTAGCGTACGAGACGTAGATCATCTGGTATCGATAGGTGAACCAGAACAGGCTGAAAGTGATCAGCATCATGACCATGATCAATGGCGAAATGACTGAGTAGATGATACCAATCGCACCAAAGTTGGTATACACTGGTATCATAGTACCCCAGTTCATGCCCGACCTGTTCAGTATCCTTGAGACCTTCTCGCGGGGAGTGGTATCGAAGAAACCGAAGAGAAGGATAACTGCAATCGCACCGATCTGCAATAGCGTACCAGAGCTGATACTGAGCGCCTGCAGAATCATGTAGGAAAAGAAGTAGTTCGCAGCCCTCGGCAAGTTCTGAGCCAGGGTCTGAGGGATGCCGATGGGGTTGTTGGTGATCTCCTCAATTGTTGCCGTGATACCAGTGGAAAGGGATACGACCAGGAACAACTGAATGAAGACGAAGGCGAAGTAGAAGTTCTGCACCAGAAGTTCGCGCTCTCCGGATGTTGTAGTACCGGTGGCTCCAGCAAGGAACCGTAGCAGGATCGGCAAAACAGCGAACAGTACAGCAAGCAGTATCGGAGGCAAGACACCTTCAACAAAGCTAAGCGCCCATGGTGGCAATTTCTCGAGGAAGCTCAGCCAAGGCAGATTGTCGGTAAGAGTGGAGACTTGGGATAACGCTCCGGTGAACGAAACTGGAATACCCCAGAAGATGATAAGACCGATGATCAACACGATGACGCCGAAGAGTCGTAGGTACCGTTCCCACCATTTCATCGTGAGATTTTCCCAGAGCACATGATTTGGGTTGACTTCAACAGTTCGTGGATCCATCTGCCTAGGAACATGGTGACTGAGTGACTGACAGGCCATGTGTGCAGCAACCTGGTGGTTGAACTGAATGAAGGCAGAGTTCATCAGAGGATATCGCTCGGGATGGGCCTGATCCTCGTCAATCTCTGCGTTGAGACGAGCCAGTTCTTTCCGACAATGGTAGATGGTGTCGACCTTCTTGCCGATCAGCGGGATTGAAGGCCACCAGTCCCACGAAAATATAGGGAGGCGCATGGTGTCACGGTCCTTTGGTGTTACATATGATCTCCATAGCGCAGTCTCACCGTCTTCTACCAGATCTTCGTTGTAGACACCCTTTAGATCATACTTAACCTTTATAGGTTCTTTCAATTCTTCAGGCAGGACCTCACCCTCTTTGCGGAAAGGCTGAGGACTCGTAAAGTCATCGCTCATACGTCGCAGAGGTCGTACAGGGTTCAAGCGGGAGTCACTAAACTTCTGGAACGCGCTCTTCTTTTCCTTGGTCTCCTTGTGATGGTGCTTGTGTTTGTGCTTTTCGTCAGGTGTGCTTGTCTGAGTGACAGTCCTCTCAGATTCTAGCGGGTCCTGGTCCGGGACTGCCAATGGCGAGTATGTGTCGCTGCTCGCGCCTCTTAGCGCGAAGTCCGCAGAGGTTGGAGAAGAGATGGGTCGATCACCGCTGCCGTCAAGGTGAGATTGAGGCTGGCCATGTTTGTCTTTACCCGCAAAGGCACCCTTAAGACCACCGTAGAGCTTTTTGTTGAAGTTGCCCACGCCTTGTCCTACGTCACGGAAACCATCTCCAACGGCATGGAGGCCCTGACCGACGAACGGGATTGGCAACATGCCCTTCTTGCGTGAGGGTGATGACGAGCGTGACGAGGAAGAGGAAGAGGAAGATTCGCTCTCCTCCAACACAGACTGCAGCTGGCGCTCGATCTGATGAGGGTTACCAGCATCTGTACCGTGGTCAAGAGTCTCATTGGCGATTTCGATGTCTTTCTCCGTTTCTTCCGCTTTCCTCTCCTTCTTGGTCTTCTTCTTGCCCTCTTCTTTCGCCTTGGCCTCGACCATCTCCTTGTGCTTCTTGGTACATTTGATAATCAAATTCGTCTCGGCCGACTCCAGCGTACGCGCGATCTTGGACCGCTTATTGACTTTATCTTGCAGCTCATCGTAGTTGCGGTTGATCCAGATCTCCTTGATGCCACCAGGGAAGACATCGTAGAGCGCATCGAGCGCAGCAGCCGTGAGCCACTTGCGTGGAATGCTCTGCACCAGAATGGTAGTTGCAGAAGCGCGTATGCGATGCTCCGGCATGGTGAGAATGGTCTGCCTGAGACGAACAAATTTCCTCAGGGCGAGGAAGAAGTTGAAGCAGACCCAGCAAACAACAAGCACAGCCAAAATTAGATGTGCCCACAGTCGGTTACGCTTGTCTGGAAAAGCCACGTTCGGCCATGCGAAGGAGTCGAGCCCCGATACGTTAGGCTCATCTCCAATGCGATTGATCGGCAGCAAGATCGGGAGGATGACGCAGGCCATGGGCACGAATATGCGAAGTAAAAGTTGTAGGTATTGCAGGAATAGGAAGCCATCGACGCCTGCAATGCGGATGAGCTCTCGGTCGCTAATCTTGAACACGGTCTTGATTGATTCGATCGCAGTGACGGGGGCTGCGATGCGCTTGGCTTCTGGCACGAAGGCTGTCTTGTAGTAGCTGTTGTCTGTTAGTTGAGTCGACTTGCAAGAGTTTAGCACGTACTATATCCTTTGGAACAGGGTCTGGCGTTGTGTCTGCGGCTCGGTCGCGCTCTTCTTCGAGCGCATGAGCTTCCAGTTGCCACTAAGGATCAAAAAGACGCCCATCTGCACACCGAAGACGACAGCAGCGGTGGACAAAGAGGCGGCGAACTTTGCGATACTCTGGTTTTCCCTGCCCAATGCGGCACCAGTGCCCTGGGTGCTTGTCGGGGACTCTGAGGCTGAAGTGGCTGACATTTTTACTTTCGTTGTTGCGCTGTGCGAGCGCTATATGCAGTGTATATTGTGCGCAATGTATCGTGGTTGTAGTGTTGGCCTGCCCCTACAGCTAATATGAGGCCATAGATACGTCGTTGAAAGGGAAGTGACAGGCGCGGCGCCTGAAGTAAGGGTCTGTCTCTAGGTGAAGAGGGCGAGAGGGGTCGTGAAAGAATGCACAAAGCGAACATCACAGAAAGGGCATTGTTGGCATTCAAGATCGACGTGTTTTAGATTTACCCTGAACTGGCGATTCGCGCCGTACCACTTGGCAGCAGGGTGCTGGCGCCTCTCGCGTCACCGCTCAGCCAAACAATTATTTAAAACGGCGACGGGGTTTCTACCGTTAGCGCCCGTTCACGGGCGTACTCCCGCCGAGGTTTTGAAATACGCCTAGAACATGTCTCGCGCTGCCTCATGTCTTGACAGTCGCGTGTCTCTGCTCTTTCTCGACACTTTGGGTTTTTAGATCTTCATTGGTAGGAGCATTAAGAGAGATCCACGATTTGCGGAGCCCAATCCAGCGACCGTCACAACCCAAACCCCGGTCAATGACGGCGCCAAGGCCCGTGCACCGGTGGTGCGCCACGCTGGACCACACTTCCGTGTTCACTCGGCTCACGTGCCCCTCCCGTGTCACCCTTCCAAGATTCTGCAGTGCAGCAGCAAGGCATGAACAAGTACAAGGGAGCGTGGGTAGATACGGAAAGGTACATATCACCGTGCCCACTTGTTTTCTTTCGACAGTAGAGCACAAGATCGCGCACATCAGGAAGAACCTTCTCCTGCAGTTAAATGCAGTTGTTCGAGGCCAATTCTACTTGTTTTAAGAGCGCTCAGCGATAGCAGTAAGCAGCAAAGCCGTCAATTCAAGCATTCGCCTAAGGTCGATACAGATATCCCTGTTCCCATCCTCATCCCATCCACTAGTGTTGACGAAAACAGCCTGCGGCACAGGGTCCAAATTCTGGGTCCAGAAGGTTCATAAATTACTGTGGCAGTGCATGAGATCCTTAGAATGAAGAAAGCGAGCATCGCCCCACACCAGGCTTACTTCACAAAACTATTGTCCAATCAGATGTGACGTATGTTAAGAGCATCTGACTTCAACTCTTCGATGTCTGCCTCTCTAGGACAGACCGAGAACCTCAATGCAGGAATATTAGGATAATTCTAAGATCGGCGGGTGCTGTGAAGATATGTGTAAGCCACGTAGAAATGCCTTTGAATGCATCGATCTTTTGAATACATCCATATCTACTATGCGCACGTCTAGTAGTCGTTTTATTATCTTTCCGCATCGAGACTGCTTCTCAATTCATCGTCTCATCATTTGTAACACAGTCATCATGTCGACTGCAAGCGCCTTGCAAAATGACAGCTCATCCTTAGCCAAAGACACCACAACAGTCCAGCAACGCAACGTTTGGAGAACAGATGCATCGCAGGAATACTCGTGGCTCGACCAATCTCACAATACCTTTACACGTAACTCAACTTCTTCCTACTGAATCACCCGCCAAGGCATGCCCCTCCCCTTTGTCTGACTAACCTCCGCATACAGAACCTCCCTCGAACCCACCCTCAAAACCACTCATCTGCCACCGCCAGACCTAATGCAGACTGAGTGATTCCATCGCCGACTCCCATCCCAGGCATCGCGTACTGTGCTTACCCCTGTCTCTCCTCGGCGAAGCCCTTGCTCCTCCCCGCACGTAAACGCAGTCAAGCCACCCCGTCAGTCTCAAGGACAAAGCCTGGGGCCTTTGCATCGAGCATTTCACTGAGAACCTGTGGCTTTCCTTCTGGGGGATGGATAGTTGTGCTACAGCTATTGTATGATGCTGTACAGTGTGCCTGGGCGGGGCGATGCGCTGAGGAAGGTCGAGGTCAGGTAGTATAGCCAGAAATGATGGGAGAGTTATGTGAGGGGTGGGGCGTTGTTGATTGATGTGAGGGGCGTTGATGGGGTGGTGGTGTGTTTGACGCTTATTACTATGCTGGAGAAGAAGGGGCAGAGGTTGGTAGAGAGGTGTGGAGATGGTGCACGTTATGGCGGTACGGGTTGATTGTGTAGTAAGCGATTCTGAGGTTTGCATCGATGCGGGGAGTTGGGCGGAGGGCCGTCAGTGTCTCAAGGTTCAAGAACGCAGTTTGTAGAATGAAGACGTTGCGATTGGGTTCAAGATTGCATGCAAATTGAAAGTAAAGGAAGCTTCGTGAAAACACTTCCTTCTCTGCATCATGGAATCTTGGCGCTGAGTCTATCAACCTGTACTATCTCATCGCTCCACACATTTCACACGCAAAACACGCTTCGAACGTTCCTCGTTTCCACCGCTCAGCACTCACGCGTCCGCATCCCCATCATCCTCAAACACACTGCCATAGCCCTCGTCCTCGTGCACAGTCAAAGAATCTTTAGCAGGCTCCTCATGAGACAAAAATCTGCCAGCGACATTCCAAGTGCCCATCGGGTTCTTCCGCGCAGGAGGAGGAGGCGGCGGCGCCTGCCCCTGTGGTACCACGGTATTTTCTTCTCGTGGCTCGGCGGTAGGAGGTGGTGGGGCCGCGTCCCACTCCTCCTCGAATCCAGTGAGGATGTCTTCCTTGAGAGATGCCCAGTCCTCGTCTATATGCGCGGTGGAAGCATCTTCTGCGGGAGCTCTGACTGCCTCCAGGACGGCAGATGGGAGGGGCAGCGACTTAGACTTGGGAGCCCGAGGACGTCCAGTCTGGGCGATTGCTGAAGAAGCCTGTTTGGCTTTGGCTTCGGCTTCGATCCGAGCCTTCTTCGCTGCTCGTTCTTTGCCGAGCTCGGCAACCCTTTCAGCCTTCAACTTTCGCTTGTTGGCAGAGTTTGCCTCTTGTCCAAATCTGCGCTCGAACTCTGGCCTGCGCATCCCATCGATCCATCCCCTATTTTGGGCTCCCTCGATACAATCTAGCTTTGTGTGTCCTTTCTCTCGCAACTTGGACTGAAGTTGGTTCTTTTCAGAGTAAAGCTTTGCCTGTGCCGACTCCTTTTCTTCTTTGCTTGATTTTTCAGAAGCAAGACTGGACTCCAGGCCATCCCAAGACAAGCATTATAGGATCATCTCGGCCGCATCAATGAAGTATTGAGACATTTCGATAATGTCCCCAAGAGCGGCTTCCCTGGTGGGCCAATGTGTCGCGGCACATCGGTTCCTTTTGATGGCAGGAATGTTCGCGAAGGACCCGAGGAGAAAGGCCTGATTGCTATAGCCCACGTTGTTTAGCTCCTCGATCAAATACTGCTGACCTTTTTTCCAAAAGGTCGGATCGGGAGCGGGAGCAGAGGCCTGAACAGCCTTGACTTCCTTGCTAATGGTCTGTTGCGAAACTGCAAGGGGCTCATTTGCGGTAATGTCTTCAGTCAGGCCTATCGCATCGGTAGTCAATGCTGATGCTCTAGTAACCTGTGGCTAGGCAGTTTACATCCTGACTGGTCCGACAGAGGCATTGTAGCCACCGAAATTGACTTGGGCGTCTACAACGTTGTTAGAGAGACTTTATCATAATGTAACGAAGGTTTCTTACTGTTCTGAGACACGTATGGTGCCTGTTCTTGATGGCGAATGTGCTGACTGCCGAAATTATGGCCGCCATGTCCGAATTGGTGGCTGCCAAAAAAAGTTGACGGAGCCGACATTTATATGCTGTAGTGATCTATTCGAGTATTAGACATCTTCGCTACTTGACTTGCTGGAAGGCAATACTTACAGAAAATAGTCTGAACTCGAGCCCAACGCGGCTGAACATACTGGCCGGCACCGAGACGAAATCGCTGTGCCTGTTGCTGCAGCATCTTACTTTGCCACTGATGGCACGACTGGGCCACTTGCTCAGGCGATACCCACCCACACACACTGATTAGTGCGAGTATCGGCAAATGAGCCAGGGACGCAAAGTGGCTGCAGGTAAGGGGGAAGAGTAGCGCAAGTCATCCTGTAAAGAAAGAGTTTTGAATATGTTGAGTTGAGCTTTGAAGCTTGAAGTGCAGATTATACCGACAATTGTGTGCCGGAATGAAACGACATTGAGTGCAGGGCTGGATATGTTTTATAGGTTTCCTGCTAGAATTCATGCTCGTACAGTACGGAATCGACGAAAGAAAAACTTGCTGACGAACCGCTGGTTTGTCCCTGATATAGCCAATACATTCATGTATCTGTGACTGTCATCTTTCTGGCAACGGAAGAATGGTATACGATGCGTCCAATAACGAGAGCTTTCCCAGGTTTCGAAGCGTACGGGTCACAGCTATCAGTCTGGTTCACGACACTCGTTCTACGGTCCCTGCTCAGCACAGCCTCTGATGCCGCGGCCACAGCCCATGGTGCTGCCAGAAGCCCCTTGAATCCAGCTTTCTACCCAGAAGACTCATATCGCGCGGCAGGGCTCTTATACCCTCCTCGATCATCAGCTCCCCGACCCACTTCGCGAATTGGAGCTTCTCCTCTTGCTCTTGTGCGCTTAGCTCGGTACCCTCCGTGAGCGCGCTAAAGCTCATAATCAGGTCGTACCAATCGTAGACCCTCATATCTGACACGATCCATCTCTTGCCTGGTGTGAAGTTGCGGTGCGTCGCGATGATTGCACGCGCAACATCTTCGCCATGAACGAAGTGAACGGCACCCCGATGCCTCACATCGTCCTTGCTCTTTGCCAAACGCGGCAGCCACTTCGAAGGGACTCGCTCGCCCCCGTAGAGACCAGATAGATCTAAAACGCAGCCATGCTCGCGCATCAGCTCGTCTTCAGCAATAGCACGTGTTTCTTCCTTGTCGTACGGCGCGTTATCATCGCTCCAGTCATCGGGCAACTGGTTGAAGATACTCGTCGCGCCCAATTGGATCCAATTGTTCTTTGCACCATGAGCGGCGCGGTACAGGCCAACGATAGTCTTCGACTGCCCCTGGCCTTTGAGCGGGAACGTGACGAGAACGGTACGCGCTGATGGAAGGTGCTTGTAGGGTTCGATAGATCCAGAGTCAGGGTCGAACTTGAAGGGAATGGTATTATCCCTGCCACTAGTCGTTGTTGCCGCCCATTTGATGCCTTCTTTTTGCAGCTGAGGAATCAGGAAATTGCTCGTCCACCCCGCACCCAAGATCAAAAAATCCACCTCCTGCATTGCTTCGCGTAGCATAGTTAGGCTCAATTGGGTTGTATGATAATATTTGTGATTGAGTGATCGATGTTAGACTTTTGTTCAGTTAACAGATTCGGTTGACGTTAGAATAACCACGCACCCACGGTTCGGCCGGGCCAACCGTCGTGACGTCTACCACGTCAGCTAGTCAGCCCCACTTTTTTGGACCCTCATGTACGAAGTAGGATCGCCTACAATCCTCAGATGAGCTTGACGATTCGCTGTCATACTCGTGTCAGGTCAGGTAGCCAGACCCTGAAACAAGTTCACATGAAATGATTTGTCATTGCTGCATAGTACCAGTTGCTTTATTCGGTATTTGAATGACTACAGAAATGTTCGCTTCCCACAAACATCAACACTTGTACTGGATGTTGTTGTCGAGCCAAGTCTCCAGCGCCTTGTTTACCTCACTCGGCTTCTCAATCTGGACCCAATGCGCCGACTCGATCGTTACGTACGTCAGATCTTGAACCACTTCCCTCTGGCTCTCGCCCATCTTAGGCGTAGCGCTTGGAGAGCAAACACCATCATACTTTGGGTCAATGTACAAGACAGGGAACAGTAGCTTGCCACCATTCTTTTCGCTCTTTGCATACTCAGCATTGACATCGTGATTCAGATAGTATGCTGAGGGCGGGAACCAGCCATGCTTCTTGTGGCTGGCAACCATGTTGTCGTACAGCGATTGATCGATCAATGTTTTTTCCAAAGGAATGTCTGGAACATTATCAGGGTTGCCGCCGAACCAGCCCCCATCTTTTAGTTGCCTAGCAGTTCTAATATTGGGTTTGCCATGGTTGTTGGGGTCGTGCGGCAGGTACAATACTTTTGTGACTCTGTCAATCGCACTATCGAAGACGTCCACACACTTCTCAGAGTGCAGCTCATAATACTTCATGTAATCCCATTGGCCGTACTTATACTCATCCTCCGGGTAAATGTCGCGATTGACCAACGAGACGAGGTAATCAAGACCGAGTTCGATGGTCCGGTAGGGTACCGCAATGACAGTGAGACCGAGGAACAGCTCAGGGTGGTGTGCCGCAAGCGAGCTGACAACGCCACAACCCCAGTCATGGCCAACCCACACTGCCTTTGTGATGCCAAGTTGCTTCGCGAAATCTACAAGCTCGCCATTGAGGGTCTCGAGAGAGTACGCGCGCCTGTCTTTCGGGCTTGAAGAGCCTGCGTAACCGCGCATATCAGGTGCGATCACACGGTATTCGGAGCCTGCAGCACCAGATGTGAAATGCTCGAGTTGATGCTTCCAGATTTCCGCTAAGTCGGGCCATCCGTGAATGAAGATGAGGGGGATGCCGTTGCTAGTGCCGCCTTCGTAGTAATGAGTCGTTTGGCCATTGGGGTGCGTGATGTCTGCCGCTTTGAGGAAGTCCATGATGACGTGAATAAAAGGGTGCGACGTAACGGTAAGTAAAGCTATTGCTGAATGGCGATGATCGAGAACCGTGGTCGGTTTATCATCATGCGAGTCGCACTACTTTATCATTGCGGACTCTTACCGGTACCTCGGGGGTTACATCATACTCATGCGGGGTCTCGATTCATCACTCCATTGCCTACCTTGGTACTTAACCGAGGCGACCTCCATATTACCGCAGCTTATCAACTTTGATAATGGACGAAAGTAGACCCGAGAAACAATCAGACCGAGTGCGCGTGTCGGCGCAGAGAACGCGAACGTAGCATGGCAGTAAGCTGACAGTGGCCGCGAAGAGAAGATCAACACCGGCTTTTGGTAACAAGCCAGAAACCAGAAGTCTTTTTATTCAGGCGACGCGTCTGGAAGGTGCCGACGAAGTGCTTAGATGTTCTATGGGTGGCCCATCTGGATGATGCGAGATCGTGGCTGCGCCGGCTTCAGCCTCCCGCACGCCGACGATCCTTCTTTCGTGCTTATGATGCCAGACCCCCCCCCCCCCCCCCCCCCCCCCCCCCCCCCCCTCCTTTTCTTCTTTTTGCACCCCCGCCCCCCCCCCCCCCCCGCCATCATCAATCCTGGCGGCAAAAGCTCACTAACTTCGCTCCTTGCAGATCATTCTCACTTCAAAGATATTTCCTCAAGTCCCTGTTGCAGTATTGTCTTCGCCATCACGCCCGCCATGAGCTTTCTCGAGCGACTCGCAAACCCACGGCAAGGCCGGTACTACACCATATCAACCCCCGCGCTCTAAGGCAGAGGCTAGGACCCAGCAAACTGGACAGCGCGACTGGATACCTGCATGATCAAAACATCGACCGAAGATCTCGACTAAAAGCACCTCTGCGGCGCAACTTTCGTTGCCTATCGCGACTTCCGCAACTTCCGTGATAGCTGGCAATTCGGCGTGTTCCTTGACTCAGTCCTGGCGGACCCTGTCCTGATCCTTCACATCGTTTGACGGTCTGAGGCGAGCAGCGCAGCAAAGCCAATTATGGACATATTTTCCAAGGCAATTGCGACGTAGCTAAATGTAACAATAGGGGCTTGCACGTCGTGACTAACATCCCGAGTAGAGAGTAGTGTTACGCTTATACTCAGTACAAGAAATTACCCAAGTAATGTCTAAGCGCACCAATACGAAGGGACATTTGAAAGGCGCATCGCGAGGGCACGTGGCTTGATATCGGTGTGTCGGACCTGAAGAATCTGAGGCAAGCGTAATGATGGAAGTGGATACGGTAATGTCGCGATTGTTGGCTTGAGGAGGCTGCGGGTGCAGGTTTTTGCATAAGTCCGTTGCCCTACTGACGCTGCAGATACGACTCTATTTTCTACCGCGCGATCATGAATAATGACTGTAAGCTCTATTGGGCTTCAGAGGGCTGGCTTGACGGCGCGTGGTACGATTCATGTCCCGTTCCTGCCATTGGCACGTACCGCGTGCAATAGAACCCAACAGACGATGAACTAATGAAAACGAGTGTCGCTAACTACGGCAGCAATCCAGGAGCGCTATTGTCTATCTATCAGAGCGATCGCTCACAATTTGAGGCCCTTGACCCGGACGATATCGACGCCTACGCGAGGACCTTCCTTTCCCTGATCTCTGACGATAAGTCTCTATCAGCAGCAACCACTACGAGCTGAATATCAAGTAAAACCGCTACAGTTGGCTGCGCGATCATAACGGGCGCTTCGAATAGGACAATAACGGTGATCATCCTGCAAGAATAGCCAAACAGCAATTTGGAGACACCAACTAGACGGTCAGCGGCTGCATTAGCGAGAAGTCCAAGAGAAGTGCAGCGTCACCGATCCAGCTCAGCGGCCAGAACGCTCGTACAGGGTCAACAATTGCATAGAATTTGTAAACACACGTGCCACCTACCAACTGTACCTAAACCTCACATCTTCCTTATCCGTCAAATCCGTAATCGGCGCCCCGTTCTTGTCCAGCACAACACCGTGCACGTACTCCTCCACCCCGCTCTCGCGGTCCAAAGCATCCCTCCGCGCATTATCGCGCTTACACTCAAGCCAGTATGCGATGACGACAACAAACAGCGTACACCACGTGACCAGCGCCGTCACAACGCCACTGAAATACCTCGGTTTGTGCGTCCACAGCTGCGGCGACGCAATACAGCCCGCGCAGTACCCGATGAAGAATACAGCGCTGACGACAGAGCGCTTCGTGTTGCCCTTTGCGTTTGAAGCCGTCAGTGACAGCAGCGGCGACATGACGGCTGTGATGCAGGATGCTAGCCAGGAGGCGGCGATCATGCCCCATCCCGCGTCAAGTGAGAGCTTGAGGAGGAGCACGTTGCCGATCAGGGGAGGGATGATGAGCGCGAGCACGACTTGCGTGCGGTTTCGAGGGAAGAGATAGCAGCCTAGTACGCCGATCCAGAGGAACGTGACTTGGACGGCACCGGAGGGAGCGGTGTAGAGCATGGTTTGGTAGCGGTCGTAGCCTATTGTGTTGATCACAAGGGAGGCGAACTGGTAACAAGAGTCAGCGACGGTACGATTGGTGATGGGTCGGGACGGAGACGTACTGTCAGAACCGGGCTTTGCATGGTGACGAGCACACCGAAAGCGAAGACAAACCACGTCTTAACATCCAGCAACGCTTCTCGCAACTGTCGCATGGAGAACGATGTTTTGTCGCCTCCCTCGCGGTCCTTGGCCATACGCATCGATAAAACTTCCTTTTCGCGAGCATTGAGGAACCAAGCATCGTTCGGCCCGTTTGGCATGAGGAAATAGAAGGCAACGCCAGATGCCGCTGTCATGGCGCCACAGACGAGGAAGAGAGTGCGCCAGGGATCGAGGGACAGCGACGTGTTCTTGCCGATGCCGTACATGAGCAGACAGCCGACGATCTGAGCGAAACCGTTCATGGTCACCCACAGCCTAGCTTGCGTTAGTAGGAGGCCTTGTGGGAAGGTTATGAGACTTGCCCTGTCCTGGTGGCGTGCTCACTCTTCTGATACCAGATCGACGTGATGGTAACGAAGGCTGGAGAAACAGCGCCTTCGGTGAAGCCCAAGAGAAATCTGACTGCGGCAAAACCAGCAAAGCTCTTTGGTATCGCGAGACACATGCAGGTGATTCCCCATAGAATCACTGTGACTCCAACAAACTTCGTGAGATGAAGCCTCGACATCAAGTAGATGAAAGGGAACTCGGCCACAAGTTGGCCAATGTAGAAGATCGAGGAGCACCATGAGTACTGGTGGCTCGTGAGGTTCAAGTCAGTGAGAAGACCGAAAACCTGGTATGTCAGTTGCGACGCTCTGTCGAGGCTGGAGTAACTTACAGATGCATAGCTCAGACTCTGCTTATCGAGGTACTGCGGACGGTCAGTGATGTTGGGCAGCGTTCAGACTCGTGCCACTTACTTGCATGAAGAAGACGATACAGATCAACGGCAAGATGGTCCGATCTATCTTGCGGAGGACCTGTCGCTCCTCTTCGGGCGTGTAGGTGGCAGATACCTCAAGGACATCGCCCTTCTCCTCAACAGCCAGCTGCATCCTGGGATCGTGGGCCGTGTGTTTGTCTGCGGACTCACTCATGATGAAGGTGACGATGATCCCGACCAAACGGTGCATGCAGGCCTATATACTGGTGGGACTGGTGGGTCCTGCCATGATAAAGTGCGGAGAAAGCTTGATGTGATAGCGATGTCAAGCTGCCGCGTTGCCAGGAAGCAATTGCTGGAATGCCGCTTCTCGTGCAGAGATAGCGTGCGGGTAGTTGTATAGAAGCCAGCTACCCGTCGGCAGTCTGTACCCTCCACGATACCTAGCCGACTAGCGTCGGGATCCACCCGATAACCTCATCACCAATGTCGATGGACAAGCCAAGCTTCGTATCTTCTGTGTGACACTCATCCCACTTTGTTTTTTTGTTCATTTTCCTTCCTCGAAGCTCCGCTCAACATTTTACCCTCTTTGCACAATGGTCACTGAAGCCGACATCAAGCCATGGCTGCGCTCAGCGGCAGCCTCATACATCCTCTACAACGCTTCAATAGTCGACGTTGAGGCAGGGATTGCTCGACCAAATCAAACAGTCACCATCGAGAACGGCAAAATCACATCCATTGAGACAGCGGCAGGTACACCAACTCAGCGTTCCGGAATCACATCTGTCGACTGCTCTGGGAAATTCATCTCTCCAGGCTTAATCGACAGCCACGTCCATCTGATTGCAGTGCCGGGCTTCGACAACTTGGCTGCAGCTTTTGGAAACCCTGAAGCTGTAACTCTGTTGCGACAGCCGTACGTATGCGCCCAGATGCTGCACCGAGGATTCACAAGCATCCGCGATTGCGGCGGAGCCCACGCTGCGATCAAGGAAGCTATCGAGGATGGTGTGATAGTTGGCCCGAGACTATTCATTGCAGGCCACGCACTGAGTCAATCTGGAGGTCACGCTGACTTTCGCGGCAAGCACGACTACTCAGCATGTTGTGGTGGCCATGCGACGGGCATCGGCCGCGTGTGCAATGGCGTACCGCAGTGCATGCAAGCTGTTCGAGAAGAGATTCGAACCGGGAGTGATTTCATCAAGATCATGGGTTCTGGTGGTGTCAGCAGTCCCACCGACAAAATAACCCATCTTCAGTTCACACCGGAGGAGATCCGAGCGATGGTAGAGTGTGCGAACAACGCCGGTACATATGTGACTGCACACGCGTACACATCCGAAGCTATCCGTCATTGTATATCGCAAGGAGTGAAGGGTATCGAACACGGCAACTTTCTTGATGCAGAGACGGCTGCCATCATGGCCGAGAAAGGCTGTTACCTGACGCCGACTCTGATCACATACGATCAGATGGCGTCGCCAAAGTGGGCTGGGTACCTCCCGCCATCAGAGACATCAAAGAACATCGAGGTCCTCGATGCAGGACTGAAGGCGTTAAAGACTGCTGCAGATGCTGGTGTGACAATTTGCTTTGGGACGGATCTGCTGGGCCCACTGGGTGCTGCGCAGACGCATGAGTTCAACCTTCGATCCAAGGTCCTCTCATCACTCGAAGTGCTACGAAGCGCAACACTGAACCCTGCTCGTATGTTCGGGCGAGAGAATAGCCTGGGGCAGATTAAGGAAGGATTCGAGGCTGACTTGCTAATCCTTGCTGCAAATCCGCTGGATGATGTAACGATTCTGGATAAGCCAGAAGCATATGTGAAAGCAGTGATGAAGGAAGGTCGTGTATACAAGAGTCGCTGGGCTGACATCGCCGAGGACTCCACGGCGGTCAGGTTGAAGCCCGCCTTGTAGTTTGTAGATAATACCATCCTTTCATGCATTTCTCCGTCTTTGTTTGACAGTCTTCGTCTACTTCTGGAGGCATCGATAGACATGGAAAGGTTGCTTGAAAACGTGAGATCGCTTGAGAAAGTTCACAAAGGTTTTTGTTGTATTCGATTGGGCTCGGGGAAGAGCACTAAAGGTCTTCGCTGACCGGAATGTGCGCTATCATGACGTAGAGTCAACACGTGGCTTCTGATAGCCATAGCTTGACATCGTTTCAATCATGTAACCCGAAGCCCATCATGTCGAAGCCAGTCAAGCCCATAAGGAACATTGGATCTTCGCTGTAGTCAGTCATGAACATCGCAGGATCGAGCGTGTCTGTTGATGCGGCGTTCATTTCGTACTGGAGTCCACCAGAGGGTGGTATCAGGGGAGGTACCGATGAGAGTTGCTGGAGCGCAGCGGCCCCGTCCCAGCTAGCAAATTCCATCACAGGTTCACCGTTCGAGATCATCGAAGACCCTCCCAAATCCAGCGGCGTCTGAGTCCCTGACCTCAGCATACTGTTTGCTTGCCTCGGTTGACGAGCCAGCCAATCAGCCCAGGTACCGTAGTCTGATGTCTGCCGAAAGTCCTGCGTGGCTGTCGCAATAGTTGTGGCAACACCGTGCTGATACAATTTCTGCACGGCCTCCTCAGCAATGGATTGCAAAGCTTCCACAAACTTCAGCCCAGCTGTCGCAGTGGCATTACCTTCTGCCATCTTCCGTAAACTGTCAAGACCAAAATTGACATGTCTTTCGTAGTCCGAGTCGCGTTCCAATATGCCGGCTAGCAGCATGAGCGACGTTGCGACACTACAGCCTTGGAAGTCGGTAAACGAGAAGCGTGTCAGGTTTCCAGTTCGCCGGACGTCTTCGTATAAGCGGAGTATTTTCTTCGATGCCTTGATACAGGCTTCAGCTAGGTGATCAGAGTGTTTTTCAAAATTGTGATGACTCCCCCCACTGAAGTGGTTCTTTAGGTAAGATCGGACCCTCGCAACGACGGAGACTTTTCCCATCGCTATTCTTGCAAAGTAGTAGTTCAAGTATAGGTGGAAGGTAGCTCGGTAGCTCGATATGCGTGGATGGATCAATTCCAGCTTTAATGTAGGTGGCAACGAGCGTTTCCATTGCTTCAGCGCAGTTTCGACACCTGTTACTGGGCCTTGTGTAGTCCTGTGATGTCCGTCAGTAAGACGCGAAGTTTTTTTTTTTTTGGCACAGGTCGCATGCTCTGAAGGTTTTCGACAGCACTGTTGAGAGACCATGGTGGTTGACCGACTCGTGGAGGCCGTTTATTCACTGTGAGGTGCTCTTTTGGCTTAGGTGGTGGATCAAGGAGGGTGTCAGGCACTCACATTGACCCGTCGACTCGATCCAGGATCATCATGAGTTGCGCATTTGCTAGCTGATGGTCAACATTGTTGAAAGCTTGTTGGGCATCAAGTGCAGGAAGCGGCGAAGGCAGGTTGACTGTGATGATTGCTGTATCGACAGATCTTGGTCTGCTGAGCTTTACTGTAGTGCACCTACCGAACGTCAGATACTGCGGCGAGGATGACCGTTATGGCATAGGTGTACCTTTCCAGAGAGTAAACAGCCCACCAGAGTCTTCGGCGGAGTTCTCTCTCAGTCTCGTTGATACTGACCTCCTCTACCTCTAGATGCAGATCGATTGCCAGAGATTTTCTCAGGGCCAGGCCAAGGTAGACATATGATGAACTGATAGCACTTGCCGGAAGGAGATAGACACCGATGACAAATGTTGCCTGCACCGTGCGTACGGAGCTGAGTTCGATTATGTCAGGGATGAGGCTGCGAGCCTGCTGGTAGAAAATGCGACCAGGGTCGCTATCTTGTGGCGGAGGTGTAGTTATGGACCCTTCTGGTCGCACCAATGTAGCCCATTGACTTCCGAGAGCGAATGTGGCATGTGCCAGGCAAACAAATGCACTGTCGAGGCGTGAAGGAGAGTCAGCATTGGCGTAGAATTCGTCCAGCTCGGCAGAGAACTGGGCAGTATCGAAGTAATGGAAGGAGTCCGTGCCATGTTCGTTGCAAACCGAGACGAGAAAGCGTGCGACTGCTTGGGGAGGAAAGGCTCGAGCTGCAACACGGACTCTGCGGGCCGAGTCAGGGGTATGCCGCGGTTGATGGACTGGCGGCAATGTTGACGATTGCGCTTCTGATGCACTGACTTCCTCTAACGACAATGTTTCACGTAGTTTGTGAAGGAAGCGAGGCCACATAAAGCGCTCTGCTGGGGTATCTGCGGCGAAAGTAGTTGAAGGGCTGATCTGAGCTTCGTGTGTAATCTCGAGTTCCGACTCGACAGAACTTCGCTGCCTTTCAAATTCACAGTTTAGTGAGCTCTGCATGCATCTCTGGCAGATGCCACGTGACGTCTCGATGCATTTGCTCTTCCTCGCCTTGCAGTGGGTGCAGGCTCGAGGGGCCCGCTTTCTCATGCCATCTGGTACTCTTCTTCGACGACGGCGTCGGTCAGCTGCTGGGGCATTCATTGCATCTTGATGGGCTGGTGTGGAGGTTGTCGATGCATTGTCGGCAATCTGGCCGGGGTTGAGACAGGCAGCCGAACGCTAACTTAGCGCGCTTTCCTCGTTGTGGCGAGAAGTACTGTCAAACAGGAACAATTCTCATCTTCTATGATTCAATTCTTCCGCCAACACCATGCTCTATATCTAGAATTTTAGCTTGCTCCACGCAACAACAGCAGACCTTATCAGTGTTCATATCTAGAATCCATCCTCTAATCCCTCCTTCTTCTCAGCCTTCAGCCTCTCGTTGTTAACATCCCACCACCACTTGTGGTTCTCATAGCTGCTCTTTTCAGGAGCTTCGTCCCAGGGCTTGGGACTGAGGATGTAGTGGATGTTCTTGACCTTGTCGTCCTGCCAGATCTGGTGGTGGACACCCTCAGTCTTCATTGTCTTCAGTGCATTGTAGATGTACGGCAACGCAACCCATCGTCCCCAAAACACATCGCTCAGCAGCGATTGGTCGGCGAAGTCGTAGTTCATCGATGACTCATTGGCAAGTTGGTCGAGGATGAGGTTGTACACAGCCTTGCTGGGGTTCACGACTTGCAAACCACCATTGGGCATGCCGAGACCAGCGGCAGGCCCTGCGCCGACAGTCTGTGCCTTCTCAGGGTCGCCATGCTGGGAGGTGAAGGCGCAATTCTCTGGTACCCAATCCTTGGGATAGTGTGGCTTCTTCAACGGGTTGCACACGCAGGCATGACTCGCGGCGAAGACCTTGTTGCCCTTACCGGCAGCGCTCGGCGGGTCGAGCTCCATCTCCATCAGTTCATCCATGTTGTGAAGGACCAACATGTCGCTGTCCAGCTGCACGACGCGGTCATAGTGCTCGAGCGAGAAAGGCGTCAGTTTGCTCCAGCAGTCGTAGAAGCGCGGGTCGTTCGCGTAGTCCTTCGAGACCTTGGGCAGCAGGTACTTGACGTGCTCTTTGGCAATGCCACGCGCATCCAGGGCAGCGTGGCCCTCGGCGGGGAAGGTGTCGGTGTAGAGCGCGACGAGGGGGTACTTGCTGCCGTGCTTCTTCAGGCTGTAGTCGAGGGTGAGGAGGCCAGTCAGATAGGCCGTGTTGGTGATCAACGTAGTCCACACTATTGTCATGATCAGCTATGCGTTCGATGCAGCGCGTACCCCACTACGATTATACTGGACGCACCCTTCTTCGACTCGACCGGCGCTGATTGGGTTGCTGCTGTCTCTGACATATTTGCTGTCGTGATATGGAATAGATGTGGCGAGAGAAGATATCAGTGTATATGTGTCAGTCAGGATCAAAGACGCGTATCGTGCACCTCTCCATGTCGCAAAGCACGCCGGCGACTGATTTCGAGCGGGGCACGCCAGGTACAACTGCGGAAGTCCAGACGATCGCTTCGATCCAAGCGCGAAATGCAGGGTCCAGCCCGCCGATCTCGCACGTCACCATCCGTTCCGCGGGCGCTTGTGCGTCTCCGATAGAGCTGTGCTGCAGGGCTGTTGACGGCTGACAGACACGATGGACAATTCGTCCAGTCTTGATGGAGCTTCTCCACACTCCACTGCTGACTTCTGCTCAGCCGGTATGATCGTGCAGACTCACAACGCGACAACACCTCGACAATGGCCACCACGGTCATGAAGACGGGCGAGCAGCCCGCAGCGGCCGCCGTTGTAGACCCTGCAGATAAGAAACAGCCTGCGCACTACCGCGGGTTTGTTGCCGGTGTTTTCTCGGGCATTGCGAAGCTGTCAGGTACGTGTGATGTTTGAGGCAGTTCGAGAAAGAGGAACAAGGCAAGCTAACCCTGGCAGTGGGACACCCGTTCGACACAGTCAAAGTGCGGTTACAGACGACCGACAAGTCGCACTTTCGCGGGCCATTGGATTGTCTGTTGCAGACAGTAAGGAAGGAGGGTTTCGCAGGACTCTACAAGGGTGCCACACCGCCGCTGGTAGGATGGATGTTCATGGACTCGATGTACGCGTGCTCTGCCTCACTATGGTGCCTGAAACGTGAAGGCTGACGTACGACAGTATGCTTGGCTCCCTCAGCGTGTACCGCCGTGAACTCAACGATCAGTTTTTCAACCCTCCCCGACCGGGCCGTGAGCAGGGCAGGCTGCCTGTTGTGGGTCATGCAATGGCAGGCATGATGGCTGGATGGACGGTATCGTTCATCGCAGCGCCCGTCGAGCACATCAAGGCGCGCCTGCAGATTCAATACTCTGCCGACAAAAGCAAACGACTCTACAGCGGACCGATCGACTGCCTCACCAAGATCTTCCGCGGCCACGGCATTCGCGGCTTGTACCACGGCCTGTCGGCGACGCTCCTCTTCCGCACATTCTTCTGCTTCTGGTGGGGCTCGTACGATGTATTCACAAGAATGCTGCAAAACAACACAAGCCTGTCGACGCCGGCAGTCAACTTCTGGGCTGGTGGTTTGTCGGCGCAGATCTTCTGGATAACATCATATCCGAGCGATGTGGTGAAGCAGCGCATCATGACAGACCCATTGGGGCCTGAGAGGAAGTTCCCACGATGGAGGGATGCAGCAAAGGCCGTATACAAAGAGAACGGATTCAAGGGATACTGGAGAGGCTTCGTGCCATGCTTCCTGAGGGCCTTTCCTGCAAATGCAGTTGCTCTGGTCGCCTTCGAGGGCGTGATGAGGAGCTTGCCGGAATGAGCGCGTCAGTGAGCAGGAGAAAAAGACGTGAGACATGACCAAGACCTGCCACAGATCCGGCACGGGAGCCGCACCCTCAAGTCGCCGGCCAAGCCGCCATCATCGGCATTCAATGAAGATACCTGGCGGCATCAGGCTGGGAAGATACTCGAAAGGCCAAGCTTCGGGCGAAAGAGACCTATAAACGGATCGAGTTGTATATTGGGCTGCGCTGTATATATACCACGGTGATAAAAATCTCATCTCAAATATCGAGGATCTTGATACCGAGTCGTGTGCACTCTTTTCACCATTGACGCGTCGAGGCGCGCTTGCAAGGGTTGCTCCGTTTATCGCCTGCAGCCAGCCGCCAGATCAAGAACTGTTCCCGCTCGCCAATAGTCGGCTTGAATTACTCCGTGCAGGCCGGTCAAGACGGACAAGTGCCGTGCTCGCGTAGCAATAATGCTTGCGTGACTTTTGGAGTGCTGCATCTCATTCTCAGGAGCCTCAGGTTTTAGATTAGTGATTTAGCGCGTCCTCGTGCATTAGCTCAACGAACGTGCAGGATATTTGCATACGCAGGTGGAGCGCTGGCTGCAGGCGTCCTGGCGCGTAGTCGCAATAATCTAACAACGTTTGAGTGGATGCAAATCGAAATGTCCGCATCCACGCATTTCCCCTATTGTGAGCAGTGTCCCGGTCAAGCTCGCGTGTTAGGGTCGACAGACCCCTGTCAGATGAAACAAGCAGGCGCGTTGCCGATCTGAACTAACGTCTGTCTTAACCTCATCTCATCTCTCGCTGCCCTTCCTTTGCATCCTCTCCACTGCCCCCGACGCCCGTGAACCCCCAGCCGAGCCAGTGCAGCCCGTCGCCGTGTGCCAGTCAGCCTGTCGCCGTGTGCCAGTCAGCCTTTGTCAGCCTGCGCATACGCCCCAATATCGGTCAATTACGCCGACGCCGACACCGAGCTCTGGGCGCACCTGTCACAGGAGCATAGACAACGCGTCCACAATCTGCCGCCGCCCGACAATCCGCCCACACCGCAGCCGGACCGCCAGCTTGAAACCACTGTCGAACCTTTGCAGATTCCGTCACCGCCGTCATGGGTGCCTCGATCTCGAAAATGATGGGCAAGATCTTCGGATCCAAGGAGATGCGCCTGTTGATGCTGGGTCTTGACGCAGCTGGAAAGACCAGTATGACACCTCTGCATGCCCATGCCTGGGCTCACTTCTGACGCGAGCACAGCCATCCTCTACAAGCTCAAACTCGACCAGGACGTCACGACCATCCCCACCGTTGGCTTCAACGTCGAGACCGTCACATACAAGAACACCAAGTTCAACGTCTGGGATGTCGGAGGCCAAGACAAGATCCGTCCTCTATGGAGACATTACTTCTCTGGTATGTTGGGAAAGCAAGGCACCGTTCCGGGTAGGCGAGCACGCACGCAAGCTGCACTGCGACTGCTTCCCTCTGCCCTGCCGGACACCTTCGCCTGCTGTACAATTGGAAAGTATGCTGACACATCATGCAGGCACTCAGGGTCTGATCTTCGTCATTGACTCGAACGACCGCGACCGTATCGACGAGGCCCGCACCGAGCTCACCCGCATCATCCAGGACAGGGAAATGAAGGATGCGCTGCTGCTGGTGTTCGCAAACAAGCAGGATCTGCAAGGAGGTGCGTCATGCCAGAATGCAAGCATCAAACCAGACAGGCTAATATGTGCTAGCCATGCGACCAAAGGAGGTATCAGATAAGCTGCAGCTCGAGAAGATTGCCAAGGACCACGTATGGAAGGTCGAGCCCAGCTGTGCCACCACAGGAGAGGGTATCTTCGAAGGACTGGTACGGACAACACCATTACATCTCACAGGATATCTTCAACTAACAAATCACCAGGCATGGCTCAGCAACAACGTCAAGCTTCCACAAGGCGGCAAGTAAGGCATCGACGCCCCCTTCGATACCTCCTTCGCTGTGTACGACTGCATGCTCGCGCACTTCTGCATATACCCGGTTTTCTGTCTAACGTCTGCGCGTACCCAATATGACCTTCTAATACCAGCTACGCAATGTGGCTGCATTTCTGCTTTAGTCCGCGCACATGGCGCGGGGCGAGATACCCCTTCAGATTGGCTTGCCTTGTACCACTTCATGTAAATTTTCCTTGTTTTGTACAGTACGAGCATCCAGTGGTTCGATAGACGAGTTTATGGATCTGTATGAAACTGCACTGACGTTCTGTGTGCATTGTTTGTGCCACGTCGATATTGGCTTGGAAGGGGGGCGCAAAGAGCCGTCGACATGAGGTGACCGCACCCTCCCAGACCCTGAGACAGCAGGCTTCCGCTCACGGCAAGACTGCTACGCAGCGTTACCATCGTTGTCGAGAATCCGCCTGTCTCCGCCAATCGCGGTTGTGCTCGATGCTCACAAGCCTGAAAACTGCTTGCTCGCAACACCAGACTACAAGCTGCTCACCCACATCACGCACCGCGGACAATGAACTCACAACACCTTCCCCGTGTCTCATGCCCTGCGGCAAGCAGATTCCGTTCCCGTCGTGACTGGCACAATGCTTTGTCTCACCCCGCTTGCTCGAATTCCCCTCTGTGCTGTACGTCAGGTGCCAGGTGGCAAGCTGTTTCCTGCCGTCACTGTGGGTTTGTGTGGGGCGATCTGGAATGCAAGATGAATGGGTGGTGCGAGTGAGTGAGCGCGTGGGGGTGGAAGGGCTGGAGCACGCCCGGGGAAGGACATGGGTGCGTGAGTGTAAGATGGGCATATGGGCAGAGGGAGGAGCTCACCCAGCATCGATCCAGCCTCCTACCTTTACGAATATGAGCGGTCAGGCCGGTAATCCACCACAAGGCGGCGACGCACTGGCTCAAGGCATTGGTGCACTGACCATCGACAGCTCGACTACAAGTACCACTGCGGCTCCTACAACTGGTCAACATGCTGCGGCGCCTGTACCGTCCGTGGCGCTGATCAACGATCCCGAGATCGATTCCAGAGAAATGAACGATTATATTTCCGCACCGGCTGCTTCGAATTATGCGAACGGCAGTGCTGTGAACGTCAATCTGGCAAGTCAGAAACTCCAGTCATTGACAGGTCAACTGAAGTATTCTGTCAGAGCTTCCATTCTAAACCCAGGGAATCATTGAGTCATGACCAATCACTTCCAGCTGGTAGTTGATCCAAAAACAACGTTCCACGATTACATAACAGATCACCGATTTCTCCGAGACCGAAACGCGCGCCGGCAAGCGACGCCTGATGAGGACTGCCATTCAGTCAGTCAGTTTCCTAAGAGATAACGAAGCCTCCTTCGCCACCGATGATGTCAACACGATCATCTCATGGATTAGATTGCACGACAAGATCACCACCACCCAAGTGCAAGGTGGCGCTGCAACTAGCCAAGGAGCAGAATGGCCCCTTGTGGACATCACTGACAAGGACGTCACGCATCATCTGCGCTTTGGGTATCTTCGTGAAGTAGACACAAGCGAACTCCTAGCCTTCATCAAGACGGAGCATCCCGCTTCGTCTTCGTTCAGCCCAACACCGACAGAAAATGCCCTCAACATCGTCCTGCGCAAGTGCATCTCTTCCAACAACACCCTACACTTGAACGGAAACAAATTCTACCTCAAGGACGCCTGGGTCGCTATCGGGGGAAACTCCCTCCAGAGCCTGAGAGGATTGACATGTGCAGTCAAACCAGCAATGGGGAACCTACTTCTCAATGTGGCTCCCACAACGAGCGCCTTCTGGAGGCCTCTATACGTCAGTGAGGTTCTTGCAAAAGGCCTTGCTCCCTTTAGAAACGATGAAAACGCGTTGAGGGGTCTGCGAGTCTACGTCACTTACGATCGTGGCCAGAACTCCAAATCTCAAAACTCAGACATCAACAAACATCACTCCAGAATTAAGCCCATCCGTGGCTTTGGCCGCCCGTGTAATCAGCAGAGGTTCAAGTATCAGGGATATGATAAGAAGGGGAAGTCGCTTCCAATTGTAGACATGACCGTCTCAGCGTACCAGCAAACAGGTAGGTGAAGTCTGCAGCTGGTATCAAGGTCTATCAGGATAGCTGGCCATGTTCTGTGTACCGCAGAAAGCTCTGTAGTTCGGGATTGATGGCAGTAAATGTAGGTATAGAGTCTCAGAAGGTATGGATTGCCCCAGAACTGCTTTGCATATTACCCGATCAGATCTACGGAAAGACAATTCCAGATTCTATCGCTGGCTTGTTCCACAAGCAATCCATCACGTTACCTCTAGAGATGCGCGCAAGGATTGCAGAAGGTCTGCAACGCTTCACCATGAACGCACAAGGTCAACTAGTAAGCACTGATGATGCCCCGTGAATCGACGGGTAACTGATGAGCACAGACTGCATGCCTGACCATAACTTTCAATCGCGAAACGATTCAGCTTCCTGCTGTTGAATTGCCATCGCCACTCATACAGTATGCCCTGAAGAAACCTGGCGGTGCGCTTGCAAACATCCCCGTCCAAGCCAATACTGGACGATGGAACCTCGTCAATGATCGCTTCATAAGGGGAAGCAGCCAACGTCTTGCGTGGAAGCTCTTCGTTGCTCCGAACGTCGAGAACAAGCGTGCCACCACGGTTAGTGACAGGTTCATAAATTCTTTCAATGAAGGAATGCGAGCGACAGGCGCCTTCAGTAACTCCTTCCATCAAGGGAAACCCGTGCATCTCGCCGATCTACATGAAAAAAACTCTGCGCGAAGCCATTCAAAATCTGTTGGATGAACAAACGAAGCGACCCAACATTGTCGTGCTGCTTCTCGACAGGAAATGTCAAGACACCTATTTGAGCTTCAAGTTTCTGACCGACAAAGTGTTCGTTCTTTACTCGATTTGCGCTGCGGCGGAGACTTTTAACAAACAGCAAGATGTCCGACAATACATGACCAACATCGCCATGAAAGCTAACCTCAAACAAGCTGGTATCAACCATATAACGACTGGCATCTCTACCATTCTGAGAGACACTCTAGTCCTAGGTGCAGATATCACACATCCTGGGGCCGGTGCGCTGCAGGCACAACGCCATCAGGGGCACAGCACAGCCTTGTCACTACTTCATCCTCCGCAACGACATGGGCATAAGCTCTTACGATCTGCAAAAACTGGTACGTTGACCGAAGAGCTATCCGACCGTTCGCTCACTAATACGACGCAACAGACTCACCGGCTGTGCCACACCTATATGCGCGCCACCGTGGGCGTCTCGTACGCCGCTCCCGCATACTACGCAGACCGACTCTGCGAGCGAGGCCGCGCCTACCTCCGGGACTGGTTCAGCCCAAGCAAGTACTGGCGCAGTCAATACAACACGGCGAAAGCAAAAGCCGAGATGGACATCGCGGCCCAGAGGCAGCAGGCCAACAGCAACAAGCCAGCGTGGGCGCGCAACACGAAGAGAACCACCCAAGAGATTCAAGACGCTAAAGCTGATGCCAAAGCCGTGCATGTGCGTATGGTCGCGTGGCTTGATAAAGACCTCCAGGACCGCTGGAATGTCGGGCCGGTTGATGCCGGTGCTGAAGCCAGATCGATAGACCGTAATTTCCGGCGCACTGCTTTTTTCGTTGTTTACGAAGTTCATAGACCGTTGCTATCGTGTTTCCATTTTCCTAGTTTTTACATAGAAGGTCACAGTGTTCATGTAGGGCCGATTTTCATGCTATTTAGCTTCGTAGACCACTCGACTCGAACCAATAGATCTCTTTACTTGCCAACTTGAGATCTGCAAACAATGTGTGCAAAAATGCAGATAACACAGTATCTGGGTTACTAACACGATACATGAAGACGCCGCCCGATTTCTAAAGCAGCTGTAGGTAACGTCCGGCAGTTCGACAAAAATCCGAACCTCAACGCTACTACCCACACCGGAGCCCGCTTACCTATAAGTGCACAACATCATACAACCGCCTCCCCTCCGCCCACCGCACAACCTCATCCCAGTTCCTACAAACATGCATCGCCCCCGTGCCATCCGTCCCCGCCTCGCCATCCGAACCATCTCCTTCAATCTGCCCCTCCAGTGTCATATCCGCCATGCACATAATCGCATTCCGGAGGTAATCAAAACAATGATCGTTATGCACCAGCGCGTACTGATCTACTGTAGTGTTGCCCGCATGGAGTTGCATGGCGAGGCTGTCCATGGTCATGCTTATGTGGTGCAGACAGTGCATTTGGTGGAACGCGGCGAGCACGAATGTGTCCTTGCCTTTGAGCTGGAGAAATTCGTTATAGTGCATTGGTCGCGGCAGGGTATGGGACGCGTAGGTAGGGATTTCGAGCATGCCGCCGCCGCGCGGGGCGAGGGCTAGCCAGTTGCGCTTTGTGGCGGCCATGGAGGAGGCGGTTTTGTGGTCCGAGTTGTAGCGTGTGTCTTTGGAGAATTTCTTTTGTGTTGTGCCGACTGTCGTGTATCAGTGTGCGTTTCGTTGAGAAAGCTGAGAACGATCGTTACAATTCGGGACAAGGCCGTTGATCTCGCCGCCGACGGGCAGTGAAGTGGGCTGTCTGTGCAGGATCTGGACTTGTGCTGCTAAAATGACAAGGAGAAGGAGAGATGTCGATGGCCAGCGCAGCTTGAGAGCGATACAGTACACGCGGCTCCAGAAAGTGACGTGACTGGGGCCTGGGCGGATTTGCGATTCATCGTCGGTTGAGCTTTCATTGCCGACTTTGCCGTATCTGAAGGCCATGTTATCGAACATTGAAGCCGTGTATCCGAGATCGAGAGTTTAGGGTTGTAGAAACTGTTAACAGGAATGCACCAGGAACTTGCGTTTGTCTCGTTGCAGATACATTCTGGCGCTCAGAGGTGAAGGACCCAGCTTGTCGCCAAGGCTGACCTATTCACGTCCCGATCGGGTAATCCCACGACCACTTTCTTTGTGTAGGTCTACGCGAGAACATCGTTATGAGATCCAACGCAAGTGTTTTTGGAGGCGGAAAACATTCGATGGCCATCCGAGGTATCAGGGGAATTACAGTCCGGCAAAGTTGCAGGTGGCTGAGCATCCTTCTAAGCTTGGGGGTCTTCGCGCGACTGTCCTTCCAAGTATGCCTCCAAAACATCTACGACCTCAGCCTGCGATGCGCTGAGATTCTTTGGCGGACGCGCCTTCGCATTTGCTTGCTTCTTTTTGATGCCGACGGCTCGTCTGTGAGCGCGACTCTGACCATGCAGCTTCCAGTCATTTTCGGTGATGGATACAGTTCCGCATGTCTCGCAGACCTTCTTTTGCCACTTGTCTGGATGCTGGCTCAAATCGTAGTTGCGCTTTGGTGTCAGATTCTCTGCAGCAGCAGCAGAAAGTGAGGAGGGTTCTGGAAGCGTCTGACCGGACAGGAAGTCCTTAGTGATCGCGGTCGCTTGTTGAGTGACTTGCTCCTCCCATTTTGAGAGATCGCTGCCATCGAGAAGGAACATGTTGCTCTTATAGCCTGCGCCAAACAGTGCATTCAGCAGCTTGATTCGTATCCACCGGGCTTGACGGCTCGAGTATTGCCTCGTTGCAGCCTGAGTCTTCTCGATAGCTGCGATTTTCTGCTTCTCGAGTTCTTCTGGTAGGAGGAGATTGTCTGCAAGCGCGGTCTGGTAGCCGAGGAACTCCTTGTAGCCGATGGACACCCAAATACCGCGACTCTGATCCACCGCAATCCCCGTGCGCGCTTCGTGTTCGCTGCGAAACTTTGTCAACTCGTCTACCTCGTTCAGCAGGCCTCTAGCCAGCATCTTGTCGACACGCCCGTCGAGACGTGGGTACAAGACATCCTTACCAGCGTAGACCCAGAACAGTAGAGTAGGAAAGCGCAAGCCAGTGCTGCTCTCGCCCTGACTGTCACCTAGAGCGTTCTGCTCGATCTCTCGCTTGATGCGTTGCTCGTCGTAGACCTGTGAAGCTGGCTTGCCAGTCCTAAGATAGATCTCGAGAGAACGCTGGATCTTTCTGCTTTCGTTGGGATGCCACCTGTCCGCCATCACAGGATCGACCTCCCTTAGCTTTTCAAGGATCACGCTAGTTGGCTCGTCCAAGATTGGGAAGTGTTCACTGTTCTCGTTCAGGGCGAGGGCGGGCTCCTTTGATAGTGCGTCCTTGAACAAGAGTGATTGTGTATAATAGTGAGTGCCTCCAACGAGGATTGGAAGCTTGCCGCGGCTGCGAATCTCGTCGATCTAACCACATCAGCCGTCCATCTCCAATGTCGAACCTGTCAGCACCCACAACAGCCAGAGCGTTGCTCACGAATTTTCCGACAGTCCAGGTCTCTTGCTCCAGGTCGATGCAGCCAAGTAGATGATGTGGGACGCTTTTGGATTCTTCAACCGTGATCTTGTTCGTGATGACCGGTAAGCCATGATACAATTGCATCGCATCTCCATTAATGATTTCGCCATCGAAGTTGCGTGCTATCTCAACAGCAAGCTGCATGCCGTGATCAGTACTTGTGGCTGGAGAGCAGAGAGGCGAATTTTTACATCTGACTTGCCCGTGCCTGTCGCGCCCACGATGGCGATCAGAGGCTGCTTTGGCGCCTGCGCCATTCTGGAAGTGCTATAGAATCTGCCGAGACGGAACATACATTCGCAGCTCGGCTCGAGTCGCGCAGACGGGCGATGCGTGAGTGAGCGAGGGGGTTATGAAGCGAGGAGGCGCTAACCCTTTTAAGCCGCCTCCACTACGAGGAACAGCGTTTCAAGGCACGCCTTTAGCAACGATCCTATTGAGTCGGTAATACCATACGCAACCGTCAGTCGCGGTGTGACTGTCCGAAAGCTTTACAGCAATTATCTAAGAAAGAGGTAGGAGCGATATAGAACTGAAGTGCAGGTATAAAACAGACTGCTGAAACGGAAAGAAAGGAATTAGACATGAGATTAGTTCATCATCTCTCGCACGAAATCACCTAGCGAGCACTACCACAATCTTGTACCTCACGGAATGGACACGCATCATCTCGATCCGCGCACTCGAACTCACATTCGTGAACTCACAGCTGAAGCATCTCAGCCGACAAGTAGTCCGGTAGTTGCGACACACTTACCCCAGCGTTCACGCTCGCTCCGGAATTTATTCTTATACCGATCACTGTTGCAGTCAGACCGTTCCCCAGACGTGCAAAAAACCACGCAGACTCCCACTTCTAATCCATCAAGTCCCAGAAGCAGCCTGCATCTTCAGCCCGGACGCAGATGGTAAGCTAAACCTCACTACGCTGAGGGTCTGCGATGAATCCAGCGGTTGGTCTTGCGTTTATCCTCGGGCGCGGAAACCTGCTTGACAACTGACAAGAGTGGGGGGGGGACGATCTTGAGACATGCGGGTGCGATGCTTGATGCCAGAGATCACTCAAGACGCACGAATAAAGGGAAGTACGCGCAGCAGTATGGGGCAGATTGTTGCGTATATCTTTCATATTGAATGCTGTGGAGGTCGTCTTAGACAGCCTTCACGTCTTCACGCCTTCATCCCCCCCCCCTCCTTTCTTCTTCAGCAGCTTCGACGAGTTGGTCAAACACCATCTCAAGATACTGCTGCTCCGCGGCTGTGTTGGCGCTAACGATGCGTATGATATACGTCCCGCATACAACCGAGCTCGAGATGTAGAACTGCCCCCTGGAGTTGATTTTCTCGTACACACGCTTCGTAGCCTGATTGCAGTCCTCTGTGTACTGCGCCTCCCCGCTCGGCGTGAAGTCGCTGGTGTACGCTTCGTGTCTGGGATCAGGTTGGTCCGCTTTACCACCCCGCGGCGGAGCGGGCGTGACCTGGAACGTGACGAGGGCAAAACTCGCATCCGTCGTGATGCGGAACAGATCCGGACGGGTCTTGATCCTCGCGGCGAAGAACTCGCCGAGCTGGATGTGATTGCGGATGAAGGCGCGCAGCCCTTGGGCGCCGTAGGAGCGCAGCACGAACCAGACTTTGAGGCTGCGGAAGCGACGGCCCAGCGGAATCTGCCAGTCGCGGTAGTCGGTGACAAGGCCGGATTCGGTAAACTCGTTGCGCAGGTACGATGGCGTGATGGAGTATGTGTCGATGAGGTCTCTGCGGCGCTTGATGAAGAAGGCGCTGCAGTCGAAGTTTACTAGTAGCCATTTGTGCAGATTGAAGTTGAACGAGTCGAATGCTGCAAGTGGCGGGCAGAGGTGCTGGTACTCTGGGCATACGAGTGCACTGCCGGCGTATGCGGCGTCGACGTGGATCCAGATATCTGGGTATTCTCTTGCGAGCTCGGCGATGCCGGCCAGGTCGTCGACGGCGCAGGTAGCGGTGCTGCCCAGTGTGGCGGTGAAGTAGAAGGGGATGAGGCCTTTGGCTTTTGTTTCCTCGATCGTTTTGCGAAGAGAGGCGGCGGTTACGCTGTAGTTGTTTTCTGCGGGGGCGGAGACGGTGCGGAAGCGCGTGCCGGCGATGATGGCGGCTTTTTGGGTGGAGGAGTGGGCGTGCTCGGAGCCCATTGCTACGAGCTTGCCGCGGAGATCTGCGGCGGCATCCAGCTTCTCTTCGCCCTCGGGCATGGCTTTGAGCTTTCTCCGGATGACACGCTCGCGAGCTGCGACGAGTGCTGTGACGACGACTTCGCTTGCTGTCCCCTGAATGATACCGCCGCCCTCGCCCTGACTTAGGAAAACCTCAGGCAAGCCAATGAGCTTAGCAACCCAGTCCATGACCACGGTCTCCAATTCAGTAATGGCAGGCGAGCAGATCCAGTTGAAGGCTGCAGCGTTGAAAGCCCCCGAGTACATGTCACCGAGCATAGCTGGGAAGGACGAGTTGCATGGAAAAAAAGCCATAAACTTTGGTGATTGCCAGTGTGTCAATCCCGGCTTGATGACACGGTCGATGTCGGATTGGATGATCTCCCATGATTCTCCCTCCTCAGGCGCTGAATCGGGGATGAGCGGACGCAGGTATCCCGGCTTTACTGACGGCAACACAGACTCGTCTGCGATGTTGTCGTAGTATGTCACGACTACTTGGAATCAGTCGATGCCACACATACATGAGTAAGCAACGCAGGGGTCGTACTCTCGTCGATTGCGCCCTTGGCGGCATCCCGAAATTGTTGCGAATCCATGGTGGGGTATTAGAGTGGCAAAGACGGAGACAAAGAATTGAGGAAACGAAGTTGACTAGACTTGTCTTTCCTCTACTAAACCCACTGAAAAATATTCAAGCTTCGACTCGTCAATGTTAGGGCGTGACAACGACAGAGTCAACGTGTAGTCCGGAAAGTCGTTTCTGTAGCTCCGATTCCGCGCCTACGACGACGCGTTGCCCGTTACAGTAATCGCCTTTCTCAATGCAGACTAGACTGCAGAGGAGGAAAAGACGTGCCGCGGTCGCAGAATAGTAACATCGTAGGGTAGTGTCTTAGTCGAAGTGCATGCAGCTGCAGGACATGACTTCACGTCAGGTCCGCGATAGCAGATGTCCTTCATGTGTGTCACACGCTCATCACTTCACACGTACAAGACAGTAATTTCCAAACTAAGAATGCATTGAATGCAAAAGTCCATCTCGTTGCTTTGCCTCGACCAGGCACAAAAGAATCTATCAACGCGCTCGCAACCCGCAGAACGCCTTAGCTCTTCCCGAGATGATCCAGACCGGCCCAGTACTACATGATACAATACAGAGGGGGTAGTCAATGGGGAGGTGATGGTGGTGGTATATGAACATTGGTGGTACTTTTAGGGAGACTCAGGGAAGAGGGTCTAGACTCGCGAAACGTCGCGACCGAAGACCTTGGCCTTGACCCAGTCCATGAGCACCAGGATCCTGTTGCGGGTGCTGAAGCACATGCTGAGGTAGGCGGAGCGCCAGAAGAAGTAGGTGATGGTGCCGCCCGAGGCGATGTTGCCAGAGAACCACGAGATGTCGGCGACGGCCTTCTCGGAACCGATGTAGGCGAGCGAGCCCTGGTGGGAGTACTCGAAGGGGTTGACGCCCTTCATCCTCCTCAGCCGCTTCTGCAGGTCCTTGATCTCGTCAAAGGCCCTGTTGCGGGCCTCGGCGTTGGGCGCCTTCTCCTGGACCTCAGAGAGCTCGGTCAGCTTGGCCTCAATGTCCTGGGACTTGGCCATCTGGTTGAACATGCGGGCGAGGAAAGCACCCTCCTGGGCGGCAACCTGGGCGGTAGGGGCGTAGTTGGCGACAGCGCAGTCGCCGACGGCCCAGACGTTCTCGGTGCCCTTGACGACCAGGTACTCGTTGACGGCGAGACCACGGCGAGAGTCCTTCTGGGCGGGGATCTGGTTGATCAAGTCCTTGACCAGGGGTCGCAGGGCGTTGCCAGTGGCCCAGACCAGGAGACCAAAGGGAATCCTCTCCAGCTGCTTCTTGCCGTCGGGGCCCGTCGACTCGGCCTCGATGTACTTGTCTGTGACGTTCTTGACCATGGTCTTTGTGCGGATGTCAATGGTCTCCTCCTTGAACGTCTTCTCGGTGTAGTCGATCAGCTGCTTGGAGAACATGGGCAGGACGTTGGGCAGGGCCTCGACGAGGGTGACGTGGAACTTCTCCTGGATCTCGGGAATCCACTTCTTCAGGTCCGAGTGGAAGAAGTCCTGGAGCTCACCGGCGAACTCGACACCGGTGGGGCCTCCGCCAACGACGACCATGTGCAGCAGGCGCTTGCGCTCCTCCTCGGACTGGTCCTTGAAGGTAGCCGTCTCGCAGCAGTCCATGATGCGGTTGCGGATGGCCTGGGCGTCGCCGACCTCCTTCAGGAACAGAGCGTGCTCGCGGACGCCGGGGATGCCTGTTGCGGCGGGTTAGCCATGTCGCGTGCGGGGGTCGAGCAGGGACGTACCGAAGGTGGCGTTCTCGGCGCCGACGCCGACGACGAGCATGTCAAAGGGAATCTCCGTCTGCGAGACGTCACCCTTGATGGGCGACTCGTCGTTGACGTAGACGACGCGCTTCTCATAGTCGATCTTGGTGGCCTCGGCCTCGTAGTACTTGACGGCCGCCTTCTTGTGGCGCAGGAAGTTGCGGATGGGCTCCATGATGGAGCGGTGCTCGATGGTGCCGACGGTGCACGAGGGGAGCAGCGGCGTGAAGAGGAAGTAGTTGCGCGGCGAGACGACGATGACGTTGTAGTTTTCCGTGTCGAGCTTCTTGAGGAGCGAGACGGAGCCCCAGCCGGTGCCTGTCGTGGTTAGCCATGCGTCCTACGTGTGCCGTTCGCTGCAATTGCGACGCGCTTCGAGCATACCCAGCACGACGAGCGTCTTCTTGGACGGGTGCGGCGGCGGCTGGTCGACGGGGTTGCGCGTCTCGTAGATGCCGTAGCCGACGTATGCGAGGCCGGCGAGGGCAGACACCCACGTCAGGCGCCACGTCCAGCGCAGCACGCGGAAGCCGCCCTTCTTGGCCTGTTGCTTATCCGGCGTCAGGCTGCTCTGCTGGCGGATGCTCCAACGCAGCGCAAGCTGGCTCTGCACGGGGCGCGACGTCCAGCGCGCCCTGCTGGCGATGGCGACGGGCGACGGGCGCTGGGTCGAGTAGGCGCGGGCCTGCGAGACGAGCCTCGCCGCGGCGAAGGGCCGCATGGAGGGAGCCATTGAGCTGTGTGAGGCGTCGCTGATGCACGGCGATGCAGCCTGGAGATGTGCGATGGAGCGGAGGAGGTCGTGTCAGAGCTTAGAGGTGCGCCGACGTCCGCTGAAAACCACTTTTTCTTTGCTGCTAGGTATGACGCGCCCCCCGATAGGGATCGATGCACTCTGCGCCCCGAGATAAGCTCGTTCCCAACACCGCTTGCTTTTGCAGCGCTAGCTTGGAGGCGTCTTGCATGTCATGCACGCATCTTGCACACCGACCACGGTCGAAGCCTGTCTAATTGACCAAGTCGTATTATTCGTTACCGCAAACAGCGAATCTGCCAAGCTCCAGCACACCCATGTGCTCTCGCTGATGGCTTGCTGATGCTCGCTGATGGCTCGCCGGTAACTCGCCGACAACACCTCCGATCCCGGACCATCTCCGCGCCCCCTCACAACCTTGGAGACAGGACATGCGATGACGCACTCGCCGTATCGATAACCCCGCACTCCGCACGCAGTAACAGTGACGACCACCACGCTCATCCAGAACCACAAAAGGCGTCAAGTCGTAGTCTGTAGTCCGTAGTCTGCCTCCCCACAGCCCTCACCCTCAACTCACTCCCTCACCCTCAACTCACTCCCTCATCCTCAACCCACTTCCTCACCCACCAATCCCCCAATCCCAATCCGCACAATGCCCCATGCAACAGCAACCATCAACGGCATCGAAGTCGCGCGCTCAGACACCTGGGAGGTGGTTGACGGAAACATATATGTGCGCTTTCCCTCCCCACCGCCTTGCAGCCACCCTCTCTCCGCCCACGCTGTGTTCCCCGCACCCTGCAACACGCTGAGACAGCCCAGTTCCCGCCCGAGTCGATTGAGAAGTCGCACTTCTCGCCCACCGACACGTCGACGCACTGTCCTTACAAGGGCGATGCGAGCTACTACACTGTGACGACAGGGAAGACAGAGGTCCGGGATGTGGCATGGTACTACCCCGAGCCGAAGGCAGGCATGGAGCGGATTAAGGGGTTTGTCGCATTCTACAAGACCAAGGGCGGTGTCACGGTGGGCGTGGAGTAGGAGTAGGTAGTGCGATGCTTTAGCTGTGCCAGGTGCCTGCACTGCTGTGTGACTACAGACTGTATGCCGTCTACTTTGTAATTCCACTGGAGTAAAGAACCACTAAGGTGGTAGAAGTTAGCGGTGGCGCGGATGGCTATTAGTCCGAGCCAATAGCAGATGGCAAATCCACACCTTATCCACGGCTAGTCCACGCTTGATCCTCATCTGGCAACCAAGTACAGCTTATTGGTTGCTGCCGCCAGCTAGGACGTTGTCGGTTGCAACTCCTAGAGGGGGTACACAATAGGTGTCAATCTACTCACAAATGATTGAGCAAGTGAATAGAGACATTTCCACACGCTCATTTTAGCCTGTTGTTGATGCAGTCAAGACGATTGAAATCGGGAGTAAAGTTGATGTTAGCAAGCGCGCCTCGGTCACCCCTACTAGTGCGTTTTCACTCCAGCGGAGTTATACGGGTAGTTGTGTAGACGTAGGTTTCTGCTGGGACACTTGACAACAGCAACGGCGCGTCACACTCTAACGACCCCTCACCGTGGCCATGTCCTTGCAGTCAGCAGCGCTAGATATTTCGTACAGCAGCGCGCGGCTGGAGCGTGCCG